GCAGTCAGTTTCAGTTTGTTCTCAAATTGATGAATGACAACTAAAAAAAACACTGGTGCCCTGCCATGTACCTCCTCCATCAGGTGTGGCTGAGTGAATATTCATGAGGAGAAACCAACTAAAAGGTGTCGGATTGATATTAAAATTGTTTAGATTTAACGATTGGTCAACAGGGTGGAATGTATATCGAAACCCAGTCACTACCACTACGATGACTCATGCTCGTGAGGTAATTAGATGAGTTTATTGTGGACACTCACCCCCTTCTGGATGATAAAGGTAGCATTACTCACTCCATAAACATTCCATTCCTCCCCCATTCCCATTCCGAGAAGGAAAGAAGACAAAGCATGCCAAGAAGCCAGCCAGGCTACCGAATCCGATGATGGTGGCACTTCCTGTGCCGAGCTAATTTACGGCTGCTCGACATCATCCATCCGGTCCAGAGAAATGATGAGCCAGTCTCAATTGCACAACATTTTTTGCAGCTTTCTCTGCTGCGGCTTCTTTCATCCAATTATTCAATTTACCACTGATTGGCATCAACTTGTCTCCTATACCCTCCTCGCCAATCTAACCTGATTCTTACAATTAGTCAGGGACTAAAGGGGTTTTCATAATTATTTCGAATGTGGAACGGAATCTAGGTGAAAGCAATTCCAGTTTCTGTACGAGACTCGACAAGGTGAATGTTAACATTTTGCAGGTTACGCTCTCTTCTCAACTCCCCAAGTTGCCGATAATTTGAGCATCGCAAGCCTTCCAAACAAATGGAAATCGTAATCGCAAATCGTGTATGTTTGTCTGAATGAATCTCATTATCAATGAGCACTGCCCACGCCCAATGGGTTGATACTGATAATGGATATGATCACAAGGATTATCAGCACGGAGCACTGTTATCATTGCACTTGAATTTACAATAAGAACTCGCTGCTATCTAGCAACCACCACACCATGTTTTGAATCACTGTTCGACGAGTTCATTCACAAAAGCGGATGATGATAATGCACTGAGTCATACAGAGAAGAGCACGCACTACTACTTACTACTACACTACTACTACTATCCACTCGATTGCGTTTTACTACGTTGCTCTCTCTCACTTCCCACGCCAAGTCAAACCACTGCACCACAACCATGGCTGCGAGATTCGCCAGTTGACTGTCACACTTTTATTGCAGCATACCGTATCCTATCCTAGTTTGTTGTTGTTGCAAAAAAGTACTTTCAACTCGATTACTATTCTACAAAGCATCGCATTTTATCTCTGACGAGCACAATTAAATAACTGACTCCAACAACTCCTGGGTCGTATATACATATATTATTTGGTAAGCCAACAAGTATTCGAAAACCTCGAAAACACAACACCTGTGCCAACAGAACAGAAGCAAGCCAGCCTACGATGCATATTGCATACCTCCCTCAAACCACCCTCTTCTTATTCTTCTCGCACAACACTTTCCTAGTATCAGACAGAAGTACAATAATAAGTCGTAGTATTCCTAGTTTTTTACTGCCTCATCGTCGTCGGCCAACGATCTGTGTCTCGCGTTTAGTTTCAGGGAGGAGTGACATCAACCCTCTTGCAGGGATGATGACAATGATGAAGAAAACCACGCCAGGGAGCAGTATTATCGGTCCTCCAACCAATGAATGTAATGGCAGTACTGCATACGTAATACAGCTCGGCAGAAGAAGAAGGAATAATAATGCGGTGCCAAGAGCATCAATATACAATACATGTTGCAGCAAACAGGGCATAAAAAACACAGACAGCGCATACAAGATACTGTCAGAGGCAGTATCGTAGTAGTATCACCATCAAGTTATGTACTCGGACTCTGCATAAGTAGGTCCATACGACGAGGACGACGACGACGGCGGCGGGAACTGGTTGTGTATGTGTTGCAGAGACTCGTAGCGTGATGCTTAAAAAATAAGCCAACCACCTTCAAGACTAGAATTCTATCCAAGAGGCTTCAGAGCAGGACGCGAGGGGAGGATTGCATATTATGTCTTGGTCTTAATCTTGCTGTCTTGGACGACTACAGTACGATGATGCCAAACTAACCACCGCCACCACCACTGTTACGTTACGTCGAGTAGCGTCTTCACTGGACCAGATCGCACAATGGTGCCTGCAAAACCTTCTTCAACAACTTGTGTGTGATGCGATCCCAAGAACGAGTATGAAGAAGAATGCCCACTAGGTCTTGTACTACGCCTGGCACAACCACTACTGTTGCCTTTTGTTGATCTTCTTGGTATTATCAATACCCATGTATGTACGAGCAATTTACTTGTGTAATGTACTGCTCACTCGATATGAATTGAATGTGATCCTCTTCTCTCCTCCTCCTTCATTCACAATGGGCTCTCGAAAGAGAACCACCGACGACGACAACGACAACGACAACGACGAAGGAGGATCAAGTTATTTACGTAGTTAACTAGTTAACCAAAATGATTAAACAACAGAGAAGCAACTCAATACTGGTGATGCGCGAACCATGGTCACATCACAAACCCCACCAGAAGACTTGAGCAACAGCAACAGAGTCATCATTAAGTAGTGCATGATTATAGTTAGTTAGTTAGTTGGGGAGAAAAGCTGCGAGACAAGTGGCTAAAGCTAAATAGCGTATGGATGGATGAAACTACTGATGAATATTTACAACACTCCAAACAAATTCCTTCCACCACCAGAGCTTCATTCAGTCGGCATCTGAATGAGAGAGATTCAAGTACGTAATATTTTTCCTTCGACATATTCACCACCACTACCTCACTCACTTACAATGAATGAAACATCGGACGGATGCAACCATCGACAATCTCTCTCTCTCTCTCTTCCCCCATGTGGTATTTATGGAGAACAAAAATAAATAAAAATAATTATGATATCAAGGATATCTTTGGTCCTACCTTTCAAACACAGCGCCCGACATGGATTTATCCTTCAGTTTGGCGAGAAGATAGCCATATTCCTCGGTATCCAGCTGACCCTCGTCCCCACCCCCACCATCACAGACGCCAAACCCATCTGAAAGTTTATAACCAAAGCACACGATCAGCAAACTAATTGCACAATACGTACACCCATCCGCCAAACCCCACAAGTTATTAGTTTATAATTGAATTTTCTCAACATGTTCCCCCTCTTTCTCTTGCATCAGACTTTCTCTCAGTCGTGTACTTGGCCCCTCTCATTTTCATAATATTGCATTATCAGCAATGCATTATGGGGTCCGGTTTCTCAAAATCTACTCCTGGGCACATTTCCTTTAATTGCATCCTACATCATCGTCTACTGACATCGAATGCTAACTAAAAGCTAATGAAATAACCAAGCAGCAACTTGCCTTTCAAGTCCTATACACTTGTTGTATTTCCGAGTCGAGGTAATTTTACACGGGAAATTAATTAAATATAAACTAATTACCTACCCATTAATTGACTTGTTTCTTGACTCTTTTTTCTCGTCTTCTTTCACCAGCACCACCACCCAACCAACCAAACCACTGAGGACAAGCGGCCGCGTCGTCGTCGTCGTCGTTGACCACGATCACGTTAACTTTAAACTTTATTCTAGTTAATTAGCAGACAAAGTTAGTTAACAACACACGACGTATCCTCTTCTTCTCGTCTCACTGGGTGAAGAGTAGTAATAATTTTATAACAAGTAAAACTGGGCCCTTGTGTGACTTATTTATTATTGTCGTACTTCTCCTTTTAGCACATTTACCTCCAGTTGTACGTCATGGAGAAGTATATTATGTATATTGTACAGTTTAATTTAGCAGAATGAAAGACACCTAAAAAATAATGCGAATTATTGTCAACAAAGCCCTCCGCCACTTTCCGTTAGCTCTTTCTCTCTCCAGACAAAACAAAAGTGAAAAGTTTTTGGCAAAAATAATTGAGTTTCCCTCTGCAAAAAAGGCCAAGTGACGGACGACCGCGGAGATGAGCTAAAAAGGTGGCAATGCAGAATATATTACGTGGTGCGGTGCTTTCTAACGAACTGAATGAACTGACTGTATTTTAGGTGGGCTTAGTTAGGAAGTCGCAGCAGGAACATGTAGTTTTTGGAGGCGTAAGAAGAATCCTCAAGCAGAAGTGGCGGTTGGTGGTGCAGCGTCCCGATTGGTGGTGCTGGTGGTCGAATCTAAGCTCAGAGGAGACGGCGAGATTTTATTCCATGCACAAAATATCTCCTTCCGTATCTCAATCTCCTCAGTCTCAAGAAGTTGAGACTTGAGACGTTCTTCCTTCCCCACTTTCTCCAGCTCCATTTCCCTCCCTCCCTTTCCTCCAAGGAGAGAAAGAGTCCTACTTGTTCTACTACTTGTCGCACCAGAACAATTCATCATCTGCTGGAGTTGATGCACTGCAATGCAAATTGTTGTGCCTCTCTCATGGTATTTTTTTAAGAGTTATGCTAATTGAAGCTGAGGTCCGTCCGGAAGTGGAGGAAGAGGGAGAGAGGATTTCAGATCAAAGTTGGTGTGGTGGTGGCGGAGACAGAGGGCTATTTTTATCTCTCGATTTTCATCTTCTTCATTATATCACCCTCCTCCTCCTTCATATGCATGTACAAGCTTTCCACTCGTATAGAGAGATTCCACAAATAATAAGACACATATTACCTTAGATTATGATATTACCGCATAGCTTGCACATGTGTCACTCCTCAATTGATGATTGACTACGACTGGGCTCACTCTATTTATTAGCATGCCTCGTAATTAGTGATTTCCAAAGCGGAGTTTGTGTGCTATTCGGCGATAAGTGCAAATTACTAATTAATGTTGTGACGATGCATGGGAAATTGGGAAAGCATGGGCTGCAGTGTGCACGCTACAAAAATGAGACAAATGAAAAAACCATGTTGGATTTTGGTCACACGATCCATTTCATGATACAGTCGCTGCACGACCTTGCGGTGCATTTCGGTTTTGTAGGTAAATATGTAGTAAGTATAATCGCATGATTACATATTCATATAGTAAGTAGATGATTTATTCAGTCAGGTACGAGAATAACTGCGACAACGGGTCGAACGACGTATCATATATTATGTATAATAATAATAATAATAACCGATGCGTATTTTAGGATGGTTGTACATATATTTCGATAATAAATTATTTCGTGTCGGGGAGCAATAATATATATTTCATAAAACATCTTTCCACCGACAACGCCATATATAATTGATTGCTTCTTTCTATACCAAGTATAAAGAAAGGGACAAAGCATATGCTTTCTCTGTTACAGAATAGAAGAGGGTCCTGTCATTGTGCATACAACCCTATGCACGTATTGTCGCTGTTTAATATTAATTAAATAGTCCTCCGCAAACTGACTCCTCCAAACTTGACTGCCGTCTTGATTCAGGGATTCAGGATGACGCCATCAAATTTTCACTAATCACAATTTTTTACATCGACCACGATGCATGTCAGGGGACAGGCATAATTTTGGAGGTTATCTTCAATGTGCATATATAGAATTTGATATATAAGACTGTCACGGATTAGAGATTATTGGAGGAATCACAATTAGCACCTTGAAGAGGATGATGAAGAAGAAGAACGGGTATATTATACATATATGTGGATGGCTATTGGCTTTTCGTGTAGTCGATTTTAATTTGATTTAATGCTTGCATTATTTTCGTAATTGGCTAATTAAGTACTCTTGTTCTACTCCTCCGAGGTACGTACGAGAGTATACGAGGCATTGTCAGAAACTCATGTTGTGTTGTAGTAGGTAAGCGATGCATAACGCAGCACAGTCCACTTTATAAGGGTTTAAGCTTCGAATAATGTGATCTTGTTCTCAATGACTTTTCGACACAAGGGGCAGCTTTCCAACTGGTCGGCACAAGTGTTACAAAACCCGCTATAAATTACGTTAAAGTTTGAAATTTAAATACAACAATTAAAAACTTGTCATGTTGAAGGCACAACAAGGGATATATATACAATATATACAACAAGGGAAAGGACATTTACCAGTGTTCACAAGGGAGAAGCCTCACATTCGCGATGTGATCATAGCAAAGGTTGCAGGAATTTTCCTTTACGCTGACTTTCCTGAGATACTCCATTTTCAAGTGCCTGACACAAGGAGAAGGATGAATTAAATTGCATATTAAAATCGGTAAATACACTTGAGTAAAAGGTGCACGAATGAATGATAATCTTCTTGTTACCTGGGCAGAACCACCCGGCACTCGTCTCCCAATTTGGCGTACTGGTTAAAGTTTTTAAAATGTTTCCCTTTCGGAGGAAATTTGAAAGGCCGACTCCCAAAATTGAATTCACATTGTTGGAATGACATAAAACTCCCGGCTGCGAAGAAACCGGATCTGAAAGTTGCATATTAATTGTCAATTTATAATTAATTTAGATATACATTCAAGTATGTATGTGATTATGCAACAACACGGGAAAGTGTTTGCACTTACTTGGTATGCTTAAAAACGTCTGTGTGGATCTTGATGAGGGCCCCATTGAGATAAAATATCATTTCAAATTTCTCCAAGTCAAGGTAAGTTCCCAGAATGTCGCCAGGCTTCCAACAAGGTGTCGACATCGGCTCACTCTGTGCTGCTTGCCACATTACTTGTCGACATCCATCGTACGCCACGGAAAATTCGTCATCTCCAATTCCATATCCTTCCTGCAAAAACAAAGAATGTATGTATCCAACAATTATTGGGTTAAAAATTACTAAATAGAATGATGGCTGTGCATACATGATTAAGAAATTTGCTAGCTTTTGTAGCCCATCCAATCTGCATGACGCCTTCAGTAATTATGAGAACTTCATAGTACCATGTGCCAGAGTCCACTTGAAAGGTGCTACGTACACTTTCAAAGGAAGAAGCATCACACCGTGCCTTAATGGTAATATTTACATAGTTAACAACACTAATAGATCAACACTTATTCATGGTTGAACAATAAACAGATGGCTGCATGGACAATTTTGGTTTTATAGACGAGGTACCTCTAATCCACTGGGTGAAATTTTTAAGTACTCGCTAACATCATAGCTGTTGAGTATGACGTTTATTCCGGAATTATCCACCATTTCATAACCAAACGGTCGGCTTGGAATCATGACTGTGAAATTAGCAACATATTACTCTCAAATTGTATTTTACTAGAATGACTTGGCAGCATTCTTATTTTTATCAAACATGTCTCAAGTGTATGTAGGCTCACAAATATTGTCGAGAGACCACTGGGAACAAAATCCAACTTGTCGTTGGTCATATATTTCGGAATCTGCCATACTCTCAAGTTTCAGTAATGGGTTCTCGGAGGTGGATTGGATGCTTTTCATTATTACAGTCTTATTCTCGCCTAGAAAAGTAAAAAATGTGAGCAAAGGATACATATCAACCATAGTTGATTTAAACATGATTAATAATTAATCAGTTTCAGCTAGATAAAAAAGTGCCGTGAAATACGTCTTACTTGTTTGAGCAAACTTTTCAAGGGCAATTATGGCAAACAAGATGATGGCTGGATTCACCGTCGGATTCTAGAATTGTGCATTAAGAGAGATTCATTATAATATTTTTACTTTTCATCTTGGTGACATTAATTATTTAGCTTGAGTATGCACTTACCAGTTGTGATATTAAGTAGTTCATAACTTCGTCATTTAATAAAATCGTGCTGTTTTGTCCAGCTAACTTCTCTGCTAAACATCCCAGCACAATGCATATGTTTCTTTTCTGTCGAACATCATAATTTGTGTGGTTTGAGAGACGTAAATGTTTGCTAAGTTGCATCGCATTTTCCTGGTAGAGGAAACATTATTAAAGGAGTTAGAAGACGTTGCATGCGGTATGTTTGAATGCAATACAAACTAGTAGTCTAGTTCTTTATTCTTTCATGAGACATAAAATACCTTTGTGGGGAGGGGACAATCATCCAGGAGCCTTTAATAATTAAACAAATTATTATGATTGTGCTTAATGAAAATCACAATTTAGAGTTACACCCTTACAAAGAAATGACTGCGGGACCCAAAGGACTATTAGGAAAGTTGTTAAATTGAATTTGATTAAATGATAATGATTGGTAAGGCAAAATTTGTCACACAGATAACTCACTCATTCATCGGAATACTGTTCACCAGGGACGTCACCACCATGAGCCAACCTTCCTCTAGTTCCGCTATTCTGTGCAGCTGCAAAAAAATAATGTTTTCAATCTTATACTAATTTTACAACCGTATAAAAATAATTGTCTCCCTCCCCCCACTAATTGCAAACACTTACCTTCACCATGGAAGAAGGAGCCTCAGCGTCACTGCCACAAAAAATAAATACGTTCAGATGCATAAATGTTCAACAAAACTCTGCTTGGTTGGTACTACTTATGAATCATAAGTTCTGATTAATGTGTTTGTGAGCATACTTGCCAACCAGAGTTCTCAGTATTTTGAGCGTTTCCAGCACATAGCTGTCGACGAGGGGAGGACTGAGGTGGGTGATGAGAAAGTTGGGGTCAGAGGCTGCACTGCTGGTGGTTCGGTCCGACCCAAGTGTGTCCCTGTTGTGACCACTGGTAACTCTGCCACCACCGTTCGCCGCAGAGTCTCGGCTGCCTCCACCACGAATCTTGCCCCACCGGAAGCAACAGGGGCAGTTGAGGGACGTGCAGCCGCAGCAAGTCGTGGTCTCAGATGATGAACTCCTGTCCTTGCACAGACAAAGGCCCATCTCGTCACCGCACTCGATCTCTTCAAGAAGTAGATATGTGTGGCAGCAGAAGAATGATGCTATTCAATGTTATCATTGTCACTCTTCTCCTCTCGTCGTCAAGAATTTTACACGTTTTGGCACCATTGTGCTTGCTAATAGGTATTCAATTATACTCGTTGATCACACACTGTAGAATAATAAGTACACTCCAATTTGCCGACTCTGTATCGTATCGCATGAAGTGTGTCGGTTGTCAGTTCCGCGTCCTAATAATTAGGTCAGAATCGTGCAGAGTAAAGCTCCAGATTCCTACAAAATTAAAAGCAATATTAGATTATATATTCTTAAAATCCTAATAGATTATAGATATGGATTTATGTTATTAGCCAAACTACATTTGGCTAATAACAAATAGATGGCCTTGACATTTTTCGAGCATCTGTATATTATACCATCATGGTAAAAAGAATGATATCGAAACTACAACTAAATCGATAGCAAAATATATATTTTGTGGTTAAATTATCGGTTTATGATTAGTTAGTGATCACCGAAATGAAATATACGCCCAAAACAACAACTTACATTCTTGTGCACTTTAAGTCAATCACCGTATAATCTATTCTTCCTACTGCCGATAAAAGATATTCGTCTGAAGAATAAGCGACTATGTTATTAACACGTGACACCGATGTCAAAAATATGCCCTTGTGGTTACAACAAGTCCCTAGCAAAATGAACACCAAGACCAAAAGTACTGCTGGGCAGCAGCATAAAGGAAATCTAGAGCTGTAGTAAAATGTGGCCAAGTGAGTGGCTGATGTGTGTATATAGTATTTCCCTCTTCCCGTCCTACCTAATGCCACTACTAAACCTCGTCATACGCTAACCCACTGCAACAAGGTTGATTTGTACATAACACACTATATACACCGCATTGCATTGAGAAAACCTCCTATTTAGTTCAATCCTTTCACTCACCGACCGTCTCACCGTCAGTGAAATTGACAAGAATAGTCTCACTGAAGAGTGCTTTCCCTACGTGAATTGCACCCTTATTGGCAATGACACTGTGTTTAGGCACTGAAACAAAGTGGAAATATGCGAAATAGACTCCCTCGCTGACCTGTTCTGATTATTGGGCAATTGTCCAGATCCAGATTGGGATTCTTTTGAAGAACGCTGAATTAAAGTGGGATGCAAGAATAGACGACACCACGATTTGTCTGCATGTGTGATACAAGTCTTTAAAAACAGTGCAGAGGTTGTTTGGCTACATGAACAATATTATGGATACGAGCCGATTAATTTAATCAGGACAGGGATGCATTTCGTGAACCTGCAGATTGACACCAAGCTCACTAAACTCCCAGTAATCGCTATCAGACAACTCACTTACTAACAGTGCAAACATAATAAACATATCAATCGGTTTATCGTATACATATACAAACACATGCTCTGATAAGTCATGAAGTATGAGGCCGCGATGAAGTAGGTAGGAAGTCACTTATTAATTGAATCTCAATTAGAGACATGTGTATTTATGAGTCTAATATTGTGGATACACATTCAACAATATGTACATAAGTACAATAAGATCGATGATATTGTAACGCTACAACAAAAAATTATTATTATCATCCCAGCTCACTCGTATTATAGGAAGGGGTGTACCATGAATGACTCAGCATCCTCATGCACCTCAATCAAAGCTACGTTTTTATTCTGTTTTATTCTCTACGCAAATTACACGCTGGATTTTTGCAGACAGTTGATTCCATGTTCTTCCTTCCTTCTTCCTTCATCTTCTTTCTTTCTTTCCTATCCACCACTCACTCACTTTGCACTCACATTATTTGCATTTAGGTATTATATTTTTGTGATTTAACACACGTATTAAATCTACTCGACTAATCCGATTTCACTTTCGAAGGAATTAAACGGTGCATACCTACGCACGAAATGTTTCTGTCCTTTTTCGGAGGTGGTAAAATAGCTACGAAAAGACTTGCACCTCGCATTGAAAGGCGATTAATCCTGCCTTCTTCTCCACCTCCACCTCCACCCACACACCCCACCTTCCTCATTATGGTGGCATCCTAATCATATCATACCTGTACTAGAGTATACAGTATAATACATAAACTGTTTCATGTACATATGAATCTCGAGGAGCTCAGTATCAGTCAACCGCATTTACATACAACAATTATTATTGAAAATGAGATGATTCATGATGATGACACGACTACTAAATGTTAATGCAGTACATAGCTACAAGTTGTTCCTCAGTCACACGACGACGAGCATTGTTGCAGACGGCATGTGAACATGTGTCGTGGGTTTGTTTGGTCAACCTTGCTTAACCGTTTCGCATAGTCCACTGCTAGCTACATAGTTCTAGCCATGACCGCAACATTGAAATTTGACGCTGTATGGTAATTATCAGGTCGACCTTGGCTTCTGCAATTACTCCAACAACGTGCTCCTTCCATTCGTATCCATCCGGTCTCGTGCTAATGGTCAACAAACCTGCTACGAGGAATGCATAATACTTATTAGTAGTTCCTTCCCATGAACCAACCAATTTCCACTCCCCGGCTCTACGATTCATACTAAATATCATTCTTCAAGTCCTTTGTGAAGGAACGGAAATAGTGGACAAATAAATGGTGCAGAAATTGTGCCCACGCTCATGTCTACGTATGCAACCAAAAACGTTATCCATTTACATATTCTCCATGAAATTATCCCATGCGTGAATAATATGCGTGCATAATAAATAGTTAGCCGGCGATTTCCGTTATGGTTTGGGTTGGTTTTGTGGTACTGGATGAATGACGGAAATGCATCAGTTTTGCTTGTTCTCTTGGTATTAATATCTGTCCTCCTTAAGGGGAAAGGGTTGGATAGCATGTCGACAAGCCTTCTTGCAGAATGCAGAGTGCAGTGGAGAATGTAGAGAGCGAGAGTGAAACTGATTTTATGAGTCGACTCCATCCGAATGGAATTTCTCCAGAGTTTTCGGCCAAGAACAGAAAGGGAGATCGTCGAGCAGGAGTGCAGGAAGATGCAAATAATGCCTTCACGCGTTCGCTCTAGTACACAGGACAGCCTACACTTCCGCTTAAATACTTTTTCTACAGCAGGCTACAGCGTTTCTTATATATTATTAACATTGCTGAGCCTTGTCTTCCTAGCGACTGCCAGCCACATTGTTGTTGATCTATCTCATTGTCAGGCACTGGTGGAGGGAGAAAGTGAGATTCGTCAGGTGTACAACTGCCTGGAGAAAGTCGTCACTTTCCCCTCGCGCAGAGAGACAGAGACAAGCTTACAACAGCCGTCGTCCCCTAAGCTGAGTTGAGCACTTGTCCATCACTTCGGCTTGACGGAGGTATGGAAATCATATTATTTTCTGTCTGCATGTCATTGAACTATCGGCAAACTCCCAACCCAGCTTTAGTGCTACTAATTTCCAGCAGAATACTATAGCCAGTCTTAGGATTAGTTATTTAAGCGGTGGATGACGGCAGTATCGCAATGTGAACAACTGAACTTTCTCCACACATGTGGATCCTTTGTTGGAGGAATAGGCGAAGGGGCAAGAGAAAGTGGGCCCCTATAGCAATGACGGGAAGGCCAAGCTGCATATATTCTGCGTGCATGTTGGCTGAGCTCCCCCTTTTCTCGGCTGGTATCCGCAGGTGTGCAGTGCAGCATGTGTGGCAGGAAAGTGGTGAAAGTGTTGACTTTCACCCGATATCAATGAAACAGCACATGGTGTTTGGTCAAAAATCTAAATATTTGGGATCACGCAATGCCAACCACTGCTTCCGCCACCAGAATTAGTATAATCTGCATTGTAAACCCTAACACCTGCTCCTGCTGTGTACTTGCAAACCGCTACGCATACTCCCATAAAATCGAATATGCGATGGAGGAATTACTAGACCTGGATAGGTACGTGTAAAGCGAAGAGAAAGAGCATGAGAGGGAAAGTTGACAACACTCAAGCATTATAGTAAACTTTGTACATATGCCACCACTACTTGCAATAGTACTTTATATGATTGTAAATAAGCACTTTTCATTTCAGAGGCAGCAGATGAGCTGTCACGATCTGCAAGTATTCCCTCATGCAGACCGTAATTTAGACGCCCTTTGTGATGGCAACTTCCCCCTCACTCTCGCCACCCAATGGGGCGACCCCACCCAAGAATTTCAATTCTGCAGCTGCCAACAGTCTTTCCGAACTTGCTCAGAGTGTCAAGGTAGGTGTGATTCCAACAAGGAATACAGTTTTTCGTCACCTAAGCTAAGAGAAAACGTGTGTGTTGATCTGCAGGAGAAGGGATTGTGGATTTTTGGAGAGTCCGAGTCCAAGCGGAGGGTGATCAAAATTGAGAAAAGGGACGGCTCCTATGGATTCACTCTTCAGGCAAGTGCATACCTACCGCTAATCCCCGATAAGAACAACACCAAAATTATGTATTTAGGCTGAATGGCACATTTGGCAGTAGTATGATCGACTCGTAGGTCGTCAAGCCATAGCTCGGACTATGCATAGTCCGAGTATGCATATTGTGAGTAAATCAAGTAAATGGTCATAGTGAGAAATACTGAGAATGAGACAAGCGTCTCACTTTCCTCGTCCACAGAACTCTTTTCTCTGACTGACAAGAGATTGGAAAGGCAGGTGTACGTAAGCATAAGTGAATAAATATTGTGATCTGTACGTAGATTTACTTATGCAGGCTCCTTTTGCGTATCGTTGAAATACAATTTGCGTTTCATCGTCAATAGCGCAATTTCTCCAGACGACGGTCTCCAAAGTTGTGTACTTCTGTCGCAGTTATTTGCGACAGTCTATTTTTGATCCCTAACCCGTGCTGCATCATTCCAATGCGTGTGTACGACTAAAAGGATGTCGTATTAATCGAGCTGGTGGAGTTGCAGTTAAAGTTGAGGACAGTAATAATGTGGTTGGGTTGTTGGTGGATCGTCATCTTGAGGAAAATCCTCCTCGGGTTCTCCGCTCATCCAACTCTGCCAAGATGTTTAGCATGCAGTTTAGAAGGCTGAATTGAATCTGTATTTTAATCTGGTGATGGCAAGATTGTGAAGATTTGTTCTGGTTTCAGAGTTACGGGGTGCGTTACAAGCACGGGAATCGAGAAACAGATTTCATCACCTACGTCAACGCTGTGGAGAAGGATGGAGCTGCATTCCACGCTGGCCTCCGAGAAGGTACGACATTTCACTTCCCATTACGCTGCCTTTCAGGGGTCAATAATTGGGCTGACCCTGCTGTCTCTTAAAAAATATATTACACGGGCCTGTTAAACCTTGCATCGGCTTCGTTTGAACAGCAAATTGATTAAATGTCCACAGGGGATGTCATTTTGTCGATAAACGGTCAGAACATGGCCCGAGTGGAGCACAAGTCTCTGGTAGCCTTCATACGACAATGCCCTACCAACCTGAAAATGATTGTGGTGTCGGATGAGCGGGCTCGCAAGGTACAGGCTCATGCATTAATTAATAGATAATTCTGTGACCTCGACCATGGGAGAGATCAGTGCTATCAAATTGGAATACTCCAAATTATCTAAACGGGTGTTTATGAATGGGCGCGACGTATGTAGGTTGAGCTGCACATGCGCTATGTTCACCTGCAAAAGAAACTTCAGGACAAAATGAGGGAGTTGGACGAGTTGAACAAGACGGAGAAGGAGATCCTCCTCGGCACCTTTGATGGTCACAGCGTTGACCTCGTGGGGACCTCATGCTTCAACGACCCCTCCTCCAGCTCTTGTTGCTTCTGCCCCACCAAACCAAAAACCTTTGCTCTGCTGGACGAGAGCAAGGAGAAGTCTAAAACCATGGGTGGATCCACAAAGTCTCGCAACAAGGACCTCTACTACGAATGTTATCGCAAGTCGCAGAGCACCAAAGAGCTCCACACCACAGACTCTGGTGATGTCACTGCCACCACAACCACGATAGGATCCATAGTTGGGATTCAACCTGCCAAGAAGGCGCAGAGTGGGGGAGAACTGTCCACCCTACCCAGCTCCTCTAGCTCTTCGTACGTCGTCGGAGTGACTCCTGGTCCAAATTTCAACGCCACTCCTGTTGTTGCTGGTGGTAATAGCAACGCTGGACGCTGTCATCATCACCACCACCATCATCACAATAATGCTTCGTCTACACATCACCAAGCCAAAGTAGGGTCCACTCCTTCCACATCAGCCGACACGGGAGGACAGGGCAGCAGTTCAAAGCAGTGGGATAACTTGATGACGACAAAGTCCTTTGGGGGTTACGGTTTTGGATTTGGGTATGGATACTACCCATCTAAACAGGGACTAAGTGAGCATCATCACTTTTCTCACCCACACCATCACAACCACCACACCCACTGCAGCAACCATTCTCACTACTACTACAATGGAGGTAACAATACCAGTAGCAATAACAAATCATCTCAACAACCTTGTGGTGGTGGTGCCAAAATGTTGTCCAGACGGTCCTCTGCGGACTCGACAACTTGTCATGTTGGAGGTGAGGGCAGCAGCAGCACTCGAGCCTTTACCAACTACACGACGTACAAGATGGATGGGACGACTCGAGTGGTGGCTCGAGTGACGATGGGCAATATTGAGACGTCATCAGGAGCGTGCACTAGAACTCTGCCCTCCACAGCGAGGTCCTCCTCCAGCTCCCGTCAAACGCCCGATGCGGTGAGCTTCCTCGAGAAAACGCTGTCCGATTCCAGCCTGAACAGTGAGCGCCACAAGGACTTTCCGAAGTCCATTAGCTACTTTAGCAAGAGCAGCGAGGCTGATGGCCATTATTCCAGTGATGATGATTACGAGGAATATGCCACGGAAGCCAGTTTTGGTCCTAAAAACGATATATACGTATAAAAAGTATAGTTTAAACTTTAAATGTCTAGATGGTACTTTATTACGTATTTATTTACATATGTACAAAGTCTCTCTATTTATTGTTAGTTTGTGTCATAGTCTCTCTCTGCATACATATGTGTATGTACTTAACATAGTGCAACAATACTCAAAAGTCCGTTCATTTTTACAACCCAATAAGTTCAGTCACGTAATAAATGACGTACGTTTCTTGCATCGAAAACGAGGAAATATAGAATAGTGCACTTAAAGATAAACACTCGCACATAACTTATAACATAGTATTAGTTTAATTTAATACAACGGAATTACTTCACTCATGTTTATGTATGAAATACAATAGGAAACGAATGGTCTGAAATTTGGTGCGCAGCATTCTTAGAATAGTTCCTTGTTATTGTCACTCTTGTCTAAATAAATCAAAATAAATCATTATCGACTTGGTTTTGAACTTATAACCAAAATCATAATAACCTCTGGTTTCACGATCCTTTTCAAGCTTTTTAATAAAATCATTGAAAATTTTCATGTATGGAGCCATCTTTGTCTTTTTCCAGGTTAACACATTCACCTCACTTTCTTTGGCTTTATCATGCTCACCAATTTCATCCATGAGTTGACTGTAACACAAATTAAATTTTATTTGAGTGAAAAATCGTACTTGCAAAGTTCATGGTGAAAAATTATAAATTTTTGATTGCAACATTATCTGAAACAGATTATTGATGTTTATAAATACACTGCTTACGTTATGCTCGGCACATCCGTGGTTTTGAACTTGTCCACATATTTAGGATCAAATGGAACGCATACTTGACCAGTTTTTGGGTGGATGCAAAATGGAGATTTGAGCAAATGGTTAATTCCTTTAGACACGTTAACGTCAAGCCGTGGGTAGCAGAATTGCAATAGAAGTTCGGGGTGAAGTTGGCGAAGTGTTTTCTTTTCTTTTTTCTATAATATTCAGAGTGTGAGATTCTACTTAACAAAGAAACCAATTGGTAAAAAAGGATGCCTCACATTATCATTAATGTAATTGAAGACGTCCTCATATCTCGAGGCAGGATTACGAGCTGCCATTTTTACGTCGAGTGGAAGTATGTTAAAATTGGCTTCTGTATTAAATATATTTTGATCATCATCACAAATCTCTTTAAACATTTCGTCGATGATATCAACTGAGCGTCTGCAACCAGATAAAATTCATGAAAAAAAGATGACTTCAAACTTGATTTACATTAATGGAAACAACGTACTGAAGAAATGGATGGAGTGTTTCAGGGTTTGGAATTTTGACCTTTTTTGCCTGATTTTCACCGCCTTTTATCACCTAAAATATATATAATAGCGTAGCAAATAATCATAATAACAATTTTCATGTCGGTTTTTTGTTTTTCTTTAGCCTTACAGAAAGATATTCAATGACCGCCCCACGCCCATGACTGTCTAACTGTCTGGCAATCGTGTCAGAAATCCAACAATGAACCCCTCGTCGTCCCGAATACACCCACAACAAGTGCTTGAAGCCAAAATCATCTAAAGATAATAGATATACAATGTCAAACATACATGATATACAATGTACGTAGAATGCAGAGCAAATTACAGTAAGTACTTTTGGACAAAAACTGTTCATGACACGTCGTAAAGTACGAAATCTACATACCTCTCAAAGCAGCATCCAAAATTTTGACTGCAATGGCCAAAAATTTCCAACATTTCTCACACACCTTGGCTCCGGAACAGCAAGTTCGCACGTCATCATAATCCGTCAAATCTATATCTACTACGAATCTGTTTGTGAAATGCAATGATATAATTACAAATCTAATTGCAATTATAAATCGAGATGATTCACATCCACCCGAATGTCTTGATCCATTCGTGGGATGTTCTGAACTTACTCTTTCTCCACAGGCTGAAAACCCGAACTGCTATCTCTCGATTTCGGTTTCTGCGTGTACACTGCGCCAATGTCGATTTTTTCGGGATTTCGCCGTCTCAATTCTTTGCCAAATTCCTCGTTACTGCCGAAAGACTGGTAGCGGATGTAAACGTCTCCCATAAGGGTGAAAGAGAACTCACGTCGTGAAAAGTAGTCGGCTGTAGGAGGAGATAAAAGTACAAAGTTTACAGGGTCAACATTATAATTTCTATTAAAAAATAAACAAAAATTATTATATTGATTACGAGTTGTTCTTACCACTTCCATAGCTGAGCCACCGGTACATCAAGTCTGTGGGGAAGAGACGGTCGTAATACGGCTTGAGCAGATCGGGCAAGAGGGTTGGATCATATTCGCCCATTTCGACGACGAGTCTTGGTCGACACGCTTATGCAAATCAGGTCGGTCGTCTGACTCGTCTGTGATGCGGTGAGTTTGTTTGTGACAAAGTAAGAGTTGATTTAGCGGAATGCAGACCCGCTCTTCGCACGTACGGTTTCTCGTTGGCCATACAAATTTTCAACTACAGAGGGGATACGAAAGACAGGAATTATTGCAATAAACCGGCGAACACATGTTCTTGTTTGCAAAAAAATGATTCATTTTGAATGACTGACTATTATCCACTACAAGTCACAAGTTGTTGGGACTGGGACAGCAATATTAATCAGCCAACACTAAACATTCTCTTGTTGAAACGCAGTCAAGAAGATCATCAACATCATCATGAAATGTATTTTGAAACCGATCGACGCTTCTTCTTCGCTGACTCCAATAACCCTTGAAAATGGTCACAAAATCTGCATTGGGCGAGGTCCAGAAACCAAAATTACTACAAAACGATGTTCCAAGAGACAGGGTAAGTTTTAGACTCAACATTTGATAACTCAATAATTTATCGACATTGTCGGATTGCAGTGGAGCTGACAGCCAACTATTCTACAAAAATGGTCCACTTTCGTCAGACCGGACCAAATCACTCTGCCCTTAACGGGAAGCTAATTGGAATGGGGATTAAGGGGAAGGCTGTCCATGGAGACGTACTCGAAGTGATATTGGGAGACCTCAAATATCGAGTGTGCTTCGAAAGTGATGAAACTGACGAATCTTCCCGTCTGGCCGATGGGTCTCCGCAGAAAAAGATTCCAAAAATGTTCCTTCCTCGCAACTCTGCTGCCGATCAGTTCAAGAGAGACGACCTCCTACTCAACAATGGAGTGTGGGAGGTTAAGGGTAACAACGAGGTGGCCGTCTACGTCTTGGGGGACGAAATGAAGGAAGCCAAACCAAATGTACATCCTTGTAACATTACATAACATCATTCATTATATTGCAAAGGCATATATTTGGTTGTTGTTTTGTTTATTGTGTATTGTTTGCTGGATTGTAAATTGATTATGCATTTCCACTACAAAAAGGTGGCCGGATTCGACATGGACGGTACGCTAATCACCACAAAATCCGGAAAAGTATTTCCCACTGGACCCAACGACTGGAAGTTTCTATACCCTCAAATTGTCGAGTTTCTCCAAAAATTCTTCTTAGATCATCCCGATTTTAAATTTGTGCTGTTCACGAATCAAGCAGGATGTAAAGAGCAAAAGCAGATGGACATGATGAAAAAGAAGATTGAGACAATTTTGAAACAGGTTGGCGTTCCCGTCTTGGCCTTCGTTGCTCCAAACAAGAATAAGTACAGGAAGCCGTTGACTGGGGGATGGGACCTTTTTGTGCAAGAGTACAACGGTGGAGTTACTCCAAACTTGACGACTTCATTCTATTGTGGCGATGCTGCAGGGAGGAAGAAGGACCACGCCATGTCGGACAGATTGTTTGCACTCAACGTTGGAATCACGTTTAAACTCCCAGAAGAATTCTTCCTCAGCTCAACTCGTGTCCAGGAGATGAGTACGCCAGCATTTGAACCGAAAAAATACTTGGCAAATTGTCCAAACAACGATCACGTGAAGTTTGGTAAAGGTCAAGAGGTAGATATGTCAAAGTGCCATACACGAAATAATAGTGATGCGACAGAAATAAGGTCATGAACAATACAGGAACTTGGCTGAACTATTTTATTTTGCAGATGATTATTATGATCGGATTCCCAGCGTCCGGGAAGAGTTCTTTTGTGAAGAATACTATTCTTCCAAAGGGACATGTTCATATCAATCGGGACACTTTAAAAACACCACAAAAGTGTCTCTCCACAACGGACAATGCTTTGCAAAATGGTGATAGTGTAAGTTTCTGTGTGTTTGCTAGTGTTGATCTATTACTTCATGTATGTACTTGGAACTATGGCTTGTCCTGTCTAGGTCGTTGTGGACAACACTAGCCCTGACAAAAAAGATAGAGCAGAGTATATCAAATTGGCAAAAAAACATGGTGTTCCAGTTCGATGTTTCAAAATGAATGTAGATCACGCCCACGCATTACATAACAATAAGGTATCTCAATTTATCACTCGCACTACTTGTTCCCAATGAACTGATTGAATGAACGCATGCATGCTAAAATTACTTTGTTTCTTCAGTTTCGAGAATTGACAAACGCATCCCAGTCCGTACCTGCCGTAGCATACAATGTCTTTAAGTAAGTCATTATAACTGAAGCACTACAGGCTTATGACATATGTAACAACTAAGAATATACTCTCGATTGATACTTGCAGGGCACGATATCAAGAACCGGTGATGGAAGAGGGCTTCTCTGCAATTGTCCTGATTAATTTCGTGCCCAACTTTACCAACTATGACGAGTCCGAAAGTCAAAATAGAATGAAACTCTACAGCTCTTACTTATTGGAGAAATGACAACAGTTGTCGGTTGTCGGTGTTAATATGTCGGTCGGTGTAATAAATAAATCGTGTAATGATGAAAAAATGTACTTGATTGTTGCCAAATATCTTCACTTGCCATTGTTATGTACCAGCATTTTACTAATAAGTAATCCGTACTATTACACAATCAGCAAGGTAGTAGCTCATTGTGTTGCCGGAAAAGGGAATAGTCAACAAACATTGTTGGTTCAAAATAATTCTCCCGAATTGGGGCATTAATTTTGAGCAAGTTGCAACTTGTACCACATTGAAGAGAAATATTTATAATAAAATCCTAGAATGTGTTTATTTAAGAATAGAAGCACTGGAGGCATCCTAATCTTATTAAGCCTTCTGCTGCCCCTTTATGGGGTCAAAGCGCTCCCAGCAGAGAAAGCAGATCACCCCTCGTACATTTTGGTCGCCGGTATCAACAAATCTAAAGTATTTCGTGGCAAACTTTGTAATGTATTGGGCCATGACACCAACAGGAGGAGGAGGCGGCGGCAATGCTTCGTCACTAGACCCACCACCCACGACCGTCGCAGCATTCAATCACAACTCGACCATTCTCAAGCCGAAAGGGAAAGGGGGACAGAAGGACGACTTCTCCTTGAGACTCGTCGACTGTCTCCCAATCGTCAAGTTGTGCGCTCTCACCTCCATTCCCCCATCCACCTGTACAACATGACTTTTCCACTTTTAATTAGCATATGCTTTTATGCAAGATTACTGATCCACAATAAACCCGCAGGTTCGTTGTCTTGTTACAAACTACGGGTTGGGCCGAACCCAAGTGTAGAACGACTGACCTGACGGGAGGACTGATGGCCTTGGCGCAAAGGCTCACACTCTCCGAAGAGTTGGCTGACTTTGCGCTCCCAGGATATTTTACCTTCACGTACGTATCGAATATGTGTCCATATAGTTGCTGCATGCTTGGCTGGTAGCATGTCCACGCTGCTAAGAGGATATTGAGGTCGAGACGCGTAAATAACTGTACACATGCATGTTTTCTCACCATTTACTAATCTACCAGGACGCTCCTGACCCTGAAAATCGACCCACTCCTGGAACAAATCGCCTCCGTTTTTGCCGCATACTTGATGGTTGGAGGAATCAAGTGTTCCGCAGTCATGTATGCCTACCAAGGCGTTGGGTAACACACGATAAGCAATAACTTTCAACTTTTATATTCTCTGACTGACTCACTGATGGGGTAATAATAGCTGTGCATCACCATCATAATATTTATTACGATGCACAGGGTGACTGATTGCCAAAAAATGACGGGACCCTGGGATCAATATTACATGTCCCATCGCACCAAAAAAGCCACCGTTTGTGACAAACCGTTGACGACGGAATGGCTGCGGATGCAGGATTTCTTTCCAGAAGTCGACGTAGTAGGAAGTACCCTGGAATTCTCCGAGAATCTGTACGACGATGGGTTGGACACCCTCACGCCAACCGCATACGAGGCCAACACGCTCAACCAAACGGGAGAGAAAGGCAAGCCTAGTCAGCCTTCGTCCTCTTCCAGTGGGAGCAAGTGTCCCCCTGGACAAACGAAGGACGAACTGTCGGGAAAGTGTAAAAAAGGCCATTAGTAAACAAGAGTTCCTTGATCTGGAATAAGTAAATGATGAGAAGGCATTGACACATATAAATCTCCCATCAATCCATCATGGGAAGTGATGAAATGAAAGATCTGTGGAATTGCATGTCCATAAATTTAAAAGTAAAAAGTAACGCAATCCGACAATAAATAAATAGCTAAAACAGAGATTTCTGTGTATTTAATGACAGCAATCACTTTATTATTACATATATTCCTTCATTCGTTATACCTCCATGTGTACGTATTCACTTTATGACTCACAACGACTCAATCTTGCATTGCTTGAAACAAGCAGAGGGGATTGATTAGGAATTGTCTGTCTGTCGGATGAATTGAGGCGTGTAAAAAATGGATCTAGTTGAGAAGCCTTCGTATAATATAATAAATACGTATATTGCACACGTATCAATACCTTTTGGCCCATCACTCCCTCCCACCCACACCTTCGCATTATTAGCAAGTACGAACGGATCCAACAACCGGGATGACCCCAAAAAGCGTTCTTCTTCCCGGCCGCTCCTCCCGCTGCTCAACAATGACTTATATGGACGCACATCATTTCCTTCCTCATGCTTAATAAATGATGATTGTTGTCGAGTCGTGCATTCGCCTCATCATGAGAGAAATTTCAGGCTATCTATGTTTACTGTGGGTAGCAGCAGCGATGATGAATGTGATGATGAGTGATGTCAGCCAGTTCCACAGGGGTCAGAGCTGGGAGCAGTACGGCTGAAGAGCACGCTATTTGGCATAGAAAATGGAAATATTATACTGGCATCTGCGTTGAAGCATGAATTTGATCCCTGGATGCGTCAGGGTAGCAACATTGCATTGCTAGAAGAGATGTACAGACAACAAATGCTGCAGTAGATGCTTTTTTAACTACAGCCATACATGTGAACATAATGTGTATCAGGCAGGATGGGAATCATCATCAGTCAGTCGAGTATGGCCGTTGTTGGCTAATCAGCATTGTTACCTCATCCATCCATCCAGCATCCGGTGGAGGAAGAAGGAGGTGGATTCATTCTGTGTTGTTGTGGAGGAAGTTGGCAGTATTGTTAGCATATATTGTGCTTATAAATTGAGCGTACGTACGTTCAGCAGGAGCGGCTGAGTGGCTAGAGCGATAGTTTCGAATGTGAAGAAGGGAATGAACTCGTATCGTTCCCATCCGAGAAGCCAATAATTCCATCGTTTCTCAACCACCTTCACAACTTCTTCCACACCAACGGCAACAATTATCATCATCCTCCTGGGAGTAAGTAACGGACAGGTTGCTCTCTCTCTCACCGTGTTTAGGTGAGTATAACAACAGGTTGCAGAAAAAATGCAAGACTGAGACCATCCGCACCCTCCATTTCGCATAAACAATATTGCAGAGGAAAGTAACCGTTGAGATGATGTTTCTTCCTCCTTCTTATTTTTCTCCTGATCACGCTCGTCACTCTTTGCTCAGTTTTCTACTGTGTTCCGAAGCTTTGTTCGAGCAGGACTGAAACCAAGCAGAAGAAGAAGACCCCGTCAATTTTCGTGGTCGTCCGAAAGTGTGAGACATTTTGCAAGAAAAAGTGTGAAGTTATTGGATCCTACGGTAAAAATATACGCACACGTTGGGGCTGAAAAGGTATGAACAAGTTGCGAATTTTTGTTTGATAGATTTCTGAAACTGTCTGAAATCAGATAGCGAATAGATTTCATATTTTTCGAGATGAGATATTTCTCATGGAAAATTACATGATTCACCATTCTGCTGGCTGGTTGTGCCAGAGAGAAATTTGAGACGAGGGTAAAAAGAGGCGAGAATCGAGATTAGTTTTGCACACCAGCCAGCCAAGCACCATGCATTTGGTTTGGTTTCATCTTTACTGGATCTGTAACACTTGCACTGATAAACATTACGCATTGTTGTTGATGCGATACGTACTGAATTACTGATTATTGCACATTTTTGTAACTAGCTGAGTATTAATTCCTTCTGGAATTTGGATTATTTTGTTGGTTATAAAAATGTACAGGGCAGAATTTTCTACATGCATACGCGTTTCATGATATGATTTCGTATTGAACGCATGACCAACTTAAATAACCTGCTGAGTGGCATGGGAAATGATGTTATCTTTGCATGCTGTTTGGCTTTGGTGCAGATGAGTCGATGTTCGAGTGAGAGCGACGTCACGTTGTCCCTGCAGGACTCGCCCGAACCACCCCCGCACCTCCGCCCAAAGTCCGCCAACGGGCATGGGCTGGACAACCCGGGGTACGTTTCTCCCTCCAAGGACGAGAAGCACCACACGAGCCTCCTCGCGGAAACCCCGATGAACAGCAACATTGTGAACCTGATCCCCACCAAGCCTTCCCCACAGCTCGGGCCCTTCGAACCCCTCAGCGACTACTTCATCCCCATCAATCACCACAAAAAGTTTTTCAGGTGGGTCACTCGATCCACGTACACATATCCAATCTCCGTACCCACGTATTTAGCAATCTGTAATTTGGTTTGGACAGGCGAAGTGAGAAGCTGTACGTGACCAAGACGAGGGGCGACAAGGGGAAGCGACGCCGAAGAAGTTGGGGTCGTCGCCTGTGCGGAGCGCTGGGGATTTTCTTTCTGGCCGGTCTGGGTGCAGTCACTGTCCTCGTTCTCCGTATGTACAGTAATGTGTATTAGGTTGCGAGACTTGTCTCACTTTGCCTCTCGTTTCTCTCCGCAGTTGACGTCCTCCACCTCCCACTCTTGGGGGCGAGGGGTCATGACCAGGTGTCCTCTGAATTCACAGCCACTTCTTCCTCAACGTCATCCCCACCCTCGAGTCAGACAGGATCATCGTCCAGTTCAGCGGGAATGACGACGGACGACGAAATTAATGTGTCAACGTCACCAACGACACAAATCAGCTCGATTTACTGTGAGAGTACTAAATATAAACGACAGTGACCTAATGATCCGATACGAGAAAAGATTTATCGGGATTTTTTATGCGTGTCTTTCTTGTCCTTATCAGTGCGGAACACGGCGGAGATGGAATTTTCTGTGGAGAACGGCAAGTATGAAGCAGCTTTGGCGAATAAAACCAGCCCCGCCTTCCAGGCACTTTCCGCCCAACTGCAAACTCTGGTGACCTATATTTACATATCCTAAGTTATCTGTCTTTATGTTTATAATGGAGCATTTTTAGAAATAATTATTGTCTATTCACACTTAGATTGTCCAATTGTTGGGAGAAAGCATTCAGCGCGACTCGGTGGTTGCAAAGGTTCAGGAATTTACGTGAGTCTTGGCAAATGTTAGATATTTACGATGAGCCAGATTGTTTACAGTGTTTGACCATCTGGATTTAGGCCCGAGTCGAGTGGGAGCATTTACACCAAGCTGAGAATTGGGTGGAGTGACGAGACGGTGACGTTCACGGGTCTCCAATTCGCACTAAGAAATGTGACCACGCTCGGACTGGGAAGCTTCACCATTCGACATCTCAAATTCTTTGGTAATTCATACACAGTAATACACACAGCAAACAGTTTGTGGTGTGACTGCAGGGCGGTCTTAAATTGATCTGATGTTGTGAAATCGTTTATTTTTTTGGGATTGTAGAAGTGGTCAACTTGTGCAAATTTCCGAGTCATGGCTGCTCTCACATTTGCTCATTCGACTCACAACAACTCCACTTCCAGTGCTCTTGCCCAGAGCCACTCCTTCTCTCCAAGAACGATCTCAAGACCTGTGTCCAGATTGAGAGCAGCGAGGGAAGCACGACCGAGTGGGTTAGCGAGGCCACCACAGATGACCAAGAGACGTCCACCACACCCAACGCCATCGCAGGAGAAGAGGAGGAGATTCCCAGGTCAACATCAACAACAACCAGCACCCCTTCAATCCCTTTGACCAATTCCACCACACCAATTTCGACCACGGCGACAAATGCGAACAATGATCCCACGACGACTCCCAGCACGACGATCTCCACATCTACCACAACCACTCCAACACCCGATGAGGCCGCACCCACAGAACTGGCACCCTCGTCCCCATCAGGAGAGGAGGAAGAAGTGCCCCAAGTGACTGAACAGGTAGAAGAGGCCCACGACTCCTCGGATGCGTCCATCGCTGAAAGTGACCAGCAGCCTCTTCCCATTGACGTGACGACACCGACGACGACGACCACCACCACGAACCCAGAGTCTCACACAGAGTTGGTGCAAGTTGACCAAGCTGATGAGCAAAGTGACTTGGATCAGAACAACATCACCGATGGTGTCTCGGAAGATGATGCCACCACATCCGTCCAGAACCTAGGAGTTGACGAAGTTGTAGCGGATGAGTCATCCTAGTTTATAGATATGTACTTGTCATCCCATATGGGCAACGATGAGCTTAAATCGGAAAGAGTTGCCATTTAATACATATGTCTTTCTTATGAGGAACGAGAGAGAAATAAACAAAAACCAATAAAATATTTCGACTAAAAAGAGAGCGACATTCTACACATTTTATTCTGGGTGGTGCAGGAGTAAAATTAATTATGGACATTTGTCTACATAAGCGAACACTCACACTTTTCACTACAATAAAACAATAATAGTTATTATACGTTATAACATGATGACAAGTTTCGACTCACAGTTACAGTTTTTTAATACAACACAACAACCGTTCTTTTCTTTGTTCATCATTTTCTTTTCTCTTTGGTGACTTCAGGGTTTCATATTCTGTACAATTAGTCCTCCTTTGGTTTTAGCTGAGGAGACCTTCGATCGCGTTGGCTGCGTCTGGGAAAGTTTCCACTGCATTGCCCCGTCTCCTCCATGGCATAAAGCTTCAAGTATTCAACACGTCGTCCCACCTTCCGTTGAAATTCACCTGCACAGGAAAAACAATTGCACTTGGAGACAATGGACCAATAAAATACACATGTATATATGCATTTAAAAAACTATTTATTGCTTACTGAATGATATGCTAGTTTTATTTTTGCCCCCAGCTTGAAAAAGCTTTGTTGCATCTTTCTCACTGGATTCGAATAAATTTTGCATCAAGTTCTGATACTCTGGTTCCGTCATCTCTGTTCTTCTCCCAGCGTACATCTGACCAACCAAAACAAAACCAAACATTAGTTCATGATCCATATAGGATTATGACATAATCATTATGTAACACAGGCTTAAACCAGTGTGAAATTGAGTGAGTGGTTGCCGGACTAAACCGCAATTACCTTGAAGACAAGAGTTTGGAGTAGGGTGAGTTTGGAGTCTGAGTAGAGCAAGCAAGTCAAGATCAGGTAGGGCCGCATGTCAATCATTTCCGGGTCCACGGGATTTTTCTGTATTCGCATGACGAAAATCAATAAAAATATATAAGTAACCTGAATTGCCTATAAGACTAAGAGAGTTATTTCCTACCTGTTGGAACAACTGGAAGAGGTCTCTCACTCTGGCCGACGCCTTGTCCTCGTCACCGGTAACGTGAAACATGTCTTGAAATTGTGGATATGTAATTCTCCAGTCAAACTTGTCTGTGGTGGTGCCCTCGTAAACTAGCGTCGTCTCTGTGGCTGCTTCCCGTAAACTGAAAATAAGTTATACATAAGCCACAAATTAATAAATACAAGAAATAGGAACGTTTGAGATAATGTTGGCGGTAGTTGACACTTACTTGAGATCGCCCTTGATTTTCCAAATTTTGCTCAATTTCTCACAAACTTTGCTAGATGCAAGTTTGCCAAGTGCCACTCCATCTTCATAGGTAAAGTCCGTGGCAGGAATTCCAAGCGCACTTTAAATAAAATAAGACGAATGAGTTATTTCTCTTATTAGGATATCTCATGCTTATTAAAATGTTTCGTAATTTAACAAAGAAACGGGAAGTATAATCTTACTCGGCCATAACTTTTTGAACATTGCTTGCAAAAAGGATTTCGTTTTCTTGTTCTTCTGCACTGGGCTTGTACACGGGCAGAAATTCTAGCTCGACAGAGTTGTGAAATTGAGAAAGTGCCACGAATGCGCTCCAAACTCTGTAGATAATAAGGTTAAGTTGTTAATTAGCGATGTATTTGTCAAAAAATTATCGTATTTAGTTTGTGAAGGTGCATTTCTTGCTCACGCTGAAGGGCTGTCAAAGGTCCAGGTCAAGCTATCCAGCCTGTTGGGATATCGAATGACGACGGGTTGGATAGGAACACCAGGTTGGAAAGCTCCGAGTTTGAACTGGGCAAGAGCTGATCTATTTGTACATGTGCCTTCGGGGAAGATGAAGACCTGTGGCCAGCCTTCACCAGACTTGACGCGGCGACGAATTTCAAACTTGCACGTATTTCGACTATCCGGATTGTCTCGATCTACATAGATAGCTTGTGTAAAGTCCATAAGTTTTCCGAAAAATGGTGTGTTGCTGCTCTCCTGCCGCGCCACCACGCTCGGACCTTGAAACAAATTGCAGGAAGTGTAAATATATATTAAAACTATTAAGTGACATGCATTATGCAAATACATACCTCCCAACAAGGGGACGAGGAACGCATCGAAGAAGGAGGAATGTGGTGCAGCGACAATGACGGGTGCCTCCTCCACAGAAGCCATTTTCCCGACCTTGTGCACCCAGTAGAAGCCAGAAACAAAGTACACACTACGCATTACCACGTGAGCTGTTATCCATTTGACAGTTCTATAATATAATAAGAAATTAATTAATGACTATATAGTTGTATTGATGATGAATTAATTCAGCAGCTCTCTTATGGTTTCTTAGCTATTAATATACCTTCGCCATGAGCTCAAAGGTGCTTCTTTGAACTGCTTTTCCGATAACCCACAAGTTCCAATAAGCATCAAACATAACGCCACCATCAGAAGTGCGGCGATGAGGATCAATCGCACCAGGCACACGACGGACATGAGGCATACCTATGAATTACAAAAGTAAAGTCCATAGTTAATAAATATGCTGAACTGAAAACCGTTTATGTAATGATCCTCGTCCCTGATAAATAGGTTGTGTTTATAGATATTTTGATATTTAATTACCTTAAGTTTATCATAGGTTGAGAGATAGAAGCGGCTGTAGAAGGGGTTGATGGGTGGTGTGGGAGCCAAAGGTGGCCCACTCACCAGCGTCCCCTCTTCAGCTTCCGTTTTAAATCCCAAAAAACGACTCCAAAATTCTTGATTAAGCGTTAGTTGTGGATCCTCTACCTCTTCAACAATGGGACCGACTGGTTGTTGCTTCTGATGATGATTTTGATACTGTTGACGATTTTGACGATGAAGGGGATGAGTCAGTCTGACAGTGGGGTCACCACCTCCTCTCGTTTCTTGTTTCCCCCTTCGAACTACAATGTCTCCGTCCTCCTCGTCTTCCCCGATGGTAGTGGCTTCCTTGGCCTGTCGTCTAATAGTTTCTTCCTCTTCTTTCTGATTTATTTTGGGCCCAAGTCTCCGCTGAACTTCTTCACTTGCTCGTTTCCGTACTCTTTCAAATTCCAACCGTTTTCCTATGTTCTCAGCTTCATCTGCCCCATCATGGTCTCCCAACTGTCTCCAAAGATTGGCAATAGCGTCAATTTTTGGTGGTTTGGGTAAAGGTACGCCTATTGGGAAGTGTGGTGAGTTTTCATACAATTTCCACAGAGGAGAGTCTGCCACAAAGGCGTTGAACCTGTTGTTCAGGTTGAAGTTGAATGTGGCAAGGTTTAGATTGTTTAAGTAGTTATTGAGTGATCGGAAGTGGACAAAAGGCTCCTGCTGGAGGATCAAATCTGCAGGGGATTCGCCAATGTCGAATTCTTGCTCTGACGTCGTTTCGTACTCGTAATCTTCAGGGGAGGATGACGAGGAGTCTTCATGGTACGAAGGTGCCATCCGTTCGGTTTCCAGTTTCGTCTGTAAATAAATAAATAGTTGAAATTTTGTATTTCCGCTTTCCTACGTTTTCGCAATCCATCCATAGCAATAAGAATTAATGTCGACCAAAGTATGACCTTACCATTGTGGTTGACTTGACTTTTTGTAAGGCAAGAACGAGAACAAAAAAGAAGAATGACTATATTTCTGGAAAACGTCGTGGTTGAGGCCAAGTATCCAGTATTAGAAACAATCAAATAAAGCTTGAACTAAAAAGTCCACGCAGGAGAAGGATGTTGCGTCACTGGTGCACGCTGTTAAGTTGACACTGTCAACATTCAGCTAATGAGATGAGCAATGATGAATCCGTGCCAATTATTGTGAGTAAACTGTTTCTTTCAGTAATAGTGTTATTGCTCAACACGACAACAACGCGTATTTTGATTACCACACACACGCTACGCAGCCTCACTTGAACTTTACTGCTCCAAATTAGATACTTGCATAGTACAAACTCAGCATTTAAGCAATCAACTGTTTTAACACATCATCAAGAAAGACTGAATCACTAAAACTAGTGGAATATTTAAATCAATGTGCTGTGCTGATGATCTTGCTGTTCTGGTATCACTATCAATTGATTGATTGATCACTATAAATGCCCAATGTCGATCAATAATTGCTCTCAGAGTTTTGTGACGTGACACTACTTTGAACTGCGATTAGGATAATTGCAGCCGAATTGTATTAATATGCGGTCGGCTGTTGCCTGGCAGATGCAAGAATGGAGAGTGAACCTTCTGGAGCCCTCCTCCTCTTTGGTTGTTGGAGTGTAGCAACAACAAACCCGGGTATTTCCCAATGCCCGAATGCTGCACAAAAAAGTCATTCGATTTTTGATAGGGAGCACAAACCAGTCGAGCCACTATTTCCAGGCCGAGAATAATATGAGAAGCGTAGTTGATTTTATTTTCTCATCCGCTCGTCCTGATAGCATGACTTTCGCTATGCTGACGGTTGGTTAGTGAGTCACAAAGTTATTCTGCTCACACAACCTCGAGGTGAGCGCTCATATGCGCATATTTAACTCGAGAAAGAATCAAAATTCTGCTGTACTTCTCCTCAGTTGATGCAATCTCGTTGCTGATTAAACCAGGTGTATTTACAAATGAACAGAATGACTGAGTATCAATCAACTAGTGATTTATAAAAGTTCTAAATACACGTCCACTATCCACGTCGTCGTCGTCGCCGACAATACTTTTAATACACTTGCTAACTGATACACCACATGGACCAAACGCCCCTGAGTAACACGTCGTCTAACATTGTCGATTAGAGGTGATGCCAAAATAAAAATGCCAACAGTTCCCTACTCTTTTGCGATATATTGATCAAATAGTTCGTGAGACGGGGAAGGAAACCAAAAAAACTGGTTCATTAAATAAGAAGAGAGTATAGTTTCTCTGTTAGTCGTATAGCAAAACCTTCGTTATTGTGGACGTTGATTCTTGATGGTTAGTGTAGTTAGCTAGTTAGCTTACTTTCTGACACACATAATAATACAATAACAATAATTTCCTTCTCTATCCTTGTTCGCAAACCAAATCGGGGTTGCATGCATAGCAGACGCTAGGCTGAGAGGTCTTGATGAGGGTAAGGATCCTGTGTCACTGTAATCCATGGAGAGCCCCCAAATCACCACCAACATCGCCTATAGAACAATTGGAAAGCGGAATACCATTTACGTATTGTAAATACTATCATTTATTCAGCATAAGAAGTATGTAAGAAGACTTGAGATTTATGGAGGTGAGAAAAAATCATCACTGATAAAATTGAGCCTCCTTGAGACTGCGTTGCCTGCTGCTGCTGCTGATGGTGAGTAAGTAGAAGGATGACAAGAAGCGGAGGCATATTGAGACGTTGGTGTATGCACGTACGTGGACCTTGGCTATGTGTAATTGCATATTCGGCCTGTTTTTTTGGTGCAATTTGTTAGTTTAGAGCGTCTTGTGGTGGTCGATTTGTGAATTGAGAAATTAATCCAGCGTGCCATTACTATATAATGAAAGATGTAGCAATTTGTATACATAGTAATTGTTATGCAAGGGATTCCTAGAACAATAAATGAGGATAAGGTTGCAATAGTTTATTACTGGTTCATTAAACTAGAGCGAGACTAGGCATTTCTTGGATTGTTTTACACGTATATTTAGGTGTATAGCACTCTGTTTGTAGGACAGGGTAAAGAAGAGGAAGCAACAATAATCGTGGTCAGCTCATGAATGAGCCAGATATTATGCAAATATATATATAAGCTCTTAAGTGGGCTTCTGTTGGCTCGGCTGCTAAGATGACATAAAAATAATTGACCTTATCGACTATAAAATTATATCGGTACTAAACTTTGGGTAAAGATTGTCGATTTCTTGATGAGACGCTCTCAATATTGTTAAAGATGTGTTTCTCCAAGGTTTCAAGGGCCATGTCCGTATCTCGGATTTCGGAATGTTGCATTGTCAAATGCCTTCGGATTGTCTGGACTCGGTCAAGTTGCTCCTCAAGGGGACAGTAGCTTAATTTTGTCTCGTTGATAGCTCTGAGTAACAATTTTCTGGATTCTGGAAATTATAATTTGGAATTTTATTATAAAATGAAACGATAAATCGATTATGACAAGAGGACATATCTTTCGACCATACTTCTCCAATGAAGCTTAGCAGTTAGGAGGATGGCATCTAACTCGTTCATCCCGTTATCATTATCATCACGTAATAAGGTTGAGGTGGCTGAACATGTGTCTCTGTATTCGGAATTTGTAACGTTTTCTCCTACTTCGTCATCTTCACTGTTCGAGTTGTGATTTCGAAGGGAAACTATTCGTTTGTGTACGACTGGGATGCGAAGTACGTGGTCACATTTTCTCCTTTCATCTGCAAGGGGACAGCTAAATAATAACCGATAGGCGAGTGGTTGTATATATGTAGTTACCTGAGTCACCACATGGAGGATTGTTCCCTCCTAGTTTGACATCCAAACCAGGTACGAACTTTGGGTATTTGATGCACACAGGGTTATTGAGGAAGTTGTTACTTTCATCCTCCTCCTCCTTATCCTTATCCTCATCATCATGGCGTGGAAGAGAGGGCTGGGACGCGTGGGCGGAGGAACATGATGATGACGAACACTCTTGGTAGATTTGGGCTCGATTTGTGCTTAACCTCAACGATTGTGTATTGATGGAATTACTGCAAGACCCTTTATTTTTTGCTTCTATTAAAATATTTAAAAAATTACTATGTTCAATAATAGTCAAATAATAAAATGTTAAAATGGAATTACTCGAGTTTTCTGTACCAGTTTTTGGCCGGAGTCCTAGTACGTGAAGAAATGAAGTCTTTGAATCACTTTCCGTTTTCAAAATAGAAGTGAGAGATTTTTCCGAGGGTGATGATTGTAGCTCACTCAGCTTCGGGGAAGGCACCGTTCCTCTTTCACTTCGACAAGAGAGCGATTTCAGTTCCAGCCCTGCAACAACCAAACATGAAAATTGCTTAATATATGCAAGTAGACAAACAAATCAAGAATTGGTCCCCGCCCCCACTCACTTACCCATCTTTTCTTTTGGCGTAATGAGTCCAAGTTGATTCAAAAAGTTTCGTTGTTTGGCTCTAATTTCGTTGAGCACCATCCTTGCCTCGGCCTCCTTTGCCATAAAATATTGAATAGTCTTTCGTGCAAAAGAATCATCAAGGATCAAAGAAGAAAGGTTTTTGTCATCATTGCTCACATGGGTTGCAGACGTAGAAATAAATGCAAGTTCATTCTCTCGTTCATCTTTGGTATTTGTGATGGGTTGGCGTGAAGGAGGTGACATCGTCCCCGCTGCTACTGCTGCTGGTGGTACCGAAGAGGAATTAGTACGACGGCACGACTGATTGTTTTCCTCCTCCGCCATTGTCGTCCTTTCCTCCAAGGACACTTTTGGTTTTTCTTCTGGAAGAGATTCAGACTTGCTCAAGTACGCAATTGAGAACTTGGATCGTGGAGATAACCGGTTCTGTTCAGAAGAAGAACAATAAGAGTCCATTCGACTTTTGTTCGATTGTGACTTTTGCGACAAGTCGATGGCACCATGTTTATTCCTTCCTGCTTCTCCTCCTCCTGAATTTGAAGGCACTTCATCACAACCATTGTTTGCATCTCCATGCGATTGGTCACTATAAATGCGGAACGAAGATTCCTCATGGTTTATAGAGAATTTTCGTTTCTTTACCAACACGGAGTCAAGTTCACTGGTATTACGAGTCTTTGGCAACTGATTTTCCTCATCCATCAGATTGTTTTCACCGGAAATTGGACTATCTGATGGTTTCCAATAACGCTTCTTTGGAACTAGGAAGTCCCTTCTACCTTCCCCACCACCTCCACTACTTATTCCCTGGGAGGAAAGCCTAGACTGGCGTCGCTCTTCCAGAATTTCTGATCTTTCACCTTCACTACTGTCACGATTCAGGTGGAGGTCATCCTCCTGAAAGGGGGAAGACCTGTGTTGAACGCTGCTGCGACGATGGTGGAGATGAAGTGAGTAGTCTTGTGATCGGGCTGCTTCTGCTGGGGAGAGAGAGGTTCGAGTTGGGGTCGAGTGCGCTCTCACAATTCGTCCCCCCTCATCTTCACCACTCGAGTTATGCGAAAGATTTGCCTCTCGCAGCTCTATCCAGTGAAGTTGGGGATGATGGCGAACAGGGAGACTTGTCCCAGCTTCATTTTTCAACCCTGTAGAATTTGGCAGCGTTTGACACATATCATAGTCACCACAATCACGAGGTGAAGGAAAATTTTGTCGGCTTTGATGGCTGAGAGAGGGGGCAGAAGCAATTCGCAAAGGTGAAGAACCCGGACTTTCTATACGCAGGGTCGTCGTCGTCGTTGTTGTTGTGGACGAACATGGTGCAGACTGGAGGCGCAGTTGGGGAAATAGTGTGGATAGTGACAGTGGGTGACCAATGAGTGAGGGTGGTGATGGTAAATCAGGATCAACAGCAAGGCTGCGACAATGAACAACATTAAATAAATTGCAACATTACAATACAAGTTGTATAATTTAAGTTGTATCTAACTGACTCACCCTCGGGTCAGGACCGCAGATGAACTGCATCCACCACTGGTATTACTAACTGTAGCGACAGCAGCCGAAGAAAGAGAAGGATAAGGAGAAGACGGTGAATAAAGTTGATTTGTTGGAGACTCGCGTTGCCTCCACGGTGTCGAATGGTGGTGCCGATGACCTCGTTGGTGCTGGTGGTGGTGACTTGAGGTAATAGAGGAAGCGAGTGGATGGTCGTCAAAATTATTGGGTGTGGTGTAATCTGGAACGTCAGCGTCGTCTCCCCCTCCTCCTCCACCCCCACCACTACTAGTGGTAGTGCCACTCGAAGGCCACGGGTAATGACCACCAGGAGAATAGTATGGCAATAGGTGATGAGGAAAGGAGGACTGAGACCCTCCATGCCTAAGTGCAGCTTCATTGCTAAATCCGTATGGTCTCCCAAAGGATGATGATGAGGTAGATAATTCATATTTGTTGTTATTTGGTGATGATCTATCATCCATGTGGCTAATTGTGTACACGAGCGAGTTTTTCCTACCACCTGCAATCCCATGATGATGATGATGTTGCAGAGATGACATGGGAGCCACGGTGACCACAGGGGGCTGAACATGAAGGTTGACTTCCAGCGTGGAAATATTGCTGGAGTCTGCGAATCTGTGAGATGTTTTCACCAGGTGATTTCTTTGCGGTGAGGTTTGAGGACCTCTGGTCAGGGCGAGGGGACTCACTCCTCCTTGCCGATGTCCCACCATTGTCGATGTGGGCTGAGTCACGCTGTATTTGACGGTCTGCTGCTGGTTGATGATCCCCTCCAGCCTCAGACCTAATCCACTGTTGGCTCTCGGCCTATGCACATACTTGTTGATCGGTGGAATTGCCTCGGGAAGGGCTGTGGGCTCATTCGTTTTGGGAGGAGCGAGAGGTTCTGTTGGTGGACATCGAGGAAGTTGGGTTTCCCCAGACGGCAACCTTGCCACGGTGGCCTCTACACTGTCTTCCGGTGGTGGTGGTCTCGCCATCCAGTTGAAATGGCGCTAATTCGCATTAACAGATTTTACAAAAAATTGTCAATACTTGCACACATTTCTAAGCTGGCGCCAAGAGTTTGTAAAGTTTGTACCTTGTGTACAGGGAGTCCCCACCGGTCATATTCGGCACTTTGTGCCCACAAAGTTTCGGAACAATCTAGACAAACCACAGCCAGTGGATTATTTCCCAACGTTATGCTCCCCGGCTGACGAGTTTTCGCCAGAAAGGGAAATTCCTGTGTAATACAGAAAACAAAAGATTTTGTTTATTAGCGCATACACATATCAGCAAAAAAGACGCGAATCCCGAGGCAAGAGACGAAACTATTTACTTGAAATGGAAGTGCTCGAACTCGCTTTCGATATGTTTCCACCCCACAAACGGCACAGATGAACTTGCGGATGAAATACTTCCTTTGCATCGGGGTCACGATTTCCTTCTTCCCTTCAAAGGCGTTCCACTGGGACTGCAAAAAAAACAAACATTTAATAAAACCTGTGTATAATTCATTTCAACGCTAAGTATATATGTTAATGTCATACTTCGAGGAGAGCGTGGCAGAAAGCGCAGAGATAAGTGGAGCCATTCTCGGAGAAGAGGGCGCCTGGTGGGGGGCTCCCTGTTTGTAGAAGGAAGGGAAAGAAGGGAACGGATGGGTCGGGCGAGTAGGGCCGACTTTGAACCAGCTGCGCCCACTCTTTTGATGATGGCATCTTTGAAACAAAGTAATAATGATTGAATTTTCCGTTTTGACATAAAAAATAAGTACATTATAAGGGTTCACGCTTAGAATTAGATAATTATTACCTGACAGGTATAACAGGTCACGGTGAACGTCTCCCCCACACTCGGCCCTGGTGGCTTGTTGTATTTGTACATTGGCAATTGAGATAGCTGAGGATGTTTAACTAAACTGCTAACTCACACGACGACCCATGCACAAAACGAATTAAAACTAAAGTAGAAAGGATTCAGCCGGAAAGAGGAAGAGTGAGGATGGGGGGTAAGTTGCCCCAGAAGTAGTTGTAGTTCATGGTTACGGAGAGCGAGCGAGCGTGGGGTTGAGATAGGGTTACAGGGTCCACCACTCTCCCTCCACGCTCTTGACGCTGCTTTTTTGAAGCGGTTCTTGTTCTCGTCGCCCTGGTTTGACGACGACGCTGTTGTTGGAAGTTGCAGAAATTTATATTGCAATTGCAACTAAATAAATTATTCACCAAGCAGCAAGGAGTGCAACAGCAGAGCACACAGCAGAGAAGAAGACCACGAGTTGGAACCAAAACAGAGCCACCACCATCACGTACTCCTCGCTCGGTGTGGTACGCACTGGTTTCAGCCGGTTGTGGGCCTCTCTCGATCAGAACCACCAAAGACCGCCAACGAGGAACCACTGCTGCTTCACCAAATAAATCAACAAACAAACTGCACCACAAAATTGATCAAAATTCCTGAGAGTTTAATTAATATAGAAAGAATGACTAGAAAGAATGACTAGAAAGAAAGAAAGACTATAGAAAGAATTAACAGTCAAGTATGCTTCATGTTCGTTAATTTCTTTAAAATACTCGTTTGATTGGTGAAAAACTAAAATCTAGGACAAGTGATAAGTATGGTGTTCAGCTGTCCAATCTGCAGCGAACGGTTGGATCGCGTACCAGGGGCACAAAATGCTCCAAAAACTCGAGAGGATATCAGTATCTCGTCTACACCGTAAGTTATTATTACCTAATGGCATTAACAATTTAAATGTTACATGTTTATTACGACAACTTTCAGATGTGGCCACATATTTCACACATTTTGTATTCAGAAATGGTTGACGTGAGTACATTTGGAAAAAGATACGACCTTTAACTTTAAGCGAATTTTAACCGCATTTATGTCTATTAATTTGTAGTGGTGCGCTCAGCAATGCCAATAAACAATGTCCATGTTGTCGAAAAGTGGTTCCTGGGGCGAAAACGCTGCCCCTCTTCCCAGACCGTTACGACGCCTCGCTTGATGATTCTTTGGTTGATCCTGGTGGTTCTGGTGGCTTGCCATGCGACGGAGACCATTCACATTATCAAACGCAACTTAGCTCTCTGAAACAAGTGACTGAAACTCTCAGAGACAAAATGAGAGAGACTGAGGAGTTGCTCGTGATTCAAAAGTAAGAAATATTTGTACATATTAAATACGTAATAATACGGATATCTCCTTGTAATAATGTATAAAATTATAATTATTCGTTTAGTGATATTAGTGATGATTACAAAGCAAAATTTACCAAGGAGAAGGAACGATCCAATACGTACTTGATCCAGTGGAGACAAGCAGAGAGTTACAAGTCATACGCTGAGCAACAAGAGCGTGAATGTACAAATCTCACAGAGACACTGAAGCAGTATGAACTGTAAGATGATTATTCAGGCATTATTATACATTTTTCATTGATATTTCCTGCGGACTAACTTTTACACAACACGTATTTATAACCCAGAATTTCCATGATGGTACGAAACGTCAAAGAGGACGTAAAGTATGATCTACAACGGTATGCGTCAACCGCATCGTTGGAAAAATTGCTCGAAATACACCACGTCATCAAAGAGTGAGAATGCGTTCATTAATTTAACATGATTATACGCCTTGACACTAATTACTTTTTTGGCGCACCCTTCTAGCGAGTACGACACTGCAACCAAGAAACTAACGGATGTACAAAGCAAGCAGGAAAACGACAGACAGGAAATCTCCAGACTGCGAAAAAAGTATAATGACTTACAAAAGGCTCATGCCGAGTTAGAGCGGGTGCATTTTAATTGTTCCGATAATGGAAATGCCAGTTTTGCTACAGGAACTACACCCCAGTCCTTGAATAAGATTGATCACCACGTAATATTAGATATAAAATATAAAGCAGAAATTTTTACAAAGAAATGTTATGTAATAATATTGCAATAATTTATTTATTCTATTGCTTTTATCTGATACACGTAGGTTATGAAAAATAACAGTCGGACGCCTCTCACGTTGCCAAATTCACCATCAAAGTTTAACCGAGCCATGCTGGGTAGATCTGGTAAATTGATGGATGAAGTGGATAGGGACATACCAGTGATTCAACCTTTCAACAAGAAGAACAAGAAACTAGTCCAAAATATTGACGATAATACGAACAATAGAATGAAACCTGAACCTATGAAGCAATCATCATCAAAGCCTTCAACAGTCCTCGATAAAAAATTAAAGAGGACATTTGACTCATCATTACAAGACAATAAGGTCGTGCTTTCTAAAAAGAAGACAAATTTCCCAGTATTTTCCGATTTTGAAGACAGATCAATAACAAAGCCAAGCTCGAGTAAAAAGTCTAAACAGGATAAGAATGATACGATTGAATTGGATGACAGCGATGTATGTTTTGTGTGAAATACACATATTACTTTATTGATTGTATTTCAATATTTGATTCCATTGTTGGTTCGTTTCTTGTAGGATGAATTACTGGATATTCCACTGCGAGGAAGTCTACCTGGCCTCAGGATAGAACAACGACGGACGGTCACTAAACCTAAACAATTTACATTTACGAAAAAGTCATAATTTACTATTACTAATTTAAATCAGACGTGTTTAATATTAACCTTATTAAAGTTACAACTTTTCATTGGTCAAGGAAAGTATTTGACATATGACATATCAGTAAAATTATAAGTTATCGTGAGAACTTATAACTCGAAGACACGAATCCATGAAATACATTTACTTTTTTACATGTGAATGGTTGAGAATGTATCATTTGTTGATTCATCGTGCATTGTGCTTATACTCACATGCACACTGTAGTTTGTGGAAACTCGAATATATGCATTTTAAGTCTATTTTTAGAAAAGAGCTTTAGTTTGGCATGAGGTGTTCCGAATTTAAAACTCGTTCAGCTGAAAACCACATGGTTCGAGTTACTAGTTTAAATTTCACCCGAAAAAATCCTGGCCGGAGGAGGTAGTATAAATCATCCTCCTCATAATCATAATGGGCGACTATGACCTCATTCGTCGCATTGTGGATGGTGAATTTCCCCCAGAACAGTCCCAGGATCACAAGGGGAACGTGAGTAACCTGTTTTTTGAACACTTGGAAGTAAGCGGTGTGGATGTGGAGGAGCTGCTCGAAGGAAGTGACCCGGATGACCATCTGGCGCGGTCCTTTGCCCTCAAACGTTACTTCACTTGGGTTCCGTTGAACCAAGATCACCTTCGACGTTAGTTTGCTCCGACTTCTCTATAACAAAACATTTTGTAGAATTTTTCACTGCCAACATGTTGAATGTTTCAATCTTACATAGCCTACCGGAAGAATGGCGAAACGTCCTCCATTCTTCGTGAAATTGGGAGAGCCGCTCACGCTCAGAAGAACTTGAAGGAGGCGTTAAAGTACTACAACCTGGCCGTCAGCTATGCCCCCTTCCATCACGACAAGGAGCTGCCTGAATTGTTTGAAACACTGGCAGAACGGTCAGAAATCCTTCTCCAGGCCCGCGGAGGGGAGGAGGCGTTGCGGGACGTCAACTTTTTGCTGGGGCTGCTGACAGGTATTGACTCAAACATGTGAATGAGCATGATAATGGTGATTGTGGTCTAAGGGGTGTGGATCAACAGGAGCGAATTATGGGGCTGAGAAGGATGAGGCAGTGGGACGGTTGGTTGGTCGCGTAAAGGAGACGCAGACAAAGTGTCTCAAGTTTCTGGAGGAGAAAGCCTGCTTCATGCTCGAGCTGGCCAAGGACTCGGTGGACGAGATGGAGAGACGGAGAAAGTACAAGAATCTGCTACTCTTCAGAGTCAAGAGCCCACACCCACTCATCCCAGGTTACATGCATTCCCATTATTATCACATATGAAATACTGGGTGCAGAATCGTTATTATAATTGAGCTTACCATATCCACTTAGCGGCGGAGGCATTTGTGGACATCAAGGAGGATCCGATCAAGGGGCGCTGTCTCGTTCTCAACAGGGACATTCCAGCAGGTTCGAATTTATTTCTGATGTTGTACAATTCATTCATACGTTATTATGTGTCCGTGTTCTCATTTTCTGTACGAATGCACACAAAGGAACGACGGTGGTGGTGGAAGAACCCTTTGTGAAAGTGCTGAAGAATGGACTAAAGTGGGAAATGGGTCATTGTCACTACTGTCTCCTCAGGGTTCGTGGGGGTGGAGGGATTCCTTGTCCGGGCTGCGTCTTTGTAAGTGACGAAACCTATCGAAAGCATATGCGTACGAAATTTTAAACTAGCATTACCACGTTGTTGATTGCAGGAGATTTACTGCAGTGAGGCATGTCGTGATGGCGCCTACGAGTCGTATCATCGCTACGAATGCCCCTGTTTGCCCTATCTCCACTCCACCTCCACCCCACGGTACATCAACCTCGCTTTTAGAATTGTCTGCATTCTGGGACCAAAGGAGATGTACCGCCTCTTTAGCACCAAAGACCCCTCGTACTTCCACCCACAGCTGAAGCGTGAGGGTGTGCTCGTGCTGGGGTGCGTTCCGGGGAATGGGACATACCACTCCCACTCTTACCTCCCCATCTACCATCTCGTCTCCCATGCCCCTCGCGGAGAGGTTTCATACATCACCAACGTCCTCCAAGGTCTCATCTTTGCCCACGTCCTTGAGTCCCTCTCAACCTTCTTCGACCAACCACGGTAGCCACTCCTAATTAAATAAACAAATTCTAACAATGTAATAATCTATAAACGTATGTGTAGCTACTTGGACACCCATCCTCGCCCCTACTTTCGCACATTTGTGGCCTCTATGATTCTTCACCACATGGAGGTGAGTGATAGCAGTAGTGATAAGGATGATGGAATCCCCCTACATGACTTATGTATTTATATTCTATAATGTTTGATTTTCTTGGAGAACATTCCCCCAAACTCCATCTCTATAGACGAGCTGGTGGGGTTGGAAGGGATTTCCCTCCTCGTCAAAGAACCTACCATTCTGCAGGAGCGGATTCGTGGGTTGCAACGTCCACAAGTCGCCTCTGCCACCTACGCCCTTAGCTCATTAATCAACCATTCTTGTGACCCCAATGTTACCCGTCTCCACGACCTCACCCACGGGCGAATGGTGGTCAGAATCATATAATCGTTTATCTTATTCCATTTGGAAGCTATAATTTCATGCAATATTTAATAAATAGCTCGTCACACTCAAGGGGCTCAAAGCAGGGGAGGAGCTGCTCACCTCCTACACCAAGATTTTCCTCGCCGACACGACGGAAGAGCGTAGAGATTACCTTCAGGTATATAAATCTTCTTTATTTCCCCCCACCGACTCCAACGATGTATGTATGTAGCTACACATATAAACTACGTATCGTTACTTGCTGTAGACAACCTACAACTTCACGTGTGATTGTATCCCCTGCATTCAAAAGTGGCCAATTTTAGCAAAAATTAGTGAATCGGAGCCAAGATTCTGCTGTTCGCCATGCGTCAGAAAATTGGCCACGGGGGATAAAGCATCTCCCACTTTTGCGAGGTGCATCCTCGATAAGAAGGTCGGCTTTACTCCATTTCAACATTAAATTTCCTGGTATGATTTATGACGCTTATATGGCTGTGAATTTATTTGCGACAGGGATTTTGCCGGAGTTGCAAGAAAGGGATGTCCCACTCCAAGTTGCGAGACGGGCTGGACCAAAGGATCGAGAGTTTCTTTGAAGCATACGAACTGATTTTGAAGGTTTTCTATTTGACTTTCTAAGAACAGATTTTTATCATTTTTGTCATATTAACATGTGTGAGTTGAGTCTATTTTTGATATTGTACATACTGAAATTGGATTTCATTTCCATTCTGAAGAATCGCCCACTGGACGCTATTCGGCTGTTGGGTCCCTGCGCCCAGTTCTTTCAGGACAACGTTTGCCCCCCGTACAACAAGATCTACATGAGTCAAGATCTCCTCAAAACTGCGCTGGACCTCGTCGTCCACTACTCCGTCCCCAGAACATGAACTTGTCACCCGATTACACATTACAAGTACTTATCGTATGTATGCACATATTGGTAAGAATAATAATGCCAATTATGCGAAGAGTAGATGAGGTTTAATAAATGAGCATATTTATTTAGGTTCAAAATTGAGTCATTTAATAATATGTAAAATTTCATCCAATCCATATTTACTTTTTGCAGTGACATTTCTATTAAATATTATCTATGTAATAGTGTAACAATAAATAAAAACGTGTACAGCTATTCTATTCGCCTGCTTATTCGTATGTATTAATAAATATGACGACGACAACAAGTTCGCATGTGTTTGAGAAACTCATTACTTTGAAATTACTGTCAATGGGATCTATCGCAGCTTCCTATTGGATTGTTGATCCATCATCGGTGGGTGTGCTTGCGTTGATGGATGACATTCATCATAAGTTGTAAGATTAGTTGTTTGTACTGATCAGAGACTGACGCCAAAGGAACGCCTCTCCGTCAACTTAAAATTTGGAACAGTTTGCTGTTTGAAAATACAACTAGGGAGAAAACTTAACAAACTAATCACCGTCGCAAAATGACAACTCGTCTAAAATATCCAGACGTATTAATGTAAAATAAAGAATAATTAGTTAACTCTGACCCTATAATCTTTCACTTAACTCATAGTGTATTAGATATACTATCAGGCGAAATTGTAAAAAAATTAAAGAATTTGTCATCGAAATCTGCCAGTCATACATTCATTTGCATATCATGAATGCGTAATCTTGAGGTTCAGCTCGTATGTAGTTAATATAAGTAGCTTGTTAGTTAGCCGTTCACTTCTTTTTTGGAGCAGATTTCTTTGGAGACTTTGCAGCTTTTGGTTTCGCAGCCTTTTTTGGTTTGGGAGATTTTGGTTTTTTGGGTGACTTTGCCGCCTTTGGTTTGCTAGCCTTCTTGGCTGGCTTGGCCTTCTTGGGCGCTGCGGCTTTTTTAGCAGGGGCGGCAGGTTTGGGGGCAGCCGCGGAGGATTCACTTGGAGCAGCAGTGGTAGAGGCAGCTGGCTTGGCTTTTGGCTTTGAGGCAGCCTTGGTCTTTTTGGGAGATGCTGCCTTCTTAACCTTCTTGGCACCAGCACCGGCTGCCTTTGGCTTCTTGGGGGACTTGGCCTTAGGTTTCTTTGCTGCCTTGGGCTTCTTGGCAGCTCCTCCCACTGCAGCGGCTGATGCACCCTTGGCCGCCAGACGGAAGGACCCGTTGGCGCCTTTTCCTTTAACCTGGACGAGTTGACCTTTCACGGTTCCGGATTTTAAGTAGCGGCGAATGAAGGGGGCAAGTTTTTCAGCATCCACCTTCAAAACGATAATTCGATGTAAATATCTATATGACGCATTTGATAGTGGATCTCATAATAATTATGCATAATGCAATGAGGAAGCTGACCTTGTAGGTGTCGTGGATGTACTTCTTGATGGCCTTGAGGGAAGAACCACCCCTTTCCGCGAGTCCCTTGATGGCAGCATTGACCATGACGGCCACCTTTGGATGGTCGGCAGATGCTCCTCCGGCCTTCTTGACCCTTGGCTTCTTGACCTTGGGCGTCTTGGGAGTGGCTGCTTTCTTCGCTGCCTTTCCCTTGCCTTTCGGCGTGGCGGCGGCGGCGGCAGGCTCTGAGCTAGCGGCAGTTGTTCCTTCCGAGTCAGACATGTTTATGTCGGATATTCTCTGAAAACAGCAGTTTAGACTATTATTTACTTCATAAATACGTTATAAAACACTAAACAACAAAATGAGGTTAGGGGTCACCGACTCAAGATAAGTCATGGACGGGGAATAATAACAACTCTCTTTCCGCAATTTCTTACCTAGTTGCTGGGTTTAGTTGGTGAATGATAAGTTGACTTAACACTTTTGCATATGAGACTGTGCATACGGGGTCTGTCGCAACAGGTTTTGTTCAACTGGGGAAGAGACGGGTCGGACGGGAAAGAACTCGGCAGGAATCTGAAAATCCAACCCAAAGCTAAAGCTCTGCTAAAGGCAAGCCAAGTCGTGTTTCTTCCTCCACTTTCCCCCCCTCTTGTGCCCCTCCCCTTCACAAAATGACCCCACCACCCCGTCCAGTCTCACCACCTGCTATCTGCCTCCCATTCCCACCCACCCAGGTCCCACAAACCCCCCTCCACTCCCCCCACACGCTCCCAAAGGCGTCGCAACAGCGCCTCACAAACTGCAATTCCTCAGTTTCCCCCCAACCACGCCCCGAACTGCACACTTTTTTGGACCCCCAATTTTTTTTCTGAAGCCTGAATGCCTTGACATGAAGAGGGTGTGGTGAGGTTCTGCTTTCGTACAACCAACGCCACGAAACCAGCCCCACATTTCCCCAGCCTCACACAAATCTCATAACTAGCGAATCCCTATCTCAAACTTTCGAACGCTCCCCTACCACACCCCGTGAGGACATTAGAGGTCATACAATTTTGCACGCGTAAGAAGGGGTGTGGCTGTGTGGGAGCAAAATTTGGGCGCGATTGGGTCACGGTGGGGGTGGCAATCATGGCTTAAACATTTCTCATGGGTTAAATGGACTCGGGATTTTGGTCTGCAGAGACGGTGGTGGTGTTGAGAGATTACGGAAGGGGGTTATGTTTTGGGGGTCCTTATTTGCCCACAGCCACCCCCACACCTCATCCGAGGCCTGTGGGTGGGCAGTCGAGGGGTGGGGTCTCGTCGGCATGAATAATTCCTTGTGGGCGAATAGGGATACAAAGTAAAAAGGATATTTTGAGACTCGGAAGGAGTCGGGAGTGCAGAGATGCGTTATCATCCAACCATTATTATTTTCGCCCAACTCTGCACTATCATTTATTGAAATAAAATGTCGCTGGTGTGGTGAGGGTTGGTGGGTGTGGTCCTCTCGCTGTGATGGGATTCATTTGCCCCCCTCATCATACACTTATAATATGCATAGATGCATACCGTCGTCAGGTTACGTTGAATGGTGAAGCTAGAGGTGTCGTAAAAATGTATGTGCGTGCGGTGGGTCGCAATTTTTGAAAAATGGTGACAATTATCGGGGGATTAAATGAACGTGAAATTAAATATATTAGATTATTATGATACACATATTTGCATAAACATTGACCAATAAGTTTTCAGATATGTACATAGATACAATATGCATAAGTAGGTAGGGCTCATATACACGTGAAAGAAGAGGGTATTTTGCATTAGATTTGTAAATGTTAAGGCCCAATGCAAACCTTACAAATAATTGGCCTCGCTTAAGGTTGGGCTTACTTCTTGATAAAGGGACCAGGGGGATGTCCGTAATTTGGGGGAGGGGTAGCCGTTCGTAACTATTTAGAAACATGAGACAGACTTTTAATCGGATGGATTTCAATACAGTCAATACTCATGTAGTCAATTTGACAAAAATTTCAAGTCGTAGTTTTGAGAATGTGATTCCAAAAATGAGATGATGAATGATGAATCCAACAGGATATTGATGTTGTCATTCGGATGCAAATTTCTCTCCTCGACCTGTGTCTCAACAACACTAGGAGCTACAGCTACGTATTATGTAATGAGTAAGTTTACCCGGTATGATTATCATTCCTGAGAAAGTTTACCTTCTCTTTATGAGACTAATCAATAGTTTTATACTCGCTTAATGACATTATTATGACGGAGATAATTTTGTTACATAGTTTCTAGTTATTCCTCATCATTTTTGTACCCTTGTAATTTTGTTGTGATATACTTTAGTGCATAATGCAAAACTGCAAAGCGGAAGTTTTTTTGTCTTCAGACGTTGCTTTTGTTTTCCTTGGAGGGCGTTTTGACCATGTCGACAGCAGAGACGGGTGGCTCTGGCGCAAGTGAAGTGTCCAGCGTGTTGAGGTTCGACTTGGAGGAGCGGTACTGGGCTTGAAAGTCACCAATGCTCTTCCCCATCACGATCTGGTCCATTCGGTCAAATTCCTCGTCATCGTTCTCCCCCAGTTGTCGTTCCGCTCGAAGCTCCTCCTCCGGAAAGTAGGCCGGCTTCTCTTCTCGGAGCAGAGACATGCCGAAGGTCCTGAAATAAACATGAGGACGACATTATTGTTGGGCTGGCAGTTGCATGGTAATCTCCTAGCGGTGCCAGATACTCACTTGAGAAGAGCTTGAGCCGGCACCCAAATGATGATTCCCAACCAAATGATGTACCCCAAAGCAATGATTCCAGGTTTTTGGGTAACTGGCAGGGTGCTACCCGAAGTAATGTTGTAAACGTCGTACTTTATGCCATTCATGCACTGATTAACCAGGTCTGCCAGCAAGATCGCTGGAGAACAAGGCAAAAGTTATTGGTTACTATAGCTAAGATGTACTTACATAGTTTGACCTTAGGATAAGTACTTATCATACCTAAAATAAGGGCGGGGGTGATAAACTTCCAGCACATTAGCATAAACATGTTTGGTCGCGATCCAGTCATGAGTTTGATGTCGTAGGAGAATCTGAGAGAGATAGAATATCACACGTTATCATCATGGATAACGCCGGGTTTAGACTTCACGTTAGCATCACGTTCTCCTCCCAATCCGATTTTTTGATTGGCTAATCAAAAATATCACTAACAAGGGACACTCACGACCTGTCGTTTGAGTCCAGGGTACCCACTATGTTTTTTAGAATCTACTTGGACCCCAGATGAAGGATTCATTCATATTTCCGTGTAAAACTCATATTTGGCATCGTGCCGTGGCGCCAAATTCGCCAAATTTGAATGTTTTTATTTTTGAAACCGCCATAACTTTTAAAATCCTGGATGGATTTTCAAAATATTTGGCAAAATCATGACAAGGAGTTCAACTTTCTTATCCCATGAAATTTTTTCCAAAATTATTACTTTTAACTTTTCGCAAAATTTCGTTATTTTCTTAAAAATAGGGGCTCGTCGAAAAAATGCTAAAAACATTCCAAAAATTAGAAATTTTTTTATTTTATTTTTTTTCTCAAAAATTTCGACTTTTGTGATCATTTTAAGCATAAAATTTTGAAAATCCGACATAAACTGCAAAAGTTATGGGGGTTTGAAATTGGGCGAAAATGCAAATTTTTAAGTTTGGCGCCACGCCATGGCGCCAAATATGAGTTTTACACGGAAATATGAATGAATCCTTTATCTGGGGTCCTAGTAGAATCTAAAAAACATGGTGGGTACCCTGGACTCAAACGACAGGTCGTGAGTGTCCCTTGTAAGACAATTAAAAATTTCGACCAATCAAAAAATCGGATTGGGAGGAGAACGTGATGCTAACGTGAAGTCTAAACCTGGGGTAAGTCATCATCATAAATTCAGGCCTAATTGTTATACTTTGCCAATCCGTAGACGTAGGAAATTCCGACAGTCTCGAAGAACCCAATGATGAGGAGACTCCAGTTGGAGACGACTGTAACAGGGGATTCATCAATACATTGTGCAGACGACAAGAATGTGCATATAGAACGACTAACATTGATCCAGAAAGGCTTGGATGTATACTCCCCACCCCCAGCAAAACATGAGAGATAAAACAAATAAGGATCCGGTGACAATGCCTGCAGAAAATTCTCGAAATAATATTAACCAAGCCGCCGTACAATAACCAAAAACATGAATTCAAGAAGTGACGTTATTACAAGTGATGGCCCATCGAGGGACTTTGAGGACTTTCAAATCGATAAGCACGGCGATGGCTCCCTCCAAAGTCCCAAAACTTGAGTCAATCCCCAGAGTGAGAAGCATCAAGAAAAACATGAAGCTGGGAAAAAACAACAACACCTCGTAAAAAAATTAAGCGATTAAGAAATTTATTATTGGCAAACCTCCAGAAAGGAGGAAAGAATCCCATGTGCAGTACAGCTTCAGCAAACCCGATGAAAACAAGGCCGGTGCCACTCCCACTCTACGGAAATTATGAAAATATGCTCGGTGAATTATATGAAATTGCTGGTAAAATTCTGGTAAAATAGGGAGGCTTAAGCAATGAGTGATACCATTGGTAGCTACTTACATCACGAGTCAAATTTTCCAGAGAACAGTTAAACTTTTGTCCCAAGGAAATATTTACTGGCATGTTGAATGCTGGAGTTGCGTTGTGGTAAATCAAATTAGTAATGTTTCCAAATTCTATAGGAAGAACGCTGTACAACTTGGTCAGATTGGCTCGCTTGTCCTGGTCGAGTGCGTCATTGTCATTAATAATAGCCAGATTCTTCAGGGTTTCAAGCACACGGTCCTCCAAGCAGTGCTTGAATTTGCGTTTTCCAATTGCTCCAAAGACAGGGAAAAGAACAATGGCGGCAAAGAGACTGGTGGCGCAGTTGATGATGGACACCGAGACCGCGTCCCTGTAGCAGTTGTTGTTGGAGGGGAGGTAGGATGCGAAGACGATGAGACATCCGTAGGCCACACCCAAGGAAAAGAAGATCTGCGAACCTGCGGCCAGCCACACCTTGGGATCGTACAATGTTTTCCACTGTGATCAACAAAAATGGGGAAAAAAAGGATCAGGTTGGCAAACTCAAGGAGATATTACTATATGCATATTATAATGGCTCAAGTGTAACTTCCATCAAAATTTGATTCCCGCGTTCGTATCCCTACCATACTAATAGCATGGGAAACGAGCGCGGGATGATGGAAGTTACACAGTATTGTTTGAAGGTTTATTGTTATTATATGACCACGCACATCGGGTTTTAAAAGGATGGCATAACCGTCCTTCCATCCATCTTGGAAGAAATTAGCGATGAAGAAGATGGTGAGGGTGACGTAGGGAAAGAGGGCCGTGAAGTAGACGACCTTCTCTGAGCTTTTGATCCCCTTGATGAGGATGCCAAGGACGAGGAGCCAAGACACGGTGAGGGCGAGCAGCATCCAAGGGTTAAAGTTCCCGGGCTGTGTGATGTCATTGGAAACATCCAACATCCGGCGATACCAGTAATATTTGGACGCCTGGTTCGACGCCTGCCAATGCAAACCAAGAGGATTAGATGAGAAACAACCCGTGAACAACTGATGGTCTCACTCCGCATTCGTCGGAATAACCAGTCATATTATCGACTGGTTCGTCCTTCCACTTCTTGATCGTGGAACAATTAGTCCAAGGAAGTTGCGACCGGAAGCTGTCAAAGAAGTAGAGGAACACCCAGGCCACTGCAATATATAGAACAGAACCTTTTAGGCGCATGTGTGCAGGAAGAGAGGGGACCCTAAAATATGTACCTCGTGACGATCACTCACCCAACGTGTTGTAGTACAGCTCGACAGAGTAGCAAACGAGGCCGCAGGAGATTCCGAGTCCTCCCAAGTAAGGGCTGATCTCGTTCCAGGAGCCCAACGCCCCCTTCCTCAACCTTTGTCCCACTGCCTATAATTTAAACTATCTGTTTAAATTATTATAATTAAATTAATTATTAACTTTAAATCGCTATTTACAAGCTCGAGGAAGAAGAGGGGAATTCCAGCAAAGGCGACCATCACGGTGTAAGGGATGAGGAAGGCAACCCCACCGTTGCTGTGCATCAAGAACTGTCCCACACATTACCATTACAACTTGCGCAAAATGATTTTTTTAAATTTAGATTAAGCCGTTATTGCTTTATCGTCATACCGGAAACCGCCTGAAAGTTTAATTATTTCAGAATTTCAGATACAATTTCTAATTTATTTGCTAAACTTAGTATTCACCACCATTAAATATTATTTAGTGTAACTCTAATTACCAAATGTTGCCAAAACCCACGGCATATCCAACCAAGGTGAGAATGTAGCCAAGCTTGGACCCCCATGTGTCCCGTTCTGGTTCTGGTTCCACGACGACATCTCCCTCACCTCCGCCATTCCCAACCTCTCCTTCCACCGACTGCTGACCCTGAAGGGACGCAACCTGTTCCAGCGACTCTGGGGTGGAAGAGTCCGTCTGGGTGGCAACAACAATAATTGCTCACTTTTATGCGTAAAATCGACTCATCCGAAAGTGGGACTCGATAAATAAATGCACCAAGTTATGTTACCATTCGAATTTCTGGAGTCGAGGAGGCGGCCTTTTGAAGGACGTGGCCCGACTCTTGATGAAGGCCGTGCGAGCCTCGTCGAGGGTATGGATTGGAATCTGGGAGATCAGGGGGATGAGCAAGGCCAAAGAGACGATAAATCCACGACATTGACGAATCTTTTTGTGCGAGTCAAACTGGAATAAAGTTCGTGAATTGAATTCTCTCATCTGAAGATTTTCTCTTTCACCGATTTTCTGTCGCAGATTCACAGGAATGTGCTTGACATTTCATAACCATCGCAACGACATGAGATTTGATATGGTAAATGAGATAAATTGACATTCGTGTCTGGAAAATCAGTGTAGCAGAAGTAGCTGTTATCCGTCTTGATTGTTGATCTTGGTCGTTAGTTGACCACAAAAACATGAAGAAATATTTAGATGCGAGTCGATGATTTCTTACATGAAATGAAAATGATGGAAAAACATATGCATCAGACATATATTCAGAGCGTTATATAAATAAATTCTCGGAATACTAGGTTGTAGGTATACAGCAGATTTATTACAAGCTTTCGATGATACTTGCATCATCATCAGGTAACTTTCTCAAAATAATATTTCTGAAGTTGATAAGCCATATAGGGGTACTTATTGTCAAACCTTATGCAAAAAACTCAAAATGTTCAAAACTTTTATATGATTGTATTGAATTTGTTAATAAATTCCACTCTTCTTTCTCCTCATTAAAAACTAAGCTTATTTAAATCGACGGCAATTCCGTTGATACACTTGCAACTAGAGTCACCGTTGCCACATCCGCCTCCTCCCTCTGATCGTAGAGCGTCCTCTCTCTCGTTGAACAGGGTTTCCAAGAGTTCCGCAGCGTCGGGGCAGATGGTCTTGAACTCGTGCACAAATCCCTTCACCTCACCCCACGAGGGAGGTTCCTGGCCTGGGTTCACTCTCAAATTCAAGGCAAAGTGGTTCAGCTTGGCAAGAAACGTGTGCAGCGGGGTGTCCTCAGCAGAGTCTGGACTGATAGAGATTGCAGCTCTGTAAAAATACATGAAAAAGTAATTGGCACAGCTCTATGAGATTAGTAAATAATTCCCTCCAGTTCAGTTCATTGCTTGGACTTACTCGACCACACCCATCAGTTTCCCAAGTTCTGTGTACACGGCCAAATGGGTGGTGAGTTGGCGTGGGGTAAACACCTCGTGGGCCTTCTCTTCGGCAGTTGTGGCCCCCTCCACATAACCGGCCTACGCATACCAACCAATATACCTTGAGACTATGTTGACCCAATAAATATGTATAGCGCAGAGCATAATACAAGAAGCGTACTGTACCTTGAACAATTTTTCACGCATTTTATAAAAATCTCGTGAGCCTGTCGTCAGCTCGTCCTCGTCCCCAGAATCCATGCTCAATAATTTGATGCTTCCTGAAAAAAATAGCAAATAGAACTACATCAGCATTACGATTGCAATCATTTTTACAATTCACTGCAAATTCATAAATGCATCGATCCATGATATGTGCAGCTACATATGCTCCACTTTATGTCATATTTACTACAGTTTTAAATCAATATTTTCATGACTAATGTTTTCAAGTGCAAGTCAATATCAGAGATGGGAAAATATGAGCACAAAATACACAAAATGTATTTATTTGGATAATTGATAGGTTTGAGTCAAAGTACAAAATAAATCCTTCCTCTCTGACACGTAAATTTGGTTTTAGAGCCTGATGAGTGAATAATTTCACATGTAAAAGCCCAGAAGTAAAACTCATAGGGCGTGGTTTAACCGTTTCAAAAAACTACTAGAATTAGAAAATCGGTGTGGTTCACGCAACGTTCATGCAAAATCATTTTTGGTGTCATTTTGTAACAGAACTCGCAGAACTCTGAGCATGATTTGGTTGATTTACAAAATTTTAGGCATTTGGTTTAGAGAGGACAAATGTGGCATGTATGTACACACTTCAGATCATCTTTCACACTAACAACTAATGCAAATCCCAACACAATGCTTTAGAACTGTAGGCATATACATGCAGATGAATCTACATATGCAAAGAGCATGATGAAGATATGATATGTTAGGTCAGTTGACTGGAATAAGAGACGATTTAACCAACCCAGTCCAGCGCCAGTTTATCAACTATTTGTTACAAATTACTAAATTCAGCAGCCACTGCTCTTCAAACACATAGAGATAAATACACCACGAATGGCGATGAACAAATAGACACAATTTGATAAACAATACGTCGATACTATTATTATTATTACCACACTTGGCATTTGACACTCACATCAAAAAAGCAGCCAAGAAGTACGACTAGTCGTTGCTTGCGGTCAACATAGTCGGAGAGAAAATTTCAGTCTGAGGATGAGAACAAGTTGTGACCTCCTGCTCCTCTTGGTGGCGATTGTTAGTCTCGTGTCATGTCAGGTCCTCGTGGAGAGGGCCGACGGAGGTCTACTTGGTCCGCAAATGGAGGAGCCGGACAAACTGGTCCACTACCAACCCAGACATGTTCACATTGCGTATGGCAGTAAGTCGTCATCGTAAAGTTAGGATTTCTTGGATAAAATCTTAATTCTACTGCTTATTTTGTTGGAAAACAGACTCCCCCACGACGAAGATGGTGGTGACGTGGAGTACGGTGGACTGGCCGGAAGGTGGTGATGTGACCCCTTTCGTTGAATGGGGAACTCGGCTCCCTTGGCAAGGTCGGACAAATGGGTCCACCACTCGATTCGTGGACACGGGGGACCTGCACCTCGCCCAGTTCATCCACAGGGTCACGCTCACGGACCTCCAACCACACACGTCTTACAGTGAGTTGTTGTACGCACAATTTATAGCCAAGTGCGTAAAGTAGAGTTTTTTTTATCTACTCGGTGATGCTTTTCCCCATGTACATAGTTTACCACTGCGGGAGTTCAGAGGGGATTTCGGAGCTCTTTGGTTTCACCACGATGATGGAGGGGACAGACTGGTCGCCATCGCTGGCAGTGTACGGAGATCTGGGGAACGTAAACGCCCAAGTGTGTTACATATAAATATTTCCATCTTTCATGAATCTTCACTTTCTCAATAGAGTTTCAATATGTAACTGTTTAAATATGTAATTCTCCAGTCCTTGGTGCGACTCCAGCAAGAAGTTCAGCTGGGAGTGTACGACGCCATCCTTCATGTTGGCGACTTCGCCTATGACATGGACTCTGATAACGGGCTGGTGGGTGACGCGTTTATGGACCAGATTCAACCTATCGCTGCCTACCTGCCATACATGACCTGTCCAGGCAACCATGAGCAGAGAGAGTAATGAGACGCTTGCATAATATCTACTTCAGAAACTAACCGCTGGCAATAGTAAATATTGTGTTTTTGCAGTAACTTTGCCCAATACAAGAACCGATTCAGCATGCCTGGAAAGTTTGACTCGATGTTGTACTCGTTTGACATGGGGCCGGTTCACTTCATTTCCATTTCCACAGAGTTTTACTACTTCCTCCAGTATGGGATCAAGCACGTGGTGGCGCAGTACGAGTGGCTGGTGGAGGACTTGAGGGAGGCGAACCGACCAGAGCGAAGGGCGGAGAGGCCTTGGATCGTCACTTTCGGTCACCGCCCCATGTACTGCTCCAACAACAATACGGACGACTGCACACAGCACGAGGTTGGATGAAAATGGGTTCTTCTTATTAGTGAAAAGAGAGGGAGGCCGGTAATTTATTTACTAATTAACCAATAATTTTATGGCAAAACTAGACTCGTGTCCGGGTGGGCATCCCCTTCATCCACCTCTTCGGCCTCGAAGGTTTCTAACTCTAACAATAAAACTACCAACCAACCACTCTAATGTATCACCAGATCGTCTTTATTTCGTATTTCCTAATTTTGCAGACCTCTTCATGGAGCACGGGGTGGACTTGGCAATCTGGGCGCACGAGCACTCTTACGAACGGATGTGGCCCATGTACAACCACCGAGTGGTCAACGGGAGTGATGAGGGAGATCCTTACCACAACCCGAAGGGACTGGTTCACGTGACCACGGGCAGTGCGGGCTGCAGCGAGCGACACGACGACTTTGTCCAGTACATGCCCGACTACACGGCCTTCAGAAGTACTGACTATGGGTACAGTCGTCTCCACGTGCTCAACAAGACGCATCTGCACATGGAGCAGGTGTCGGATGATCAGGTTGGTAATAGGTCATCCACGATGAATAAGATCTCAAATCCGGTGAAAACCTGCCTGAGCTTTGGTTTAATTTTTAACATAGGATGGGAAGATAATTGACTCCTTCACCCTGGTTCGGGACAGACACGAGGCGTACAAAATTCCACCCCGGGATTGAGAAATACGCATATAATCCATCCTATGGTCTCGTCATCATCATGTGCCATCCAAACATTACCATGCTGCTTATTTGTTTGTATGCATACTTATGTACTAGACTTATTCCTACGCCTTGAATAATATTTCTTTTATGTGTTTTTGGTTTTAGTCAATTATATTGCATAGCTTTTAATAAAACAGATTGAATCGAAAGTCGTTAAACAGTTACTTATTAACGTATGCAAATGAAACACCTCGATCGAGATCTGCATGCACCTGTCAACGTTTTAGAGGAACGCTGCTAAGAGAAAGTATGAACAACAAAGGCAGTCCAAACAAACCACCCACGCCACGAATAACCCAAAACCAGTAATAACTCGACAGATCACATACATACATTAGAATTGGGCTTGTGGCTTTTTCAATATTATAGAATTGCTTGTCCACAAAATTGAAACTCCAATTTTCGAGGGGACATTGTTTGTACCCCAAATCCCCAGAGGTTGCGCATGTGGAAGATTGTGACCAAGCCAGCATAATATGTATTCAGCTAGCTTCGCATTCATTTTGTGGTGATGTCAGTTCAGTTCAGTGGTGTCAGTCAGGTTGGGCAAGATGAACTCGATCCATTTATGGCAACTGAGGAAGAATCTGTGGCCCACGTAATAGACTTGTCACTGGGGTGAGCCCAGCAGAAGGAGACGAAGCAGTAGGAAAATGTGCTACAAATTAGGTCGAGTTATAGCACTATTGACCATACTCACATTTTTCGTCGTGCTCCTCCAGTACCAGAAGAAGGGTGGGCTTGGCAGGCCACACCCCTTGCTCTTGAGTAGGAGGAGGCCTGTCACCACCAACTACATCATCAACAACCTTGTGTGTGATGTGAGTGTGGGGAAGGAGAGGGTTCGTCTCATTAGTCTGGTAACATCCCATCCGGGAAATGGCCAGCTTCGAGATAAGCTCCGAACACTGCTCCCTACGTCAAAACTGAGTAAACTGGGAATGAGACGACTCTTCCTCCTCGGAACATTAGACTCGGAAGGGAGGCGAAGAGACGAGTCGCCGAGTAATAAGAAATACAACTGGGTCTCATGGTCAGACATCGAGCGAGAAGGGAGAGAGCACAGGGACCTCGTCGTGGGCGACTTCCTCGAAAGTTATCACAACCTGACTCCTAAGCATATGATGGGACTCGAGTGGGTGGACCGCTTTTGTCCACAGGCAACATTCGTATTGAAACAAGATGACGACATCATCGTGGACTATTTCCAGCTGGATGTCCTATTGGGTCAGCCCCCCTTCGCGAGCGTGGTAGAAGACAAGGGGCAAATATTGGGCAAGGTGCTCCACCACCAGACCGTCATTCGTGACCCCAGCTCGAAATGGTTCGTCTCCAAGGACGAGTACCCATCCGACATCTTCCCAAGCTTCGTGTCAGGATGGGCTTACATCACCACACCCAAGGTACGATGCCCCAAGTCTCGCTCAATGTCCCTTACAAGCTAGACTATTAATTGTGCACATTAACTAGGTGGTCAAGGCCCTTCTCGTTGCGGCGCAAAACTTGGAGTACTTTTGGATCGATGATGTTCATGTGACGGGAACATTAAGGGAGGCTGCAGGCATCTCTCTGCTCGACTTGGCCGACTACTTTACCACATTCAAAGGGCAGCTGGAGTGTTGTGTGGCCACTCCAGAAAAAAAGTTGTTCGTGGTACAGGAACATGGTCGTCGTCCGTTCTGGTGTGACTTTGTGATTGGCCCACCAAACGATGATCAGGTCTTGATGGAACTATTCCACCGACACGCCACCTTCTGCCACACGACTAAGCTCTGTGGGAGGAGGAGGGGGAGGCAGAGACTGGAACGCAGTTGCGTCATCACACCGCACATGATAGTCAACAGGTTCTTGGGCCACTCGCAGAATAATAATAGTATTATTAGAAGCGTGCAAAAGGGGGTCTGGAAACCCCTTGCGCGCAATTATGGATAAGTGGTATATCAGTACAACATACTTTGTGATATTATTTAAGCATCATCATCAGTGTTTCTATTGTATTATTTCACTCAACAGTAATGTTTGAATAATTTGATTTTCTACACGTAATAAATAATTCTGTGGATTTTCATTGAGAATTTGGGACATTACAATAGTTGGAGGATTGATGGCAGCGTTGGATCGGATCACTCAAGTCTTAAACTATTTCAGCCCTCGCCCGGACTCGACAATGACGACGGATTGGAGTTCGATCATGTCTCGCTCCTTTCTTGCCGATTCTTCCTTGATACACCTCATCTGTATTACGAATAGAGATAAATAGTTGCAGAGGTGTACTAACAAGTGAAAATAAATGGTAAATAATAATTGAGACCTCTCTCATCGCAGAATCCAATCGTTCCGACATAGCCATGCTGTGATATTCTGCATGACCCAGAAATGCCGTCTCCGCCGTCGCTTCAGACAATCTCTGTATACTCGACATGAACGACTCTAACTCCTACATAATTGCAATTAATAAGGGAGGTGTCAATATATCTATCTACAAGGCGAACCCTTGCTCGAAAAGGAAATGCTCACCAGGATTTTGCCCTTCATGTTATCAACTTCCGCTCTCAACATGATTATTCTACAGTCCAACAACTCCAACTGAACCCCCTCCGTGATTCTTGAGCTCTCCAAGGCATTTATCAAGCTATCCAGCAAACATCTGGAAATTACGAGTGAGAGCTTCATAAACGAGGAAAATACCACTTAGCATGCGTACATATAGTATCTTGTATATGCATACCGGTACTTTTCATGATAATCTTGATAAGCTGCAATCGTCTCACACAATACTCTCGTCACACTATCTACCGTCAATTGGCAGGCCTGACGTACCAGCACCTTGTGACTCAAATCTGTCTTCTCGCACCAATTCATCTGTCAAACGAGGAACGAATCTATACAGCAAAGCACATGGTGGGTTTCATGGTCAGTATCTTACCGGGACCATGCCATTTCTTTCTGTGGGAGGCGAGGAAGATGAGGGGGAAATAGTGTTGCCGGTGGGTAAAGAAGTATTTGAAAGTTCTCCTGGCATGAGTGGTAGTGGGTCACAGGATCCTCCACACTTGGGGACAATAAATGAGAAGGGTTCTGAGCAGGAGTTGGCATTAATATTGCTTGCTGGTTGATCAACTGGTTCACAGCCACATTTCGAAGATGAGGGAGAGGAATTCCCCTCGCAATGGACGAAAAGTGGGAAGGACAGGATCAAAGATGCCAAAGGAAAGGAACCCCATGTCTACAAATATAAACGCACAGACCGTAGAGGATTCACCTTTAGACCAAGTATGACAATGTTTGATGCTGACAAGTGACAAAGTAAACCCTACTGACACCTCTTAAGAAATGATATCGCACAGCTTACTTACCTTGTACCCAAGTTTACTAAAACGGAAGCCCGAGTCTGCTTCAGGGGTTTTCACCACTTTCCGTGTCACCCTTGCGACGCTATAAGAATTATTAATGTTGAGCTGGAACGAGCGAATGAGTGAACTCCACGGTAGCCGGAACAAGTTTTGTACGTCCGCAGTTTTCTTGACCTGTGTTTGCAAGGTCAAGCAGCCCAGAATAGATGACCGTGGAGGGAATATTCCCCACGAATTAAGACTCTGCTTCTTGATAGTTGGTTTCGTCGGAGGAGGAAGCAGGCAACTTTTTCTCGTGACGACAGATCTCAGGGTCTGGTAGAGTCCCCTTATTGTGAAGGCCATCAACCAAATCACCACACGTACAAGTTAGTTAATTAGTGATATTTTATAATTTTTTTTACAAAAAGACGAACAAAAAATATGCTCCGACTACTAAATGTGATGTGTATGAATGATGTTCGCGGGGACTCATTTTCATTTCTGTCGTGTATCCGAGACAATAATAACGTAATTTGAATATTTAGATAACTAATGCAGGATTATTTTTACATGTAAATGCCATTACGACGTTCAAGAAAGATGTGACAGATTTAAATATGCATAGGCTGGGAATTTCATGAGAAAATATAAATACCACTTTTATTCAGAACAATTAAATTATTTAAACTCCGTCGTCTTTACTTCTATTAAAGTTAAGCACCACCCCGAGCAATGACTAAGCTATGATCAATACCTAGACTAATTTTTCTCGCCGCCCCACCAAGACCAACCTAAAAACAAAATATAGAATGGCGTTGTTTGAAATTGAATGATCGTAAAATATCACATTTTATGAGGCACTATTAACTCATCAAGTATTTATATAATCAGGACTCACTCGAAGTGGAAAATATTGATGCTTCATTTTTCCCAGCCCAAGACATCCATTCTGGTCCTGACCCCAAGTATACAAGTCCCCCAAAGAGTTGATTGCTGCATTGTACATGAAACTGGCAGCTATGTTGACAACTTGGACATCCGGGGAAAATTGGTTACACCCAAAAAGTGGGGGTGGGAGTTGGGTGGGTGTCTTAACCCGAGTCGTGGTTGGACCAAGGCCTAAACTTGACCCATAGCCCCATACATAAACGTTCCCTTGTTCTGTAGATCAAAATTAAAAAGCTCAAAGCGTGTAACATCGTAATATCGATGGTGGATCTATCTCTTTGTACTTACGATTGAGCAGAAAGGCAAAGTAGTCTCCCATTGCAATGTCGATCACCTTATCAATTCCAGGAGGCAGCTTGACATATTGAGGGTGATATAAAATCTTGCCAGGTTCGTTCGGATTTGCTTGGCCCACTTCGTTGCAACCCCACGAAAAAAGTTGACCGTTCTCTGTGAAACAATAATAGAGTAGTAAACACGAGTTTGCATATTAATCAATTGCACTGCATATTGGATGCGTGCGCTGCCAAAGTTGCATTACCAGTGAGGGCAATGACACTGGAACCAGATGTGACCACTTTCTTCACACATTCTCCCTGTAAATCCCCGCCCACTTGTTGAAAATCCCAGAATTTATTGTCTTTCCCACGGCCAAGCTGGCCCTTATTGTTTGTCCCGCAAGTAAACACTCGACCACTCTGTGTCACGCATATCCTGAGGAGAGAAAACCATTAATATTATTAATAGGTATTGACGACAATTTAGGGCCTAAATTGCCTAAATTTTAGGCGTATGTATATGTTGTAGTTGCAGCAAATTATTTCATGTTCAGAAAATGTATCACACTTACGAGACATCAAATCTTGAGGAAATCGCCACTACTTCGTCTTCCTTGAACCTGTTAAACTTGTGAACATATTTGGAACCAAAGTAGGCCTCGTCTGTGATCACTCGTCTTCCGCACTGACCACTCGAGTTGTCTCCCAGACTGAAGAGACCCTCCCCTCGGACGGAGACAAGCGAATGGGCACGACCTGCGCCAATGGCTAAGACACGAGAGTTCTTTCCCCCGGAGATGGGAAGGGGGACTATGGATAACAACGTCTCTAGCGGACCATCTTTCCTCGCAGCTTGGTAGCCTGGTTGCGTGAATGATAATTATTGACATTCATCATTAGCATACTTAATAATTAGCAATATATTGAAATTACATTTTAGTCAGTGCATAAATAATTGAATATACGCTTATAATATGTTAGTATGGGGGACAAACCTAATTGAGATGACCCATTCCTCCCACAACCAAAAACAAACGGTGAATTTTCACCTTTAGGCTTGATTGAGAAAAGAGAGAATCCATGGCCAGCCACGATATCAGTCAGGTCATGAAATTCAGCAAACTTGTGTCGAACAGGTTTCCACATGAAGAGGTGTGTCTTTGTGTCTGGGTCCTTGGGTCTGATGAGGGTTTCTAGTCCAATCTCCCCATGGTATGCGGTGCCAAAAACGTATAACCTGTTCTTCGTCACGTTGATTTTGTTGTACTCATAAACTGATACAACGACAAGGAAGAAAATAATCAAGAAATATAACCAGCTAGACGATATTCATAATTCAATTATCAATTTGCATTAACTCGGAGGTAGGAAAACTCACCCGGCGTTTCGGCCTCGCGGTTGAGTCGTCTATCCTTTTTCGACATGGGAGGCGGGCGTGAACGGCGTGGCTGCGACGAAGACAATGATGCAAAATTCTGGTTTTGGGTCCCACATTTCCAGCAGACGTTGTATGACGACAAGGGCGATAGATTTCGATGGATTGACCAAGATGAGGAATACGACGGAAACCGGATGAGCAGAAGAAATGGGATGTGTCGCCCCATTTTGTACGAAAACAACTTTAAGATCCTTATATGCCCATCAGTTAAACCAACTGAATAAAATAGTTATAAATTAAACTTTAATTTTTAACAACACAGTAAATGTAGCATGTGACTCAAAGTGGTTGCCTCGCCCGTTCATAAGTTTTTGGGGCGAAAGCGTCTGTACCACACATGTTAAACCAATGTCAATTTGACGATCCAGATCCAGGACAATACGGATAATATGTAAATTCGTAATCTTTATTTCAGAGTCAGTGAGATATCAAAACAATCCAAAACCAAGTTTTTTTCAATTTAATTTACAAATTATAATCAAACCTCCATTAGTTGAGAAAGTATGTATACCGAAAAGCAAGGGAAGTAAGAGAAATATCTAAAATTTGTAGGGTAACACAGTGTTACTAACACTAGTAAAAATATGTGATAGCTCATCGATTGTTACATCTATGAAAATACAAGATAGTTCTATAAAACTAGCCAGGAATTGCCTGGGCTTTTCTTATTACTGACTAAGTATTTATAATCCGTGATACGGTACGGTCTAGTCTTCAACTATGTCTCTCTCTGTCTAATATTTCTATGTTATGATGGTCATTTTCTCAATAAAATAGTGTCAAGCCCAAGTCATGATGAGAATCTAGACACAGGAAATCTATAAATTAGCGGCATATAATGCTACCAAACAATTGGAATCAGAGGCAAAGAATAACAGATAACACACTTTCTCTGAATATTATAATGATAACAATAATTATTTAACAATATTTTTGTAATTCTCCTTTTAATTCTGCTCTTGGCTGATTCCATACGCATTGATATTGATTTCCATTGAATTTACTTAATCATATGAGAATATAGCACATTTGTTTGTATTGAAATTTTGTCAGGTAATTGGTCAAAGAGGGACAGACGAAAATATATAGCGGTTCTTTTGGCTAACTGTTACAATAATAACAGCACACTTTATATTTTATATTGGAGCAGCATTCATACAATTTTGGCATGGAAGTGGTAACTTTTTCGTATATAATAAATATGTAGGTAAATTATCCAGGTTTCTTCCAAATTGATTTTTTAGTGTTTCTTTGTTGTCCCATTGCCGTTGGTGGTTGAGATAGTGGATTTGGTATTAGAAGGAGAGCTTCCATTTGTTTTACCATTTGTCTTAGACGATGACGGTGTGGTATTGGTAGTGCTATGACCATTCTTGGATTTTGAGGGACACACTCCATTAGTCTCAATTCCATTGAGCGGAGCTCCTTTAAATTTGCCATAGCCGATAGTTCCATTTGCACGGAAGTGTTGTGCGGACTTGGCGTCACTGCACGCCAAGAATATCTCACTCCGTCCTTCATCTTCTTCATCTTCCACGCTGGCCACGGACGACCTCGAGCTGGAGCCATTTTTCTTAAAATTTTTTCCCGTCTCGGATGTTCCATCAGAACCGAGAATGTCACAAAAGTGCTTATTTCCGTCCCAAGTTTCCTAAAATCACATTATTTCATTTTAGGATTATTCAGGGTCGTCAAAAATTGGGTATACATATATTCAAGTTTTCAGGAGAGCCCACGAACCTTGAGGCTCAAGTTAAACATGGAGTAGCGAGCTTCCCCAGTCACCTCTTTCACAATGGAGAGAAAATTTGGCAGTCTCTGTTGGATTTCAGAGCTTGACAACGTGCTGTATGTTTCGAGAAGGATGAGCCCCTTGCACCTGAGTGAAACACGTAATTAGCAAAGTACAATTTGGTTCTGATGCGAGTTTCGAATATATTTAAATATACAAATCGTCGATTTAAAATATTGACTAATATCTTAATGTCTGACTGAACTGTGCCATTTTTTAAGTTTTTTAATGCGATTTTCTTAGAGGTGTCTCACCGTGGGTGGCAGGGATCCTTGTAAATGTCCATTTGAAAGTACTGATCATTATAAAGAAAACATCTGCGTGTTTTGTATACGGTGACGTGATTGTGATCTCTCTGAGCCAACATCATGGCATAGTCTCGAGCAGAGAGTGTTGTTTTCACCTAGACCACAAATTACGCCAATGTTACAGTATGCGTTGAGAAATGAAAATGTGATCAATTATGATGACGAGATGGCGACTACCTCACCTCGACAATTTGTCCATGAACAGGACGTCGATCTGTGTACGTGTAGTTCCAGTGATTCTTCACACCACGCTTCCTTAACCGTGCCTGTTTGTTATGTTCACTCATCCGCAAGTAATCATGTATGACGCTGAAATCTTGGAATTTGACTGGGAACTCGTCATCCACAGGCAGTGGGCCTTGGACAAGAAACTTGAATTTGCGAGAGTTGATCTCCAATCGATCCCGAACGTCAATTCCGATCCGTTGACATACACATTGAATCATCTTTTTCACTTTGGTTTCAAAGTCGGTCGAGCTACAAGGAAGAAAAGACAAAAATAATAATATGAAACTGTTACATTATGTGACTTACATTATTACAGATATTTCTCTTTATTCATGTGACCATGTAGTACTCACTTGTCCAATATGTCAAAGTATGGATGTCCAATCCAAGCTTCCGCGGCTTTCTGATCCAGTTCTTGTGCCAATTCGATCCCCTCAGAGCGACACGCGTGTTCCGCAACCGTGTAGAATGGTTCCGCTCCATTAGCGGCCGACACCATATGAATAATCTGATTGTAGCGGGTGTCTCGTATCTCCACCTACAATCAATGAAGTATCAATAATGAGGTATCACCACAATGAAACACGCAATCTACATTATCAAATTATACATATGTAAGTCAATTACACATGTAAGGACGTTTAAGCTAGTCTTATTGGTATCATACCTCGTTGAGATTATTCTTATTGAGAATTCGTTCCCACTGCTCTTTAGCAATGAACGCAGACGCATCCATCGCCCCACGATCGCAAATGACAAGGACGTCCTTATCCATAAATTCTGCAATCTGGAAGAACGTACTCTCAATCTGCATCATCGTCTTGAGCAACTCTTCTTGAAAAGTCATTCCCTGCTCTTCAGTCAGTTCTGAGAATTTGATCCCCCCTCCGAGCAGGACAGTCGCGGTTTCCGGGACACGAAGCACCTTCCATCCCAGCGTTTCAAAGAACGAGCAAAGACGTGCTTGCCCAGTCGTTTTGCCCCCACACGGACCTGCAACCCACAACAAATTATAGTGAGTTTCATCGTGCAATGTGAAGGCAGAAATTAATGTTTATCCGGTGAATTGTTACTTACCTCCCGTGAGCACGACCTTGTACACCTTCCTCTTATTCCCAATGTCACCCATCCTTTGCAGTACCGGAGAATAACCTGGTATTGACATTGGAAAAAGAAAAGGACACATCAGCATTTTTTACATGACCACAAAACCTCTATGATGTTCACCATTCTCCATTTTTATGAGATGAATGATCTTGTCAGCCCAAACTAAGAGAAGAACTGTTACATGGATGCACCACCCCCGACCGACTGACCAACAATCAGCCTCAGTATCATGTGGAAGAGTCGTGATTTTAGTCGGTGTATATGCAATTTTGAACAAGGAACTGAGACGACGATTGTTTTAAATTTGTTGAGCCGAATTCCGTGAACAGAAAGAAGTTGATGATTTCATTTCCTGGTTCGTTCATGGTGCAATGTGTGTATAATTAATATGATGGATGTAAGTATAGGTGCTGAGGGTTAGTTCGTTGCTTATCTCAATGACATGTAATATTACACCCGTGTTAGTAATAATAAATACCAGGGGTGGGCAAGATACTTGGTCAAGATACAAGATAAAAGATACAAGATAGTATCTTTATCTTGTATCTTCGTCGCCTGATCAGAGAAGTATCTTGTATCTTGTATCTTCTATCTTTTAGAAAGTCGAAAGTATCTTGTGTAAGTATCTTATCTAGATATGCCTGGCAGAAAAGTATCTTAAGATACTTTTGACAAGATACAAGATACTTTTTCTCAAAATTCCGTCAAATTACGTCAATTTCTTACTAAAGTCAGTCAATTTGACCATGAATTTGTCGTAACCAGAATTTGGTGAATTTTTAGTTTATGTTTTGCCAATTCGTAACAAACTTGTACATATATGCACATATATATATATATATGTACATGTGTACTCGTACATACATACTGATACATACGTTGCACATTACATCTACGCTGAACTAATGTATAGATCTTATAGGGTTTAGTTTGAATAAGCAGGGAATATTGTAAAAATAATACCAGCTTCTTAAGAATATACGTATGTTAGGTAGAGTTCTAGTTTTTCGAAATTTAGACCTTTTTCGAAGTATAAGCACTGGCAACAAAATTTGTAAAATGATTCTAGAATGATTTTAAATTTTGTACTCACTAGATTTTTTCGGTTAAATGATTAAACATGACTAATTGGGCATGCATACCAAGCTAAAAAAGAAAGTATCTTATCTAGTATAAAAGTATCTTAAGATACATATCTTGTATCTTGTATCTTGACTACTCAATTTTTAGAAAAGTATCTTGTATCTTGTATCTTGTGTACTTAAACAAAATGTATCTTTTATCTTGTATCTTATATCTTGTCTTAGAGAGTATCTTATCTTGTATCTTGTATCTTACGACCAAAGTATCTTGCCCACCCCTGATAAATACAATTAAGTGGTATTTATATCTAAGAATGGGATCCTGCTCTCCGTTGCTGATTATTTATTTTGTCTACAAAACCTTTTATCACTCACCTCACGTAACCAATCTATTTCAGTCTAATCAATCACATAAAAGACGTTGGGGACATGGTGGCAGTTGAAAAATTGGTGGTGGGTCAGAGGACGGGCTGAGGTGAGAGACCGGAGAGACGACACAGCAAGGTCGGAGCATGCTGCCTCGAATACGAAATATTTCTCAAACCCTAGTGAAGAGGAACATGTAAATCGGGTAAAACGCAGATGACGCGATCGGAAGGACCCGGAGCCATATCCGGACACCGGAGTGAGGGGAATTTTGCGACATATTTATCATTTTACACCATGGAATGCAACCTTTGGCCTCACATCGTCATCGTAACATGATATATGACGACTGACCATGTATGCTCACCGTCTGGATGTCGTTTTGTTGGGGGGCTGCTGGAGAAGAAGAAATTCTGCGACGCCAAAACGACGACACCACCCTCGCCCCATCGGTGATGAGACGGATGATTATGTCGACTGACGACAAGGGCCAGGGTTCGAAGCATTGTTCACCCACCACGGTTTTTGCATTCCAAATTTTCAAAATGAACACGCACTCGTAACAAATGGGAATAAATAAATTCAGCAGTTTTCCACGTGGCTACACTGGAATTATTACTCACGATATAAACAACACAAAGCCTCTCTACTCTGGATGCTGGTGAGCTGTGATCCGTTTCCGTGTGCGCTAATAATATATTATTTATTTATCCGGGAAAGAGTCGCAGTGTGTGGATGACAGAGAAAATGCATTTATGGGAAAAGCTGGACACCCGCTTCTACCCACCAGGAACGATAAGTGCCATCTTATCTGCAATCCCAATATTCCCCCATCCATGTTGTACCATCTCTCTAATAATAATGCTCTGTATTGACTCAGAGTTGTTGCCTCCATTAACTCTCTTGTCCCGCACGAGATTGATCGAGATAAGGTATGCAAATGACTATATGGTGTTCCCACCCGTCCTCAGACAAAGGGTCAGGTCAGGGAGTGGGTAACCCATGCACCTAACCAAAAATCACCTTGCCTCTCCTCATGCTCTTAACTAACACGATGTGATCTGCATGCATGGACGTTTCGAATGGTACGGGAACTACGGAGGAGAAGAAATCAGAGGAATGCAAATGTACTTACGCTCCTTCATGAAGTGGACGGATTGCTTGTTGACGGAGGAGCCTTTTTTGAGGGGCGGTGTGCTTGGCGGGGGTGCGGCGATGGATGTGTCCAGAATCAGAGGGTCATCGTCATGGGAAGTGGTCGGAGTGAGGGTAGTAGCCAGCCGAAGCTAAACGAACACTGCCTCTCTGCTCAAGGTGATCTCCGTTTATTAGCATCATGGTCGGATTCGCAATATGTCTGGAATTGCTGTGGAGGAACGCAACTTATTCTCCACATATGCACAGAGTCCACATTATGCCAAGTGCTTTTACTTACAGTAAAACTATTTAGTACTTAAGTAGTGTCTCGTCTACTAAAAAGTTCATATCTCCACCTCCATTTCGGCAGCCATACGTCAACCTGAGCACAGTGATCACCATGCACTTACAATAAAGCAATCTGCGTTATCAGCATCAGTTTCCAGCTAAAACCAAATAACCAATTCCACTGCAACTGTTAATTCATCGCATCAGTCAGAACTCTAAGCACATGAGAACGTAACCTGCACATACACGTCGCATGTACATACTTATGTACGTACGTAAGTATGTGTTACAAGCTATTAAAAAACTACTCTATTCACAGGAGAAATTAAGCATTTAGGTTAAATCGGACTTATAAAGTCACTCACATCTTTCGCTATGCTACAGTTCTGGGGGATTTGCATAATAATATTAATAGGGCTGAACACTTGTTGCTCCAGTCAAAATAACCGTCCGTTAGTAGTACAATAGCCTCCTCGGCATTATTATAGACACGGAAGTTGCCATGATCCGATATGCGATATCATTCCTCAGGTGCGTGATCGATGGCGAATATTTAACGTGACAGTACACAGCATGCGTCATCAAATAATGAATGTTGATGAACTTTTGCATTTAAAAACTGGCAATAATCCATAGGAATACATATGTTGGGTCCAATTCAAATTGGGCAGAGTTAATTTTTGCGACGCGACTCGATATGCTAAATTATTTTATAAAACTTCATTCCACACTGCATTCTAGACTGGTATGTACAGATCTGAGTTGGTGAGTACTAAATTTTCTATACATTTCAGAGACATGTACTTACTGGGCCCACTGTAACTGTAAGTGGCTGTTTTCTTCGAAACCGACAGAGATAATGAAAATCTGATGATTGCATTGGATTCCCCGTGCGATTTTGCATAAGTACCATAAATCAGTTTTTTACTATTTGCAATGCAAATTCGCATGGAAAATGTTGAATGGAAGCGGGCGGCGAAAATTTTTCATTACAAAAATGGGGAGAGAAATGGCGAATTTTAAAAGTGTGGCAGGAATCGAACGAGCCGTATAATTTAGCCCAACAGACTATAAAGACGTTCATGGGGACGGGGTGGACTAACAACAGTCGAAGAAAAAATTTTTGAAATCCTACAAGGACCACACCCATCATGAAGGCGCTGAAGGATGGAATCCGAAGAAATTCACGAAATTCCAACGGAAACCAACCTCACAGCTGCCAGTGTAGAAGCAGATTATTCAATGAGTGCTTAAATTGAACCTTAGACTTAGGACTTTGAAATGTGGTACTTGCCACATGCCGACCATCCCCCAAAGGGAAACCAGATTAAAGAAACCCAGGAGTGACTTCAAGCGGTACGCTCAGAAAAAGTGACGAGGATTCTATTTACAGATGAGGAGATTTTCACATAGGAAAAATATTTTAACAAGCGAGTTGGCCTTATCTACGCCAAATCTGCCAGAGACATCCCCCAATATAGACAGAAGGTCAGAAAGCCACATTATCCAAGCTTTGTGATGATTTTGGCAGGTGGGACCTAATTGGGGCAATTTCTCTACATTTTGTTGAAAATGGGGGGAAGGTGGGGGGATCAAATTTCTTAAAATACGTTTTCGAGTCCGCGGTACATCCCCTAAGTGAGATCCAATTCATTGAAGTCGACTGGAACTTGCAGTAGGACTAGGAATCAGCTTATAGTGCAAAAAATGACCCAAGCGTGGGTAAAAAACAAAATTCCGAACTTTTCCTCCTCTCGGAAATGGTAATTCTACTTTCTGGATTTGAATCTCCGGATTATGAAAAATGGTCAAAGTTAGGGGCAAATGTGTGTTCTAAGCCTCGTAGAAGTGTAGAGATCGGAAAAAAATTTTTGACCACGGAATGGAACACTTTGCCCAGGAATTAGTGCGTGCTTCAGCGGAGAACTGCAGGCGGTTTCCTCAGCGCTGCATTAATGGCAGGGGAGGAAATTTCGAAAACTAAAAATTGTTTTCTACTCAGAAATTAACTGGCTTTCGGTTAAAATTAACTCGAAATTCGTAACATAAAAACTGTTGAAGCCACAGGGTTTCATTTCACTTACAGTTTCAGTGGGCCACCTAGTACATAAAAAAGATGGATTGATGTAACCGGAGGAGTCTGGTTGATTTCAACTCAACGACAGAATATTGAATACTGGCATGACGGGCATGACATGATAGACATTCCTCCTGACATGCTGCATGACCTCTCTCTCTCTCTCCACCGTCATTCATAAGATGCTAGCTATCACATTTCCAACCTCATCGACAAATAATTCCGAGATGACAAAAAATGCTTAAATCATCATGCTTTAATGATTATGCATTGTTCGATACAATGTGCACTTTATTCAGTCAAGTCAAGAAGACTAGTTAAGAGTGTGCACACGGGTGACGGTGTCTAATACTCGAGACGCAGTAATGGTTTTATGGACGATTTTAATCTCTTGAAGTTCTCCACAGATTTCTTCTCCGGATATTATTGGACTTTTCTGAAAACCCTTCAAAGTATGTAGCAAATGTTTTATGTAGTAATATAGCTCAAACTGATGAAATATGAGCTCTGCAAAAACCAGACAGCTTCGAATTCAAAAGTTGAATAGTTGAATGATCAAATTACGAAGAGAATGTCTTATTACCATCATGAGGTGACCTTTGCTCCTGAGTTTACATTTGCATAAACTGCGAATAATATTTTGCGACTCTGCAGAAGCCAAATAACTCCGAATAATACCGGTGAGGAGGACGCAATAAATAACGCAGGAATTCCATTGCATATGGACAGTAAAAAGTCTTTTGGTGCATGTGTCATTATAATAATTATGAGTTTAGTTGATAACGATGTGCTAATGATGATTTCATCTCTACCAATTCTACCATCACCGTTAACTAATATAAGAATAACACAATTCGTCCTCAGTTTTCATGAATGCGGTTGTGTCCCTCTCTCCTTGACTTTTGCATAAGTACATATCTATGTAGCAGAAACCAGTTGCATGGAACATAAGAACTTGAACTCAGTATTGTATATAATGTGTTTATTATTTATTGATGACTTGATGTACTCTCTAATAAGTTGACCAATATTGATTTGCATGTACAATTCTGATTGCTCTTTACAAAAAAACTCTAATAAAAAAGTAGTCGCAACGCTGCCCAAGGAACATTTCCGAGGAATGTTCGACACTATCTCATTTCAGGGTGGTTGAGATGATTTTCCAAAATTTTGGAATTTCGATTGGACTGGTCTATTATCGATATTAGAAGAACTTGAAAATGTCGCTTCGTTCAAGAGCAGTAGGTAAGAAGATGCACGGACGGCATATTCGCTGAAAGTAACCACTATACTTTTAACGTGCAAAATACGAATACTATGACCTACCACAAGTTGTGGTCCACAACTAATTGCATCTCTGCATTCTATACCTTCATGAGATTTTCCTTCCGTCCTTGTTGCTTGCCAATCTTTCCTTTCAACTCAAAGCGTTCTTTCAATACCGAATAGTCCCTTAAATGAGTAGTCCGGGATGGGCGTGGCAAGGGAAAACTCAGCCCGATCAATGCGAGACTGAGGACTTCCAACGGTTTGCAGCCATCCCTTCCTGTTCAGGAATCAATGATTTATTCGTCTTTTATCAAACTCACCAACGTTTGCTAAGGTTCATTTAAAAAAAATACTGCATACACTCACATCTGCTCAACTTTTGCTATAGGTCCTTCCAATACTCCAGCCACCGTTCCTTCCGAAGTGTTGCGACAATAACCACGGAGGCCTAATGTTCGCCCTTCTTTCTGTGTGAACTGAAAAAAAATAAACTCTAATCAAGCCTACGATGACAATGTATGTATCTACAAATTACAAATGCGACTAATTTCGAGGACCCCCTGGGAAAAATACCACCTACGTCCTTCACTGGACAACCACTAACCGATCATGTCAATCATCAAGGCAAGATTGCAATTGATCAAGATACGCAGTTTGACATCAAGTTGGTCAAATCGGTTCAGTGGTTCGCTAATACCGATAAAGAGACGCATGAAAATTCCCTGACACCTGAAGCGAAGCCGGCTAAAAACTGCACCAGCTTAGGTGAATCAAAATATTTCCGTTTGACAGATGTTGTCTTCATCAAAATATCGCGCAGCAGATATGACAAACCTTTCGAAAGAAGACTCCTGAAACACAATAATGAAATAAATTTTAATAGGTGCACATTAACAATGCAATAATAGTACCATTGTAAAATTAAGATGCAGAAATGTAACTTTTAGCCACCTTGAACTCTGCCAAATACTTTAAAGTCGACACGAACAAGACCTTCCTCTGATGATGACGAAGACGACATGGCAGAGAAAAAAGTTATTTAAAAATAATAATCCGGTCAAACTTTGACCGTCAAAGTACAAATTTATTTCCTGTGCGGATTTCGCTTTCACCCACGTGAGGTGAGGATATTTAACAATGTGCAATCAGACACTTGGCAATTTTGCTCAGCCCAGACACCAAAAAAATCATCCTCAAACCAGCTCAAATACCAAATGTAATGTCCTCTAAAATATTTAACTAAGGTAGACAACGTACGACTTTTTCAAAGCCAGATTTTAATGCCCTTAGGATATGTTGTAGTGATAGGTGAGTGTCGGACGGAAAAGTGAAGGAGGGGTAAGGACCCGCCTAACGCCAGTCCACTTTTAGGAGGGGCTATTAATCTATTAATTCATGGATCTTGATGCCTATTGAATGTGTTGTAGTTGTTGAATGACCAAGTACCCCAAGCGGTTTGATGCCATGGCCACATTAGCGCTCGCCACACCCACTCAAAGGTGCCCAAAAAATGGAGAAAGTTTCACTCGTTCAAATCTACGCCAGAAATCCAATTTTACTCGGATTTTGAAATTTATTTCACCATTATATTCCCACATAGTTGTTTTCTTATATCCAACGTCAAACTCAACCTTTTGAAGTTTTTAGTATTTTTAAATTTAAAATTCTGAATGAGCATTGTTGTAGTAATAAATAACGCAAATTATGCAGTGAAATAATCATCAAAAAAGTTGAGTTTGATGTTGGATATAAGCAAATAACTATCTGGGAGTATAATGGTACACAGAATTTCAAAATCCGAGTAAAATTGGATTTTTGGCGTAGATTTGAACGAGTGAAAGTAAGTGAAAGTGAGTGAAACGAGTGAAACTTTCTCCGTTTTTAGGGCACCTTTGAGTGGGTGTGGCGGACGCAAATGTGGCCATGGAATCAAACCACTTCAGGGTTGTAGTACAGTCATGGGGCACTACCACATATCCAAAGGGCATCGAGATCAGTGAGTTGGTAGTACACAACCTCCTCTCCTAGAGGGACAAAAACACGAAAAAAGGTCTGCACCAAGATTCCTAAACTTTTTAGCTCGTTTCCGTGGAGTGAATGTATTAGGATTATGTAATGAGGTTGTCCAAGGATGGGCCATCTTTTAAAAATTATTAAAAATTTTCGAGTTGGGGACAGGCACGCATTTTTTGGCGTTGGCACCCGTTGTTGGGTGAGTGAGAAATTATTTTTCGGTGGACTTTTTCATTTCTAACTCGAATGCATATTATGTGATATTGATGACTACTTCTGCCCCCGATAATTTTGTATATTTCTACACTTATTTGTATACATATTTTTATGAAGATAGCGACCACAACCAGGAGGATAATTCGAGTTCCAGATAAAGAAATGTTTATTTATCTTTAAAAAAACTTGACAAAAATTGACATCCTCATGATTTTAAAAACTTATACCGTTAACAACTCATCTTCGGTATCAGCAGGAGTGGTTTCTGAATCTGCACCAGCAGCTGCTACCTCATCAATTACAAAATCTTCCAGAACTAAATTATCCTCCTCCTCTTCGTCCTCCAGGTCCACCGTTATCGTGGGAGTGATAATTTAATAATGAAAATTTTGTCAAGTTTTAGACAAATGAAAATTTTTTCTCCGGAACTCGAATTATCTACCTGGTTGTGCTCTTTATAAAAATATGCATATAAATACGTGTACAAATATATAAAAGTATCGGGGACAAAAATGGTCATCAATATCACATATGTAATATGCAATCGAGTTAAAAATTAAAAGCAGTCCCCAGAAAATGTAGCAAAAATAATTTTTAAAATAATTTCTCACTCACCCAACAACGGGTGACAACGCCAAAAAATGCGTGCCTGTCCCCAACTCGAAAATTTTTAATAATTTTTAAAAGATGGCCCATCCTTGGACAACCTCATTACATAATCCTAATACATTCACTCCACGGAAACGAGCTAAAAAGTTTAGGAATCTTGGGTCTGCACTTATGCACGATTAGTATTCCGGTAAATTATAATTATCTCGTGGTATGAAAATCTTATTCTGTTCTGACTGAATCGTTGCTCATTGCCCTTCTTGAGTTAAGAGCACCTAAAAAAGATTGCATCGTCTCATTATTGTTTCTCAATCTATTTGTACATATACCATAATCATAATAATCCGGTATGATATATGCATACACGCTTAGACCACTGACAAAAATTAAGTCGTTATTACAAACAACATTGAATACCCGTACATCCGTTCTTTCTTTTATAAGTTTCATGAAAATAAAAGATTTTCACCAAAAATTACACTTCATCAGAAGTAAGCATGCCTATCGGGGATCGAACCCGAGACCTTTGGATTAGAAGTCCAACGCGCTAGTCCACTGCGCCATAGGCACTCGACATTTTGTCCAGTGCCATGATGTGGCCATTATCTTTATTGGGCCTGGATGACAAAATGTGCAACTTTTACTTTGTCTGCACAGGGAGAAAGAGGCCGGAAAAGTGTCGAAGAAATCATATGCGTCAAAATATTGGTTGGGACTCGAATCTATCTGAGGACCACAATAATTTTGAAACCAACAAAATCTACCTAATCTGAACTCTGACTAACCCATTCATGAAATTCGGACAGAGGATAATATAATACACTGCACTCCTAAAGCAATTCGAACCCAGAACTTTCGAAGTTTTCGATTATATATTTTCTTTAAAAAAATAATAATTATTAATTGCGTACAAGACCAATTTGGGAGAGTACTCAATGATTAGTTCGTCATGTAATTGTAATAAATTGATGGGCTTGAGAATCAATCTAATTAATTAAAATACCCGTTTGTTTTTGGCTAAAATACAACGCAGACCAAGTTTAATCCATTTTTAGCCCTAGTCATGGCTTATGGACTTTTTACCATATGCATGTTGGCCAAAGTTAGCAATCGAGTTCGAAGATGGGCGAAATCGGTCAAGTGGTTGACCAGTGGGGGTCATATAGGTGGGTGGGGTATTATACACCAAAATTTCAAATTTGTTATAGAAAGCTGAAAAGTGTAGAAGTTGAATGCTGAAATAATATGAACTGAAATTGCAAAAATTTTCATCTGGAGCGACGCTAAGGAGCGATTCATACTGATTTTCAGAAATTGCCGTAAAAAGCTGAAATTTGTGGGGAATACGTAATGGCTTCTCATGAAATCTGGTGCAAAATAATATTTGGATGCATTCGACCATCCCCATGCCCCATAATAGCAGAAGTTTGCTCAATTCGGATAAAAATTTAGAAGTGGACTCTACTCCTGACTCCTAAATGAAGGTTGCACACTGGCAACTGGAGGTTTTTTAAAAATTAAGCTGAACATTAACAAAATTGCAGTGCTCATACAACTTGACTCTGAAGGGATGCCGCTTGGTTCTACTCAAAAAGCGTTAGTTTATTGACGGTCTTAAAACGTAGCCTACTAAATTATGCGGTGCCGCATTAGGTCTTCGCAGTATGGGTTTTGATCAAAAATTAGTAAGTTATAACTCATCCTCAATATTCCTCAGTCTTGTTATGGCAGTTATACCATTTTACTATGTACATAGTAAAATGTCTCACAATACTACAAATCTCAAAAGACATAAAAGTATCTTACCATATTTGCAGAAAATTGCAAGATATATAAATACATATTTATATATCTTGCAATTTTCTGCAAATATGGGAAGATACTTTTATGTCGTTTGAGATTTGTAGTATTGTTGGCAAGAGCAGCTAGATTAGATAACACGTGGGTGTGTGGCCTTTCTGTGTTCTTGGGTTCTGGTCTGGTCAATCGTGTTAATATTACATGATACTGATTTCAGGATCCAAATGAAGGCTCCATATGTTTCGGACTTGAACAGAAAGGGGTAAATTTTGGTGAATCTTGGTCATAGGTGTTTTTATTTGTATGCAGTAATGAATGAAATATACAGTGACTACATTTCATTTTTCAGAGATCTGATCTATACATTCTATGGGTGTAAAGATACAAATATTTAAGTATATGTAAATGCATATTTTATATATTGTATTGTATAACATTTTGTGAATGAGCGAAAATATATTCGATTCAACACTCACAAGATTCTACAAGATTCTATGATGTACGTATAATTTTATTAAATGGAATCACTGAATTGTTGACTTTTTTGGTCAAGAAGACTAAAGTAGAAGTAGAGCTAACGCCATTATTTACTGCACATTATCTGACTGGGTTGAGGTTGGTGGGATGTCAATTATCTCGAAAATATGATAACATTGTTTATCGTTTTAAATAGAAAGGAATAAAAAATCTATAATACATAACATGGAAGTATGTATAAACTATAAAATTAATTATTATTGGGGACGGCTATTTTTAGGAGAAAGGTTGAAGATCTTGTTCCGTAAAGTGCATCCCTGAGTAGACTATTATCCAGGTTACCTAATAAAATCAAATGAAGATGGATTCATTATAATATTATTAATTATTGTTTTGTGCATATTTTACTGACCAGAAATCCAGCAAACGAAGTCATAAATCCTTCTTTAGTTAACTCCCACGCTCCACCAAACTCTTCTTCGTCCACTCTGTGGTAGCTTGAAAAGTAAAGATACACCAATCCTGCATTCGTAACAAAGAATCTGAAAAACAAGCAAATGAAACAATGCTTAGATAGCTTTACAAAAACTCGACTACACAACAATACACCAACTTACAAGCCCAATCCTAAAATTCCAGTGAGTGGAATAAGTCCCCAGACGAGACCCAAAAGAACGCCCAGGACTTGTCGAATCCAATAAATTATATCTAAAAATTCGTCCTGTATAACAAAAAATGCCGCACAGTTAAATATTTGGAGTAACAATACGATCAATCAATGGCGACAATTCTCTTCACTTTCAAACTGATTAATCGTGCAATAAATTGGTAAGCTTGGATGTACATCTAACTGCATGTTGTGAGTTTGTGACTGAAGATATTACGGATTCCGTAATATTACTACTTATCGTAACATATTTTCTGGTGCTAACCACTTTCGTTGTGACCACCAAAGATCAAGACAAAAGTTCAACTAATTTGCTTGTGCATTACACTATTTTTTACCTTATCGGACCATTCTGACTGCCTTGTGAACACTTTTGACCAAGAGAATGAGGTCGTCGCTGGATCTGCTTTCGTCCCTCCCATGATTAGTCACAGAAAAATTAAAGGCTTCACAAATCTTTGCAACAAGAATGAAATATTCCCTGAGCCGATAAAGAAAGAAGTGAAAGTGACACGGTTGAGTCGTGGTGTGTGTGCGGTGTTGGATCTGACGGGGTTTCTCATTTTGTCCATGCACATGTTACCCCATTTATTTCTACCCAGACTTTCACCCCAGTCTTTTTCTTTACCCACCAACTTTCACCTGAAGAAATTACGATTTGAGACATTATTTCGACAAAATGTAAACTGATTTCGGGTTGGATTGATAATCTTGATTATATTGTATAATTTTATGATGATATCTAAATTAGATAATCTAATCTAGACTTTCCATCATATTCATGCACATATTCATGCATATAACAGCGAAGCGCGAGAAAGATCCTCATATTTTCATAAGTGTGTAATGTGCTCCCAGAAATGGTGTAAACAGAGTATACAGAAGAATATTATATTATTAAGATATGTATTGAAATAATTATTATTCCGAACTCTGGTTAATTAGACGAAAGGTTATTTGGATTTAAGAGCTCTATTATAATTTGGTCATATTTATCATGGGCGGAAGAGGCAGAGGAAAAAAGCAGCCAGTTTCATTCATCAATCCAGCAGAACCAGCGTTCATCCGACGCATGAAGGAACAGTTAGGTTATAAAGAAGGCCCCAATATTGACACCAAGGTATCAAGAACATATTACTTACATACATGAAATATACGTTAGCTAACCTCTTTATACACGACTCGCTATTTTATTAGAGGGAAGAACTGGAGAAAGCAACTATCGCCGATGAAATAGATCGTGAGGATGAACTGCCCACTGTGGTCGTTCTTAAGTCTGGCGACCTGACTGAGGAAGAGGCTAAACGAATTGATGCAGACGTTTTGAAGGGTGTTTTAAATTTACATTAGGGGGCTTCCATAAATTACGTAATCCAAAACTCGCGATTTTCTAGACCCTCACCTCCCCCCTTGAACAGGTGTAACATAGGAACAATATAATTGGATCCTTAGACCCCCTTCCCCTTCTCGCGTTACATAATTTATGGACGGCCCCTATATAATCAATAATTAATAGCACATTGATTCGATTGTTATATTCATTAATTTTGCAGAAGAAGATGCCGATTCAGACGGAAAAATTGCATTTAAGAAGCCAGTGAAGCGACCAGCAGTGCAGGATGAAGCGGACAAGATCAAGAAAAAATTAGAAAAAAAGGAAAGCCAAATGGCACCCGTAAAAAATAAAAGTTTACTTTCTTTCGATGACGAGGAGGATGATGATGACTGATGACTGTATAACAGAGCTAAATTGGATTGTCCCAGCGAGAAATTAATGATTATTTATTGTACAACGTGTAAAGTTTTAACTTGTTTTTCATTATAGCGTTTTATACATGATTATATATGTAAATATGATTATATAAATATTAAAATAAAATAAAATAAAACAAATACTATAAATATATCTGATTGGGAAATTAGTTCTTATGTTGGCTCATTCCATTTGTAAGCAACACGTTTGATCGAGTCCCAGAAAATAGAGGTGCTAAACCCTGCTCGCTGGTGGTGGCTGCCTGACCATGTATTTTCTTCTCTTTGATATGAGAACACCACACAACTTATGCTTTGTCAATGTTCCCGGCCACGTAGGAGCACAGAATTATTTACTGCTGTCTACACAAGCAGCCCATGTTAATTTTACCTTTTCGAAAAATCGCCAAAACTCCAAGACGGACAAAAATCGCGTGGGGTTTTAAACGTTTTTGTTTCCTCAGGCCCAAAGGCATCGATTGGCTTATCTCCCTATAAGCGATTTTTGTCCGTCTTCTCGATAATCGAGTTTTTCAATACATTTTAAATTTCTGATTTTTTTGAATTTTTGAATTTTTTAAAATTTTTCCTATCAATAAATGATCAATGAATGAAATCCGTAAATGTAACCTACCCCTTTGAACCTAAACTTTGGCGACAAAAGCATTTTCAATGCATTTGCAAATTTTCTTTCAACTGCAGTATCTTTGCGAAAAAAATTAATTTTCAAATTTTGATTTTTATGATATGTTTTATTTTATATTATGCATCTCTGATACGATTGTGGACAAGATATAAAATATGGGTGCGACGACGATCGTGTGGGTTGAGATGGAATGAGCCTGTTGTATTATTATGTCACATGATATTACAACCCACGAGTGAATTTAAGAAAATACGAAGGGGACAGATTAGTCAGAGTATGTATTTAGTATGTAGGTATTTGCTAAATTTTAGTTCCATGAAGATGGAAAGCACATCTTTGTACATATTTGTCAAATGAAATGTATAATGTAGATTTAGATGGCAGCAGAATAATGCAACAGTCCGTTCATTAAAAATCGTTGGTAGTTGAAGAGGGCTGGTATTTCGGAAAATATTGCAGTTTCCATTAAACAAAAGTTCACTACAACATAAAAATTCTTTTAGCGGCTGTCAGTAGCTAAATACGACAAAATTGAACCAAAGTGGCTTATTTGCCACGAATTTATCACCATTATTTGTTACATATGCACGGAAGTATAATCAATCTACTGGGTGGGACATGTGAGAATTTCATCTTGAGATTTCCAATATTCCGACGAACTTTTAAAGTGTTAACCTCTGAATGCTCATAATACATGCATTATATGATCGAGTAAGGACCAAAATTCATATTCATGGTAAAGCTTTTGCATACTGGAATTCGCGAGTGCATCATTCTTTCTCTTGTTGGGTACTTATAATTCATGGGCATTTTGATAAAGCTCGGATCCCAAGGAGCAGCAAAATGCTTTCTCCCCATGGCAGAAGTGGGGGCAGGGTGAAGTTGTGGGGAGGGAGAGACTCCATCTTGTTTCACCAGGTTCACTGCCCTGACGACGACGGGTCTCCTGCTCACTTACCTCGCTCGCACTCCTGGCCCACAATAATGGGAACAAACAACAATACCCCAGCCAGATCACATCAATAAGAAACTATATACACACGCACAAGATTACTCAGCCAACAATGAGTGCAAACTATTTGGTTGCAAAACTGCAAAATCTATATAATATTTCTCTGCATCAAAAATTTAAAAGTTTAGTTCAGCAACTTCTTTTGTATGCGCCTATCTAAAGCAATGCTTATCAGAACTATGAATTGTTTTCATTTGCTTCATGTTTCTTTTCATATCATGTTTCCTACTATACATTCATATGACTCATGAAACGATTGATTGACCATGAATTCGTGCAAAAGCTCCAAAGTATATATTTTGAGGAGGGGTTGTTCAAGAACCGACATCGACCACACCCCATGCCACACTTTGTAAAATTTGTGATGGAAGTGAGTGAACAGCGAATTGCGGGGTGACGAAATAGGGTCACACCCCCTGCAGATGAATAGCATGACATGACAAATGCACTCATGACCTCATCACCACCAGCCATTTCCATCCCACTCCTGGTGGAGGAGGAGGTGGTGATGGTGGCACTTATACAGCATTCCCAACAGCATAGCGATTACAGAGGTTCTATACCGTAAAAGTTGCAGTTTTAACCCGAGTATTAAAAAAGAGTTTGAACGGTGCGTGATCCATCGATTATGTGGCCTTTGAATTATTAACCCCTTTCCGTACTAAAGAAATTAGCAGCATATGAGGTGGATAAGATAATTACTAATACACGATTGACGTTGATTGCATGGATGCAAATTTTCATCGTCAAATCAAGTAAATATGCAATTTTCATTTTGCAAATTATTTCGCAATTGTATAAGACTTTAATGTGTAACATAATCATGATATTATTTTATTGCATTGATTTAAAAAGATGTATCAGATGTATCACAATTTCTTGAGCAGTCAGCAAAACCATTCTGTTTAATCGTATTTAAACTTTACATTTATGTATACGTAGGCCTATTGACTTTCTAAACGCGACATCATAACCAAATTCCAAGTCGTGCATTAGAAGGAGAAGGAAGACGCCATCCTCTCCAGCCAGCCAGGCCTTCCGGTTTCTCCCTTCTTGGAGTTCTTTCCCTCCATCGGACGACGGCGTGCATGAGGAAGGAAGGAGAAGGGCTTATCGTGAGAGAGACGTAGCGGGTGCATGGTCCCCGCGAGAAAACTTCTCAAAACTGGTGTGTCAGGAAGGGAGCGCACACAAGCAGGCAGAGTGAATTTGCGAGAAAAAACGAAATAGTTAGTTACTTAGTGCTGTTGGAGGAGAGTGGAAGTTGCCCTGGCCCTCTACGTCACTCCGCCATCTTGGTTCTCCTCCCAACCTTATCGAATACCACCACAACTCATCTGCGCCCAAGGATTACAACCCAATTTGGATAACCCACAACCTCCCCCGCCTGAAAGCTTACACCCTTCTTCTTCCGGATTGTCATATTTAAGGTAAGGTTTTAAAAGGGGGACCCTTCTTACTATTATTTTCGAGGTCAATGTCAGCATATCTTCAGATTATTGGAAACACGTTTGTCTTTGGCGTCATATAAAACATATGTATAATACATACATGTGGATCACCGGAAGGAGATTTGTATGTCAATTGTCATTATTGGTACCATAGTTGATACATGGTCAATTAGAGGGGTTGCAAAAATGCATCAAACTCTGGTAAGTAAACCAGTAAGATTTTTTCGGAATGAAGAGAAATCGGGTAGAATTGCCAGAGCATGGTTGTGTTGAGCTATGGAACAGATGGGCCAATGCCGGTAAATAGAGAGTGAGCAAATCAAGGATGAGAAGAGATTTGGTGTGTGAGCAGAATGTGACGAATGAGATCTTTCTCACGAAAAGTACACTTTTGTCTCATTTTAGCATATGTGGGGCTTTTCAAACAAACCTGCTTGCTTTCTTTGTATTCTATCAAACCATGCAATTAAGGTAAAGCATATTAGAGTTTGGAGGGGAATATGCATTATCAATACCACACGTCACTGCCCAAAATTTTGGAGGGTCACATATATATGAGAGATGTGTATTTGTAAGAAGCCCACGCATTTTATGGCACGGTCACGAATTCTAAAAAAATGTGGAATGAACAAATAGGGAGGAAGCAGGGCTCAATTCGGATTTTTACGATATTTTTGGCTTGTGGGTAGTACCGTAGTGCTAGGAAATAGGAAGTAGGAGGGGATCGATATCCTCTTCTGCTTTCAAATAGAACAGCAAGGTTCAGGCGTCTCACTTCAATCCGCCAGCCGTATCCAGAACTAATTTTCAGAGCACCACCGCCGCCACCTCCCACGAGTACAACATTCTTCCTACCCCGACATTTCCGAAAGACCGGTCGAATCGCATCGAGTGGGGTGGGCTGGATTCCTTTCCTGTTCCTCACTCTCCTTGCGTCACCACCCATCCCTGCATTGTCGTTTTCTTCTTCGTCATCATCATCACACTTGGTTGTCTTATCATCCGATATCCTTCGATTCGATGTTGGCCACCCTGGATTCGGATTATCCTGAAATAGTATGGGCATGGACATTGTTGTCTCTTCTCGGGCTAAGATAGGGACACCGCTGAGAACACCTTCCTGGAAAGGGTGCATGTAACCCTAAGGGAGCATGAAACCCTAATTCCTGGAACTTCAAGTCTTATTTTTAGCCTGCATATTTATGACAATAAATTAGTAACAATAACAATAGTTGATAGTTGAGGCCTGATAAAGTTTCCAGTTCGTATAAACGAAAGCTTGCAAAGAATAAATATCACGAAAATACGTGTATCCTCTAAGGTGCCCTTGCAATCAGTAATGAGTTGATAGTTTTATGAAGAAAAATAAAATAGCATTGTATTGGTATGAAAATAGATACCTTTAGCCCTACTCGCTCCTTAGTTTTACTTGTTACAATTGTCTCATATCTATCTCCATATCCAGCTAGTACTTATGCATATAATCCTGATTTGCATTGCCTATATTTGCGAGTATATTTATTCCCTTCGAGTATATGGCGAACCTAAACATTTCCTATGTACAAGCTTGTAACAAGCTAAGCAGTGTGAATGTTAACATTAGCAACTCCTTCAACTAGAGCGATCGGTCGGTGTGTGTGGAAAAATAGGTCAAGTCCGCTTTCGCACATTGAGGCCAATAACCTGGTGGCTGAGAGTACAGCATAATAATGCATTCATTCACACATATTCACATTATTATAGTGATACTAGAAGAGAGACTTTTAATTCGAATTTATCCATCCATAGCATCATCTCCATACCACACCCACACCCCCACCAAATTAGTTTATGTAAATATGTATTACTCAATCAATGTCGAGTGAAAATGCAAATTTTGCTAGTGGTCCGAGGTTTACGTGTTCATGCAAAATTCCTTGTGCACAAAGTTGAAGTGTATTAAACTTGTCCAGATTTCTCTAGTACAGACTAGAAAAAGTGGGATTACTCATCCATCTAAAAATTAAACCTCCATGCAAATGCCACGCAGATGACTTGATGACGAGAACCATGTCAGGTGTGCTATGCCGAAATTTTTGGAAGGATGATTTGAAGCATAGCATGAAGTGAGACAAATGATGATATGACCTCCGGGTAATTAGAAAGCGGGTTGAAAATGAAACATCGACACTCGAGCGCTTGCATGACGACGACGACGACGACGACTTTGCGGGGGTCGACGGGTGGTGGTGGTGGTCGCCCCTGCTATGGATAGATGGATACATAAGTATATATATTGTTGGGTGCGGGGTAGATATAGATGATGGGGATCCCTCCCATAACACATTATACATATAACTATATAGGCATGACTTGCATATAGACAGGCAGACCCTCCTCTCCGCCCGGGTCACTGCCAACGAACTGACGCTCTGCCTGACTCATTGGAGAAACGACAATGGTATTGTCATTCTAACAACGTGCCATGAGGGCCCTTGTCACATTGGTTCCTTCCAGGATGGCTATTATTACGACGACATCACCAGTCCGCCCTTCATAGTTGATTAGTGGTCAGTTGGAGCCAGTTCTAATTTACAGCAAATATTTACGATCGAAAGAAATTCCGACTAGGTAAGCAATATTTTTTCAACTTTTCATGCTGGCTAGTTTTTGCATCATCCAGAGATTGCATAAGGACGAGCAAAATGATCTGTGGTGTGCGAGAGGGAAAAAGAGATTAGTCGTTGGCATTTTCTTCATTCTTCTTTGTGTGTTGAATGGTACATGCTCACTCTTCTGCTGCACAATAATGTTGAATGAATTTATGAAGTGAATCAAGTAGGTTCGAGTTGTTGCTGGGCATGCCAAAAGATTACAAGTGCAGGAATGCCATAAGGAATACATGCATACAAGCCACCTTTGCCAGTATTATTGCACGATGCAGTAGCACATGGTCTCAATTTGCCTCTTTCTCTTCATTCATTTCTTGTTGAGAAATGCAGTGATCAGTTGCCGGCCATGCGACTCTTATGCAATGAAGAGATTCATTCTTCAAGTTGCTCTTCTGTGCAGTCCGTTCCGTACACTTTCTCCTGCTTTCTCTTTGTTGTTCAATCGTTTCAATGGGTGAGACCATGAGGTTACATGATGTCAGGACGTGCTCTACGAAAGTGAGAACATTAGGATGTGATGGGACAGATTCCTCTTTGTCTCTCTAAGTCATCTGTCCATGTGCTAATGCCGCCACCCGGCTTCCTTCCTCCTACTCCATTTCTCCTGATTCTCGACCCGTGCCCCCCCCGGACTTTTTTCGGTTTATCCGTCGTCGTCTCCACTTGTACCATGACATTGACCATGGCGACGACGATGGTCCGAAGCTTTATCGGCGCCCCACAGGAGAGGGAATGGGAAAGGTGCTTGTTCCTGTTGTGGCGTCGCCATTGATGGTCGTGGGATTTGGCATTATTGGAGGGCGAGAGCGTGGTCGTGGTTGGTGATGGCTGATGGGTCGTGCATGGAGTAGGGCGTCGTTTATTGTGGTGGGTGAACCCACGGTGCGAGTGACGTGGGTAGGGCCTTTTCGGGTGCGGGGTAAGGCAGCAAAAGCGTGTGGTTATACGAGGAGATGCCACCTGGTTCTGTTCTGTGCGCCACTGCACTCAAACCAGCCGTGAGTGCAGGCAGGCAGAGGCTTATAGCTATGGTCTCTCGATGATAATGCTCTGCTGTGCTGATGCGAATAGAAGCCTCCCCACCAACCGCTAGCTGAATAAGACACCCCTCCCCGCTCTGCCATTCACCTCATGCACGCATCAGCGGCGACCAGGAGGAGCCATCTTGTATATTTTAATTTTGACCTCAGGTCATTCTTCACTAAACCCCCACTCAAAGTCCCCACCATAATTGGGACCCAAAGGTATTCGTCATCACAGTCGTTGAAAAGTTTTTAGTTTATCAAATTTTCAAAAATTTTCAATTTACAATTTGACAACGAATAACATTTGTTAGTGAAAGTAGTGCGTTTGCTAATAGTTTTCATGTGGTATAAATCAGTGTGTCTAACTGGTCTAACTGTATATTTTTCTGTTACAGATTCCTCCGGCACTCTTCCAAACATCCCTCCATCCACGTGTCGTATTGATTCGTGACTGATTTGTTTTGAGGGTGGATGAGATCAAACGCCATGGACCCTGAAGTTGCCGTCGTCGACGACGACAAAGAGCAGGACGGCGTTGTTGATGAGGTGGTCATGGTAAAAAAGTCTGCCACCGGTCCCCCCGTCGACGGTGACGAGGACGATGTGCTGCTGTTGAGTGATGACGAAGAAAACTCTGTCAACCCAGCTGATGTAAAAAGTTCAATGAATGGAAGACGAGGACAAGAAGGCGAAGATGAAGATGAAGAAGATGTGGTTGATGAAGAAGATGATGATGACGACGACATTGTAGAAGTTCCAGATGACTATGACGAAGATGTTTCAGGCGATGGGGTGCTCCCTCCTGCCGTGGAGAACGGGGATAGTTTTGATATCAGTGATTCAGTTACAGATAATGATTCAAGATCGAATGACCTCGTAATTAAGAATATCCAAGGAGGAAGAAGAGGAGGTGGTGCCGTAAACGGTGAACTGGATGAAGACGATATCCTCTTACTCAGTGACGATAACTCCAACTCGGTTTCAGAAGAAGGTGGAAGAATAAAAAATGGCAGAAAGGAGCAACAACTTCTACAAGAAGAGGACGATGACGATGAAATCATGGAAGTAGATAATCCAGATCCATTATTCAGCTACGAGGACGAGGGTAGTGGTAGTGCTACTGACGTTGTCGCCCTTCCAAGCAACAGTAATAACAATAATAATAACAACATTAAATCGAATAAAAAACCTATGGAAAATGGAGAAGTTGGTGAAATAAGTGAAACGGAAGCTAGTGAGGAAGTGAACGTTGCTGACAATAGTAGTGACGCTAAATCTAATAATAATACAATTGTGGTCAACGATACGAAATCTTTAGTGGATCTTGCAAATAGTAAGAAAGAGCCGGGAAATGAGCCCACATTGGTTATCATTGATACAAATGCTCTGATGGCAGGTCGTGGCGCCGTCCCAGTTAGTAAACCTAATTTACAACACCACCCACAACATGCTAGCAGCAACTCTCATCATCACAGCAGTAAGGGGAGTAGTCGGAACGGTGGTTCTGGTTCTAGTAATAATGCATCTATTGACATCCCGGATGATGCCTACCTAATAGAAGCTCCCTCATTTATTGTGCCCTATGTGTTCGAGGTAAGAATTGTTGTTTATTATATTTCAAATAACATCATTTGAATTGCGTTTTGCAAACGCACATAAGAATAATTCATTAATTGTTACAAGAATGCACCATAAATATTTTTAACTTCTCTTTCGCTTGACGCTGAGTTTGTGTTGGATCCATGGCACATCTTCTGGGTCTTCTTGCAGCAGATCTGGTGGAAGAGGCATGAGTGACCTGTTCTGCCATTCAATCTTCTTTGCTTTCTCTTTGACTGCATCACTCAGCACCCGCTCGTAGGAATTCTTCCTTTGCAGACCACCCTTGAGACCTCCATTCAAAATGTCAAAAATTACTTTCGTATGATCTTTTGGTACAAAATCTTTCTCCAACTTCACGTGCTGCAAATACAAAACGGATGGAATGAGATTTAGATTTTGTAAAATGTCTCATAAACTAGTCGTAGTTTACCTTATAGAAGTGTGCCCAATCCATGGCGTCATCTTTGTTGACTTTTTTAGATCCACCGGAGAAAGTGAAATCCTATAATAAAATGCATATGTAAAATATGGAATAGTACATGATAATAGTTTGACTTTCGCTCACTTTTCTATGACAAACATGTCCATCTTTCATCAATTTGACGAGCTTGGCACCACCACTTGATTGGAAGGTTCCGTCGAGATAACCGCAGATCTTTCGTTTTGCGCTCGTGCCAAAATAGAGGGAGAAAGTATACTTTACTTTCTCTTCCTCGCTCACCATCTCCACAGAGCTCTTTAATTGTTGGTTCCTCAATGCGTATGTAGCATTAGGTCCAATATCTGGCTTTTCGGGAACATATGCACAAAAGAAACTGCCATTATATGGTGCATTATCTTTCGCATATTTTTTCTTCTCGGCTTCGTCAATCATCTTTCTGTCCATCCTAAACTGCAATGGGACATCATCCTCCCAGTCTGAATCGGAGTTGTACCCTTGGATAGGAAATATAGGGAGCAATCCTTTCTTTTTCTTGTCAGTCACATATGAAGTGAGACTGCTTTCTCCGCGCTTCGTCTGTGCTGAACTTCGATTTCGTTCATTATGTTCCTTCTTTCTAAAATAAAAAAGCAAAACATTCATTATCATAAATTATACTTAAGTTAATAAAAGTGAGCTTATACCTATAATGCGCCTTCGACTGATGTTTTTGAACAGAATTTCTACTACAATTTTTGAATCCTGATCGACACTTTCCACTTCCACTCCCCTCATCCTCTACGCAAAAATAAACCCCGTCCGTCTTAATTATCTTCTGTTCTGACTTGGGTCTATACTTCTTTGCTTTTACTGTTTCCATCTTATTAACCCAATAATAATGTCACTACTTAGAATAATAACTGCTCCCAATCAATACGTTTTAATGAATGAGGATACAAATTGCTCAAATCCAGACATTGCACGCACACACACACACACGCAATGCTGTGCTTTCCAGCCCCCATCCCGCCGCTAAATACTTTCCAGACCCCCACACCAGCCCTGCTAATTTTCGGGAAATATGAGATTTCTGGAGAAGTATTTAGCGGGGGGTGGTGGGCTGGAAAGTATCTCGTACACACATACACCCATTCTGATTTACTTATGTTTACCCTACTTTTCAGTGTGAACAGAATGGGGATAAATCCCTTAAAGAAACGATCAAAGAGTTGGCAAACAAAGTGAAGGAAGTGAGAGATGCAAAATTAGCAAAGGGCGAAGAACTAACTGACCTGGATAAACTGACTGAATCCAAGACCTCAAGCTCATCAGACGACTACTTTGAGTCTCCTGTGGGGAAACTGTTGACCAACATTGGTATGAATATGGTTCAAGAGTTTGTGCAGTGTGACCTGCTAAAAATGCAGAAACGCCAGGGAGAGAAGGAAAAGGCCAAGAGCCGGATGAGCATGATGACCCACCTCACACAACAAAGCATCTTCTCTTTGAAAAAGAACATTGAGGAGAGCAAGGAGAATAATGAACCATTTAGATCGAAAATGAAAAAGTGTGAATTGTGTAACTTTAGAACAGAATCCGAATTGGTCATGTCCACTCACCAAGAAACGCCACACATGAAAAATTATAGCTACAGGTGTAATTTCTGCACCTTCACTACTCGAGTTCCACATGAGATCATTTTTCACATGGAGGCTGAACACGCAGTCAGAGCTCGCTTAGAAAGGTAAGCAGACTGGCTGTAATGTGTATTTATATTAAACATGTTACACAGTAGTTGATTAATAAACTTTTTTTCATACCACTCACAGAGCACCAGCTTATCATCAATGTCCAAGTTGTCCATTCGAAGATAACTCTAAAGCTAAACTTACCCGACATCTTTTGGGATGTGTCAAGCGCTATGTTCCTGCAAAGAATTTGGAACCACCCTCGGAATGGGACACTCCTGCTAAATTACCAAAGCTGCCAAAAAATAGAATTCTCCCACAAGGCATCAACCCTGCATTCTTGGCCCCAACAAACCAAAGAGGAAGTGGAATGGCTGGTTTCAATCCGATGCTCCAGAAACAATACCAATCGCAACAACAACAAGGAGGGATGAGTATGAAGGGGAATCTTCCACCCCTTCTTCACGCTGCGCCCAATAAACATAAGCCAATTCCGGGTCTCATACGAACCAACAATCCTAGATCTATACAAAATCCAGTCATCAACCCTCAACTTCAACGAGGTGATTATTACTCATTAGTTATTTTCTTCAACTTCCTTTTTCATGTTTAATTATTTTTTTTTGTGGTGCCATATTAATTTTCATTGTGTGGCTGGCCGTGTAGGAATGATGATGCGAGGGAGCGGACAAATGCAAGCCCACAATCTTCAAATGCAAAATCACATGCTTCAACAAGTGGTAAGTGGACAATTGCTTGGACAAGGCCAAGGAACAACGAAAAGCTTTTTGACCAAGTTAGGCCTGCAGCCTGATCAAACAGCAATCAGAACAAATGCTTCAATGCAAAAAGTATGTTTTACTTTTCGCGTTTTCAATAGTTTTCTTTCAAGCTTGCTCTTTTGCTCGCATTTCAACTTGACACTTTCAACCTTCTCTCCGGTTCTTCTACAATTATTTCAATCTTGTTGGACTGTCAACCAGTTTTGAAAGTGTTTTGGTCGTTTCTTTCCTTACATGCCAAAAAATATTTTGCCATTCCTCGCTAAACCTATTTAACACGTTTCTTCTTCTAATTATTCAGGGCACTACAACTCAAATGCGTGGTGCAGTGGGTAGACCAGGAGGGAGTCAACCTAGCATATCCATAACCCCACTCCCAAGTCGACAAGGTGGCGGAGGAAATCCGTCCACTTCCTCATCCGCTGCTGCATCTCATAAACCTCCTTCACAAGGACAGGGAGGAGCAAAGACGTCGTTTGTAATTTGCGAAATTTGTGACGGATATATTAAGGTATGAATAACAATAATTAAGAAATCAAATATTGCGAATCGAGTTTAATTAATAATGCTCTATTACGACTAATGACCATTATTGCTTAATGCTTGGTGTATATTTTTAGGACTTGGATCAATTAAGAAATCACATGCAGTGGATACACAAAGTCAAGATCCACCCCAAGATGATTTACAATAAACCACCATTGAATTGTCAAAAGTGTCAGTTTCGATTTTTCACGGATCAAGGTCTTGAGCGACATTTACTTGGTTCTCATGGTCTCGTCACGTCATCCATGCAAGACGCCGCTAACAAGGGACAGGATAGCGGACGGTGCCCACTTTGTGGAAAGGTAACAGTAATAATAAATATTACAATTAATTATGAATATACTGAATTGGTTAGTGATTATGTTAATCAATTTTATGTTAAAATTAGGTTTATCAGTGGAAATTGTTAGCACACGTTGCAAAGGATCACAATGTAACGCTCAAACCAGCTCATTTATCCTACAAGTGCACTGTATGTACTGCGACGTTCGGGATGTACAAACTCTTCGAAAGCCATGTCTACTCTGCACATAGTGTAACTAAGAATGCTCCTCGGCAAGAACGGCGAGTTCCTCAACAAATGCAGCAAGGCAAAATGGGTGGCGGCCTTCAAGTGACGCCACGAAGTATGCCGGTGAATTCTGCGCAAAACAATTCGTACAAACCTCTTAAGATTAACGATGAAATAACAATAATTCCTCAACCAATGGCTAACTCTGCACTGCAGCGTAACAAAGGATCTCTTACAATTACCCCCCACCAACCTATGAGAAGAAATGGTAAGTATTTAATACAATTAATTGTATAAAAATTAGCAATACGAAGAGTACCTGAATATTTAAATTGAGTAACATCATGGTATAATAATTCACTCTTTTGTGTTTGAATAGTGTCGGGACGAAATCATGAGGATGAAGGAATCCAAATAATTGAAATAGATGATGCTCCTCACAAGAATGGAGTTAGACCAAATGGAAATCGATTTACAATGAGCGAAACTCTACGTAAGCGAAACTTAGAAATCAGCGTTTGCGATTCCGAAAATTCTGATGATTCTCGCGGACCAATAAAGCGACTTCGTCAAAATTAATAATTTTATAATTTAGAAATTCTTAAATTGAATTTAGAATGTCAGAGAGACGTACGTTGGGTTTCCTTTCCAAGGAGGTCTTTTTTGTCTTAAGTTGTTGTAATATTTGAGTAGGCGGTTCTGTATCTGTATGTTAATTATGTAATCAATTAAGAAACTTTTTGATACCAAATTAGTGTGTCACGACGGGATACATACATAAAGTATTAAAGCGAAGATGTGTACTTTTTTAGGGAAAAGTCGATTCAGATTAAAATAAATAAACTAATACAAGTACGCGAGTTTAATTTCAGAAATAACTTTTTGTTTCCTTCTACATATATATTCATACTACACTACTTCTATGTGATACTGTTCATTATTCATTAATTATTATGATTGTTCGTTGATTATGATGTAGTGATACTAAAAGTTAAAAAAATAATCAAATGTCTTGCTCTACTTTAGAGATAGTATTTTAATCTGGACATGTAATAGCGTTTATTGTTTGAGAAGAATAAATACAAATAACTTTACTTCATTTTAGTCGTGCTTAACCAATCACAACGTTCGTTTACACACGCATCCCGAACATCCCCTGAATGAAAGTAATTCACACACAACAAGTTTCAAAACTCAATGAGAAAATTTTATTGACTAAATTAATATGCAAGTACTTACATATAGTTAGTTGTACACACTTACTTCCATTCATTCGTACTTTTGTTAGACAATATAACGGTAATTATAAATCAATTACGCAAGTAAATACATGGTCTGATTTTCAGACAAATTATAAAAGTATACTTGTAAAAGATATACTTTTATAACCCAGTGAATACGAGAACAAAGTGTAGAAAAATCATAATCTACGAGAAATAAGCTGAATAAAAATAGAATGCAAGAGAGTGGAGAAGGTTTCTGTATGAAAAACACGAGTCCAATACAACTAGCTACATAATTAGTAGGTGATGATGATGATGGTGAGACGATGGGATGTAAACTAGCGACGACCACCACCACGATCTCCTCCCCCTCCTCCTCGCCTTTCGCCCCCACCACCACCACCTCCACCTATTATCAAAATTAAATTATTAATTTGAAAAGTAAATCAGGACTTGATAGGGACTAATTTGTCGTAATTTGTCAACTTACGTCCTCCTCGCACACCGCGACCTCGTCCCCGTCCTCTACCCCGGCCTCGAGCAGCAGCTGAGAGTGTAATAATAATTCATATTAATTTCATGGCTTGAATCAAATCAAATGCGTACTGACCACCTTCGTACTATAAGGTAGGTAGGTAGGTGGTCTAATAAAATCCGACACTTGTTACCTTTGGCTTCCTGCTTCTTTTTCTTAGATTTTGGTGCATCATCAATAAGTAACGTTTCCAGTGGAAGATGATCAGGTAAAATATAGTATCTAATATTGTTTCCTCGAATGCTCAATGTGTCCAACTGTACAGGGTCACGATTCTTCACCGTCATCTTTACAGCCTTTAGGTGAGTATTCATCGCCACGTCCACACCTGCGAAGTTAAAAAAAATACAACCCGATACACGAGGTCCATCCCGTTAAAACTCTCATAAAGGGAAACGAACCTGTAATTGTTCCATGAACTTGAGTTCCATTCTTTAACTCGATTGTTACCGTTTCATGGCTAAGCTTCATTAAAAACCTTCAATCAAAATAACATTAACATCAATTGCAAATAGCACCAAACTTTAATATATACCTCAGCAAAAGAAATAGCACTAGAAGAACCCCATGACTTGAACTTACCTTACTAACTTCATCTTGAAATAAATATAATTACAAAACAACGACGTCAACGAACAAACTTGATCAATGAGCAACAAATCCCAAGAAATTTGGAGAATAGGGAACTTGGCAGTCAAGCTTTACTGTTGGGAAGCCAAACGAAAACCACAATTTCGAAATTATTTCAAATTTGTTGATTTTGAAAACTGTCCTCGTCGATGTTTAGATTTTTCGTTTCGTTGGATGCCGGGATGCGAAGCGGAGGATTCGAACGGAGCGGCTCTCTCAGGTGGGCCAAATCATAGGAAAGTGCAACTCGAGATGGCTCCTCGAAGCTCCTCAACGTCTCACCTCCCTCGTCTCACTTTCCCCGTCTCACTTTCACGTCTCACTTCCACGTCTCACTTTGCCTCCTCCGCCGGAAGGACTACCACTTCGTGTCTTATCTCCAGGTAATTCTCGTTGCAACTACGGAATTACTAAACATTGGCTAAATTTCCCAGCAATGAAAAGTAAGGACAGCTTGATGATAAAAATGGGGATTCCCCATTACGCTCAAGTTAAACCATGCACTCTTCTGGACAAGATGAGAAAATGAGATTTCTCAGACTCAACTTCTGCACCTAAATATTTACATTACAAACTTATCCGATTGTTGGCCTGTGTACATGTGCAATGAGCAAACTTGCTCCCACTCGCAATTCAAACATGAAGGAAGTATAACAGAGAAAGTGCGGAGAAAGACCAACAGAGCACTTTAAGAAATGAGGAATTTTTACGCTCAGTAGGGATATAATTTTCGATGGAAAATATTAAATATCACTTTGCTGTTAGTTAGGCAAGGATCAAGATTTAGCTGCATTGGTTAAGTTGTGAAATTGTTGGTGAAATGATTCATCATGAAAATTATCCATGAGATGCAATAAAATCGCGTATGTATTCATCATTCATAAACTCGTATTATTTATTTATTCATTTTATTCACTTGTTTTGTTACTACATTTTGCACCTTTTTGTACGATAATGCTTTGTTATTTTGCTGAAATTATTTTGGGACGAGTGCAACAACGCCACGTGAGCATGGCATCACAAAGACTTGAATGGTCAAAACAAGGAGTTGTAAGAATTGCAGACACGACGAAGTGTGACAAGTGAGGAGATGCAATTAGTCATGGGAAAATTATCAATAATCCTCCCCAATTTTCCACCTTTGTGACTCAACTAAACTCTGTGCCGAGAGAGGAGACCGAGAAGCAGTGAGGCTTGGTGGCGTGGAGGCGATAATGACGGAAACAAGGGTAAATTAGGGAGTCAATTATCCAACGTCGACGACGACGATGGTGGAAGTGGTGACGAAAAGAAGCCGATACGCCTCTGCTGAGATATATGTAGGATAGTTCTCACTCATGAAATATTCCTCCTTGCCGCACACACAGAAATGCCGTTGACAATGGGAGCAGCGGAATTAATGCACAAATCCACCTGCTTTCTTCAACTTTAAGTCCACACTTGAAGTTGACATTATAATTGCCCGAGACGGGTTGGGAATTAAACGGACAAATGGAGAAGAGAGCTGCTGCACAAGTTGGCGTTGAGATGAGAAGCGTGCCCTTCTCCGTGGGGGAAGTTCCGTCGCCGAGACAAGGAACGCGTTCTTCTGTTTTGACTTTTGCTCGTGTATCACTAATTCACCAATACTATTAACTTATGCAAATTATTTGTCGAGGAACTTTTTATTTGTAAACTGTTCGGGTTGACGCAGCGACAAATGGTACGTTCTCTGATTGAAATACAGACAATACGTATGCAATATCTGATATTAGTCCAAATATCGCAAAGCCGTTACTTCCTAGCAGTGAAGCATAATTCTTAATTCTCAACTGTCCTGAACAAACCCTGAAACAGTGAATTAGTTTAAGCAATTTTTATCCTTTTGTACACACATTTTGTAATACCCACACGACAGGCTTTTATAGCTTTTACGGAAGGAGAGACGTATGAAAAATGTATCTCATCATTAACAATTCAAGACTCAACACGGGCCAAAATCATTACACGTACATTTCTATTTGTATTTCTATTCAAATCTCGTCTGTGAGAGGCACAATTTGCAGAGAGAGAGAGAGGAAGGAAGGGTGGACCAGAAGAAATGGATGGGAGTTCACCCCAACGAGGCGGATGGCCAATCCTCGCCGTCCTCGGCGTTCCTGGGCGTCAAATGGCTTTGAAAGTCCTGCACCACTCGGCCCATGCAACCAGCGACCCATGCAAGCAGCCCAAGAGCTATGAAATGAAATGAGACTCACTCCATCTCATACCTCAGCAGAGACATCACGCTCCCAGCCAAAATCTATATCGTTCTTATCTCCGCGGATTGGCAACATTGTTCCGTTTTTGCACAGCCCCACCCACCCGCATCAATCGCTGATCATTTGCATAAGCATCGGCCAGGGTTACTTAAGATACATGCACTTACTTCTACACGGATCTTTGTGTGGTCAGTTTGGTTGAGCGTCATCGTCGCCGTCGTTCGTTTGTGGTAGTGTTCGCGGACTGGATTTGCAGTTAGTTCGGAGGAAGGAACTAGACTAAAAAATAGTGAGCTCGCTGGTTACTCGGTGTTGGCAAATAGAAAAGTGAACTTGCTGAATTGTCCAGCTAGCAGAAAAGTGAGGAGGAAGGAAGCAAGGAAAATTCGTTATCGTCAACAACACTACTTTTCCATATATTACTTAGATACGCTCACTCGTGGTTGTGTGGCAGACTGGGGAATTTGCACCCAAATTAAGATATCGTGTGACAATGGTGTCAGTGACGAGTTCTGAATTAGTTATTCGTCAGTAATGAATAAGAGCGCCTCAGTGTCGTGCCTGGCCCCTCCGTCGTCGCATCACCTCAACCACCTCAACGCCTTGAACCATCTCAACCACCCCCACGCACACCACGCCCATCAGAGAGTGAACCTCCCCCCGGGTCAGGCCCCATTCCACCCCCACCATCACCATCACCACCATCAGCCTCCACCCCCCACAATGCTCCCCTTCGACACTTTGGGGCTCTATGAGCCACAGCCCAAGCCCAGATTCTTCTTCAAAATGCCCCGAGTCGTCCCAGACCAGAAGAATAAGTTCGAGTCAGATGAGCTCTTCAGAAGGCTGGGTCGCGAAAGTGAGGTGAGACTGTCGATAATTCCACAAAAAAACATTCCCCACCCGTGGTTATATTAATCGCTGATAAGCAGTTGCATAGATTTGCATACGTACAATATTAAAACGAAGAGATTGATGAATCACAAAGATACGATTGATCGACACAGTTGACAGGTTCCCTGGTTGTAAATATGTTCATACGAGGCCAAGGTAGAAATTGGGTCTAGACCTTGCAATCAAACCTGACGACTCATGATCTGACGGCCGATTTATGAATTTCCAAGAAAAATGAGAAATTGGTATCGAGACTCATTGATGCACCTGGCTGTACATTTTAGACACATTTCTAAATATAAGAGCACAATGTCTCACGTCACATGTATCTTCTTACTCACGCATGACATTCAGCCAGCTTCTTGTCCTTCTCGAATGAGTGCGTGAAAATGGTACCACAGTCGCATCCCCGTTTATCAGCCAGAGTTTTTTTGCTCCATCACAAAGGAACTGCAAAGTCAATGAATGAATCATGCACATCATTATTCTCTCGAAGCAGCCAAAGTGTGTGCTCATGTGCTGGTCTTATTTCCACTCCACCATTGACTCCAAGCCATATCGACTCTTCAAATGATGATAACAAGTGAAATTTCACTTTCATAATTCAACCATGTTTTTGTCCCCTCAGGTGCGCTACACGGGTTACAGAGATCGACCTTCGGAGGAGAGACAAATGCGCTATCAGAACGGGTGCAGAGAAGGACACACTGAAATCGTGAGTTTTTTGTACATTTTCTCTCTCTTGTTCGCTAATAATTGCCAAAAAATCAGCCAGCCAGCAGCATTTCTTGGTGAATTGGAGGAGCATGTTTTCATCAGGAAGACGCGAATCTCGTTGTGTGTGTGCTATTTATGAAAGTGTTAAAGACCTCCTGGAAGAAGAAGAAGGAGAAGAATGCATGAAGCAACAATGCGTCGATGTGAGATCGGGGGCAAAAAAAGAATCAATTTTCACAGAATTTGACGCCACTTTCCGAGAATTAATTGACTTTCCCATGATAAGAAGATGCACTATATACGCTCGATTCACATCTCGTCGTTTAAGTTCTCAACTCCGTCAACTTCAACGGCATAGCAATAAATACTGCATGAATACGCAAGAGGTTTATGAAATGCACTAGTTTTTTAGACTCATTTTCTTCTGTAGCTCAGTCAATGTCGAGTCTGCAGCAGTGTGTTAACAAAGTTTTCCAGAACCCTTCATTTGAAAACTGGGAAGCAATGCCGACGGATTGTTATGAAAGCAAATACAGCTTTTAAACTTTTTTTCCAATTCCGACAGAAAAGCGAAAAACGAAAATGAGCCTGAAATTCTAGTATTTGTATTTCAACAACTCCTCCCAAAACAGATGCTAAATACACATTCGTTCGTGCTGCTTATTTTAGTCACCAAGCATAAATATGTAGATTATTCGGGGAGATGCTGGCTGGCTGATAAATTATTTGCCTTTGTGTCCTGCCAATACAGAAATGTTTCACAAAAATGGCTGTTTAAATAAACGGTGCAAATGTGTATATTTATTTTCCAGGCATTTATCGCAACGGGTACAAATCTACAATTAGTCTTCAATCCCATGTCGAACGGCTACCCTCCGGAGGTAATTATTTTTGACTCACTCTATTGCGATTAAATCTCTGAAAATGAACAAATTTTTGAAATGCCGCTTTTTGTAACAGATGAGGGAATGCGACTTTGACAAAGAGCACGGAAAGGTGAGCAACAATTAAGTTATTCCATCCATTACCACCAATTATCACACTCGTAAAACTTCACATACACAACGAGGACGATAAACATATCTCATTGTCTCCGCTTCTCCTCCTTGACTGCCCCGTTATGCAACCATTAAGTCATCAAACATAATTATCAGCAGAGGAACATGAGCCAGGTTGCATTACTGCCCAAATCCGTGGTGCGTAACAACATAATTAAATCAGAAGGAGTTGGTTGAGCTAATTATGAAGCTCTTGAGAGAGAGAGGAAGACCCACCACGTCATAAATGTGCACTTGAGGAGATGGTGACTGACACTGCTGTTGGGTCCCTTCCCTAAAATAGAGCCAAGGTGTATCGGAGAATCAGGCACCATCCTCAGGTTGGACGTATGAAGTTGCTTAATTAGAACTCACAAAACTCACGAGATCATCATTACCAATTTTATGAGTATTTTTAGCCCGATATCCATCTGTGCTCGCTCACTAATTCCGCCCAACACGTCCATCATCATCATCCCCTTCAGCCTTCCTTCCATTCATTCTCAGCTCCAAATAAATTCGTCTCACCAGCCAGCTCATGCAGTTATTCTGGGCTAATCGTAAAACAATACTCATGGCTAATAAGTGCAGGGACGGAGGTGGTGTGCGACTGCCTGGCTGACTTGTTCACATTAAAAAATTGGGCTGAAAATTTTACTGCTACCTCCACCCACAGTCTCCAAATTATTATGATTAATTCCCCCCAACGCCAACTTGGCTTCCTTTCCCATCGTCCATCCGTACGAATAATTTACGACCGAGGAGAAATTAAGGCATTTACTGCTTTGCTCACTTGTATGTACAACACGACTAATCCTCAAGGGCTGCATCGTCTGCTGCCGATAGATGTACAACATTTTTATGAGCTTTTAGTTACCACTTTTGGTAACCTTTAAATACTTTCGTGGGGAAAAGTTTCGTCGTCGTCGTCTCCTCAACAAGATTATTTTCTCAAAATTCTGCGAATGAAGAATTCGATGATGTTGTCAAACTTTTTTTCTTCTTCTGAGCAAGTCGTGTATTTATCGAGCTGTATGTACGTACATAGTCTCAACTTAAAAAGTGATAGTAGAGTAGACGACTATATTAGGTTAGTTTTAAGGAATTTCAAGCTTATTCTTATTCCATTGAAAAGCCAGTTAAATTTCAAGTAGAAAACATGTATTAAACTTGAAAATATGTTCGTCTTGTGACCATGAAAAATTGGTCACGAAAGAGAAAGCTCCATCAAAATTACGCACGAAATTAATTGACAAATTGTGTCATTCCCGGGTCAGAAATTTTTTTGCGACCCTGACGCATATAGGGGACTCAGAACAGACCTTTTCCCCAATTTTAATCAATATTTGGTGGTGAAGTTGTCTGCGGTTCGAAAATTCCAACGTTAAACCTAAAGTGCAAATGAAGTCAGAAATATGGATTTTAATCCAGTTTTTCACGAATTTCGCTGTAAATGTTACTGTTGACGCCTTCACAAAGGTCGGTGGCTTTTCACCCAATATGGACTAGTTGAGGGGTGTTCCTTCTTCACCAGGACATTTATCAAATATTTTTTTAAACTATCTCCTCTCCTTAATCAAGGAAATTGGGCTGTTTTTGCTCAATTCCGCCGATTCCCGCCAAAACCATGAATGGAGCCTGATAAGATATAGAATATTTGACATAAAACGTGTTAGTTTTTTTGTTGAAATATGTTCCTGCCGTAAAGAAATTATCATCGGTAAACGGGTTCGTTTTTTTGGTTTTTTCACCGTACCGTTTGGGGAGAGAGGTCGATTTTTTGACCATTGCTTAGGCTTTGGAAATCTGTAGCATGTGACGCTTTCTAATCTAAAAGACCTTCATCTTAGGGTCACTTTTCAGTGCTAATCTGATCTCTAAAGTTGAAAGGTCATTTCTATGGCCAAACTCTTCGGTGTCAGACGGAGATTTTGTGCTATTCTGGCGTTCAAAGCTTCGGACATCACTGTAGTCCTCCTTGACCTTGGACCACCGAAACCTTTATACCAAAGATATACACTGTCTCTGGGATTACTTTAATAGTTTGGGCAACCAGATCGTAGTTGTACTTGGACTGCTACACTACATCAAACATTGTGCATTTTTTTCTCGTGCAAAAAGTGAAAAATTATTGCCGTTCGCGTGTAGCTAAGCTTCTCCTACTTTTGACCTAGTAATGTCAAGTAGAAGCGGTCAACACCAATGATAGGCACTGAATGTATGCACAAACTGCAACTTACCTTTTAATTTTATGTTGACCGGTTCAAAAACTACACTCTACTATCACTTCTTATGGTAAGACTATGTACATATGACGATGATGTCGTGTTGTGTGCGAGTCAGTGTTCAGCAACAATTACGCTTTTTCACGAGTCGTTATGTGCTTGGTCGACATGACGGAAGCTCAGCCAATAAAACGGGATAATTGAAAGGTGCAACTCTATACTTATGCTCTCACTTGCATCCATTTAAATAAGTAATAATCTCTCTCGTGGCAGGGGCTAAAAACTGGTGGAGAATCTCTCAAAGATTGGCAGTTGGATAATGATAATGCTCCCTTCGTTCGAGATCATTCAAACTGCTACTGGGTATCATTCCTCAGTTGCATGGTTTAAAATCCAGCGAAGACGGTGACGAATTCTACTTAAATATGAGAAAAGTGCTCTTTAAATAGAAGGTGAAGCTCTCTCAGCAGGATCTCGTTTTTGCACTGATCATCCATCCAACCTCGAAACTTAATGATGTGCACGTACACCCAGAAATTGATGGCTGGGAAGGGCAGCAAAGCAATTTTGGAGTACAACACAACTGACCATCACTCGCATTCTGCTTTGCAATGGAGGAGTCGCCTCCTCATTCATCACGTCATGTTATGTTATATGTATAATTTGCCACTACTGGTCTTCCCATCTCATCTCTCCTCTCTCCTCAGTAAAGACTCTTTTTGCTTTGGGTTATGTGAGAAAATTAGGTAGTTAACACCAACAGGAGTGAAATGCTTGCTAACTATTTAGAGTTCATGGAGGTGGATTCGTCGAGTGGGGGTGGGGACGTTGGATATTCCGTGAAATGAGGTCACGTAATAAGTAATTTGTTCAAAAGGTATCATTTTATTGGAGAGGATTTGAAGGTATGGGTCGAGGGAGACGGTGCGTAATCGTCCTCTGGTTTGCACCTTCACGCCTTGTGAAATTGAGCCATTTGAGAAATGTGTTGGACAGATTGGATCGTTCATCAAAGGAAATGAAGGACACGACTCAAGTCCTTAAAATAAATAAAAGTGCACGCGCCTCACTGGCCACTTGTTTTTCGAAAAAGGTAATTAGTCACTCATCTCGGGGAGCGAGACGTGAATGGGCGAGTCAACAGTACATAAACACAAGACGTTGTTGTCCTCTCTGCTCCCGAAGTCTGCTCTCGAAGTCCTTTCTGGAGCTCGTCCCATAATTTATGAAAATGTCCAGACCCTGTTTGTCCCAACCTCTGATGACGAGAAGTAGGTGACGTAACTTAAGAAGACACATTGGCACTTAGGCCCACTGACAGATTTTATTTCCTTTACTTGTTGTGCATCGCTATGTTATGTTGTTGTCGTCGTCGTCGTCGACCAAGTTATCTCATTCCAGTCGAATTCCAAGCGCAACTTACTTGCGCCTGTTGTCGTCTTGTCCAACTTTTTGTGCCACTTTTCCTTCCTCCTTGTTGGTTGGCCACCCGTGCACTGTAAATCCCACTGGGATCAGGAAACATGTCAAGAAGTCTTTGGGGAGAAAACACGTGCCTTGTTCACAAAAAGTCTCACTCACTCCATCCATCCAGCTTTTTTGATCCTCTCGGCTAAATTTGGAGTGACATTGAAACACGGAGAAATGTATCTAGAAGAAGTTTATTTGTGCATAGTCGTCGCAGCTTTTACGAGGAGGTAAAAAGCGTGTTGGGCTGATTGTGAGCAATTGAGTGAGACGACGACGGCGAGATAAGGACGAAAAGCTCTCCTTCCGTAATTGACTCATTGAGAGCGTAAACTGAGAAATTGTTCTTATTTCTTCTTAAGCACAACAACGAGTCTTCTTCTTTACGGGACTCGCCTCCTGTGCTTCTGGTGACACTCTGGTGTGCCAACATTTATTGCCTTGTTCTTGTTCTATTCTCCCCAAGACCATTGTCCACTCCACTCTTGGGGCTATTAACCGGTGTGTAATTGAAGCCAGCGCATCTGCTTCCTTTCGGTGGAAAGCGTCCTGGTGGTGGCGTCACCGTTTGTACTTTTGATGATGATCCCGGACATTTGTCAATCTGGCACGGTTGTCGTCCGTCCGCATTTTTGTCAATGCATCCTCCACTTCCTACACGGAAAAAGATTACTGAAAGAAAACTACGACTCTTTACATGTATCATCCGAGCTTCATATTTTAGTAGTGTCCCACCAGTCATATCAGTCACAAAATGGCAAAAATAGCCGATGACGAATGGCACCCACATTTCTCACTGAATAAAAACCTGTTTCTTTTATAATTGTGTTTAAAGGAGTGATGAGCAGATAACAGACTGTGAGACTTTTGTGAGTGATGAATATTATTATTTGCTTTTATCATTTATGCAAAGAAGGAGGTGAGAACTTGGGAATAATTGATGTGGGCAGATCCCAAAAAACTCGTATAAACTAAAATGGCGTAAACAAACTCGAGTAAAAGCGAGGAAAACCGGTTTTGGAAAGAAAGCCGATATGTTGTTGCCACTAAAACAACAAATATTACACGTTTTAAAAGTCATTTGTATTTTATTAAGCTTTAAAATAACTGTTAAAACGATGCGAGTTAAGCTCCGATGACGGATTTATGAGAGAGCATACACATTTCCACTTATCTTATTGGAATCAGCCTCTGCATAGGCGTTTAGCGTGGAAGGTGAGCTCGAAGGGCAACACCCGGCGCTTTTTAGTACTCCCAAATACATTGT